TCATGGGGTAAAATGACTAAACGAGAAAATCTTTTCTTTTTTTACTGACAACTCAATTCATAATGTTGAAACAGCACTAACTGGCCGGTCTACACTAACGCCTATAGTGATTCGAAGATAATCGACTGGTACAAATTTCGCTGAAAACGGAAATCACTTAATCCCAACATAGTACTTCAAGTGTAACGGACAAAAGTTTGGGGTTAGATTTCCTGTGATGTTATGATGTATATTTTGTAAGAATTCTAAAAAATACTAGGACGATATAGCTACTCAATGCTCCTTCCAAAGTCATTGGGTTCGGGATCTTTAATGTTTTGGATCCTCACACTGAGAAAACGGTGCTTTCAGGCTTATATTAATTATCTGAATATATTCTAAATGGTGAAATCAGAAGGACAGCTTATTTTGTAACCTGGTGCTCCGGTTTTCAATTGTTACAATTCGTTATACTACTTGCTATTATTCAGTAGTTTCGCTCACATTCAATTCATTTTTGGAACTTGTGCAGTACTGCATCCTCGTATTGTAATCAACTGCTAGTTTCAAACATTGTGATCATTACCGATGTTTTAGTTAGTTTACTCACTTGTAATGCTATTTATTTTCGGGTTTAATGTATATTAGTCATCGAAGATCTATTTATTTTGAATAGCTTTCTAAGACAATGCTTGATTCATCTCCGTTGTTTGGCAATAACTATTTAACATAGCTGTGTTCTGTACTCTAACTTGTGATATATGTTGTAATTTAATTCTCAGCTAAGTGGTTAGAGAATTCCCTCTTTTTGGGCTATACCTTTTCTTAGAGCATCCAACACCTTTTAATTAGCAATTTTTAAACCTTAAAAATTTCTTTTAGTTATCTTTAGTGTTTGGTAATACAAATATGTGGAGTACTACAAGAATGTGTCTTATTAAAAAAATTCTGTGCTCAGTTTTACAAAAAATTGATTGCTCAATAGGGGTGATAGTTTGACCTATCCAACAGTATATCGAAAAGGGTGTATGATATTGTATCTGTTATATGAGATGAAGAATACTTAGCTTGAGGAATATAGACTGATAATATATATATATATATATATATATATATATATATATATATATATATATATATATATATATATATATATATATATGCAGATAATACTATTGCTTATGTCCGTCGACATAAATAGTATGTAACACTAATCAGAAGTGGAATGCCCAGCATCAGAAGGTTGTCAATATCAAATTGCAGAGAACAAAAATGTAAACAGAGAGTTATTGTGATGACAACAGGAGTGAAGAAACGATGAAGTTTGTGAGAGATAATTGACAGAAGAGGTGTAGATGAATTATTTGATGTATGGTTTTCGTATTTTGTGAAGACATTCTGTAATTTTTAATTAACTAATAAATTGATTTTCCCTAACTGAGTATTCCTTCACTATAATACATATTTTTCAGAAATAAAATTTGACGACAAATTAAGGAAGTTTTCAATATTCATAACTCACCTTTTTACTAAATTAATACCCGTCAAGGTAGACTCTTTTTATCAAACATAAAATACAGCTTTACCTAAGTTACGTTTAGCAGTGAATTATCGTTAACGCAGCAAGCCATAATAAGAATGTCTACCAGAGGTAGGCCTGTTGGGTTTAAACTTTTCTTGACAGTGTTCGAGAGTCCTCCTACCAGGGAAAAGCAGACCCGGGTATTAAGTAGTAAATAGTTCTGTATATACTTGACATCGATGCTAACCGTGTTCGTTTAAATGAGTGACACCAGATCATTGTACTAATGAGAAACTCTTTTCCTACTTTAAATAGGGGTGAAGATAACCATCCTGTTTCCAATGTTCAAAATAAGTGTGATATCCAGTATTTTCAATCATTTTTCCATTCATTTAGTTTGTCAGTACTGAATAAAAGAGAGTAATTTAAACGAGAGATTTTATTTTAATCATCTAAATCTATCTATGTATATCTTCAGTGACACGCTGTTATAGTTCATCCCACCTAGCTGGATGAAAAAGCAAATAAAGTAAAAATCGGAGCTTAAGATGAAATCCCCAGTAAAAATTGTGCTTTTATATTCATTATTCATTTACCAAATGAATGGAAATTGATAGCTATTGGACATATATCGAACATCGGGAGGAAGATGCTCTACAAATTCACAGACACTTAGCCGATTCCTTAAATAGTCAATTTAGAAATTTCACATTCCTCAAAAGGAGTTAGTAATGAATATCTCTGAAACTTTCCTCTACACAACTCTATCCTGCCCGAATCTGAGGTAGATTTTGTGATGCAAACCAGTTAGAATAGTTTTTTCAACTAAGTGCAACTATCCGCTGAACGAAAATGTCATGGGATTCTTTAGGGTTCTCAAAGCTGTTGATCGTTGATGTTCGGTTTCGGATGCATGACACCTAATATTAGAATTCCCGCCTTATTTTTAAAAATAAATCTGTTTTCAGTACTGATGCGAAGACGGTGTGATATACTATGCTATTTATATCCGTCTACATACAAGTCGTTGTCGAAAGAATTACCATTAGTAAAAATCCAATTGGTTTTTCATCATTAAGTATCATGATAAATGTTGGTCCCAGCTCTAAACCTTGCCACTGCAGGACGGGATAAGTAGAGATGGCCAATTAGAATTAGCCTGTAAATTGTTTTTGCTGTTATTCAAAACTCTCATAACTCCCCATAACTTATTCGGTTATCGTTGTTTAGCTATAAAATGTTGTGTAAGCCATCATGTGAAATTTTCTTGTACACTTTTACATGTATTGATTACTGTTCACCAAATACGCGTGTCATTTACTGCACTCTGAGTTCTTCCTCGTATCATTATTCGTCTGTCTGGTTTATGGCACTCTCGTTCACATACATTTTTAGTTGTCTGGTGCAATATTTATCTGGATCATTATTCTTCGCAACATTAGCAAACCCGAGTCTTCAGTTTTAAACTTGAGTTCTATTACTGATCGACCTACTTTAGCTGCTCAGAAAACAAGAGCTTTTAATAAATTACTCATATTAAAAAAATGAAAGAATCTACGAAGAGTGTGGTGCTTTCCTAGGATTATTATAGTTCTGAAGATCGATGCGTTCCTTTCGCAAAACACTGTACATAGAAATTCATCTATGTGACTACACAGAAGTTCTCCTTTGGAGACAATATGGGCGTAAATAATTCTTCAAACGACACCACAGCTTCAGTATTATTCTTAGGAATCCCAGTTTTAGAGTTGATAAAATGTTTCTTGTATACTATAACCCTTTATGAATATCTATATTTCTCTAGCTAGTCATATCTCCATCAATCCTCGGTATAGACAGTTGTTTTGAGTAGCACGTGTTTCTGAATAAATGGAATTAAATTCTGTTCAAACCTCTCCCATACCTTCTCAAAATTTTTGTTTCCCAGCTGTTTATCCAAAATTTCAAAACTGTCACTGAATTCATATAAATGAACCACTTATCAAGTCTACCTTAACCCCCCTTACTTATTTACGCCTGCTACCCTTCTTAGAGGAGCATAAGCCGTCTACTAGAATTCTCTATCGAACTCCACCCTGGGCAATCCTTCACAGTTGTTTTCAGTTGTTGTTCATTCTTTTGATGTAGTTTGACAATTTCCACAGCGTATGTACTACCACCTCCAAAATCTTTTCCTAATTTCCTCTTCAAATGAAGGTTGGCTTGTTCTCTCCTACAGTAGGTTGTTACTGACGGTATCCGGCGAACGGACATTGAGTATCCTGCGTAGATAGTTGTTTAGAAATACATGTACCATGAGGATGATGGTTTCAGTAATTCAAGTTTCAGCTCCGTACAGTAGAACTATCTTGACGTTAATATTGAAGATTCTGACTTTGTTGTCTGACAGTTGCTTTGAGTTCCGTATGTTTTTCAGTCGTTGAAATGCTTCCCTTGTTTTGACAATCTGTGCCTTTACATCTGTATCACATCCTCTTGTTCATCGACGATGCTGCTTGGGTACCTGAAAGCTTCCATCTCTCTCAAAACTTCCCCATAAAATGTCATTAGGTTGATGCACACTGTTTTGTATTTCGCTATCTTGCATTATCCCTCGTAAATGTTGTGGGTTTCATAATGTAACAAATAAAACTTTGCCTTAACTTCCTAAACACAACAATCAGAATACAGTTTATGTAAACGACTGTATGAAACTTTTTTGAATCACAATGTTTGTTAGACTTATGTAACTTTTGAATAGGATGTCAAACTGTATATGAACAAATAAAGTTATTTTTTTATTTTATCAACAGCACAGTGGACCAGCTGTCAATTAAATCTGTAAGCGTAAGCGGAATACGCATGAAGTGTATCAACTTTCCAGTAGAAGTTTTTGTCTTGTATGTATGGTAAAAAGGATGGAGATAAACTCTACTGTCATTCTCAATTGTGATCTTGCACCTGACAAATAACCAAAATGAAGCGGGAATTATTATTTATAATGTCTTAGTCCTTGATGCATGACCTTCATTTCTTCTAGTTCACATGAAAAATGTAAAGCTTTCTACGATGAAAATACCGATTTATCATGCTACGGACGTGTCAGGTGTAGCGCACTCAGTCATGATGGAAGAAAAATCACATCGCAAAAGTTGTACCTCCAATTGATTCTATAATGGAAACTATTCCAAAATATCTACAACTGAGTGACCAAATCAACAAAAACATAATCGTCCTTACTGACTACGATACGCTTAATGGACCTGACGACGTGAAGTTTATCCCCAACCTGGTAAAAATATAACGCTTAGCCTAGAGGTTAGAAATGCTTGTTCCATAAAACAGTCTCACTCAAATTGTGCAGATGATTGGTCTTAAAATCAGTCAACGCTCTATTTGTATTTTAACCAATCAGAACTAAACATTACCAGGATATACCTCCTTTCTGATTGGTTGGAATCAACAGTACAAAACTGAAAAATTTGTTTAGCTATCAGCCAATTAGATTATAATGGATGATGCATGAGCCATTTAACCTGATCAAGCGAAGTTGGATGTAATAAATTTTTCGCGTTACACATCGCAAATAATTTACATTTCAAGGTAATTTTTTAAAAAGATTATTTGATAGTTTTTTTGTTAAAATAACATTTTTTGCTAATTCACTTGGTAGTTTGGTTGAATCTTCCCATTGATGTTTAGGACTGAAATTGATCAGTCACTTATTGGCCATACGTTCATATTGTGTGTATTGCCTCGATATAGCCTAAATTTACAAGCATTGTAAGCAAAGATGGATAGTGACTAGCAGTGGAATCCAGGACGCGCGTTTCGTCCTATTTGGGACTCGTCAACTGGATGTACCTGCATCTCAGAGTTGATGTTCACTTTGGGACCCTCTTATCATTTTTGCTAATGTTAATTATTTGTTGGCTATAGTTTTTCAGTCGAAACTACTCGAAAATATTAAGTAGGACGAGTTTCAGTGTTTCTATTACTGAATTTAATGCTCATGACCCTACAACATAAAGAAGAAACACTGGTTCACTTTTCATTCTCAAAGTTGTGCAAACAGATAGATAGATAGATAGATAGATAAACAAAGAGTACTGGCTTCGGAAATATCGTTATGTCAGAACAAACAATTCACTATCCCAGAGTATTTTTATTTAAAAATATGCGGGAGACAACTAACTATTGTACTTACTAAACTTATAGATTTATTCATGGTTTAATCCTTAGGCGTATACCCAGTGCATACCTGTTTACTGTGTTAATGCGAACAACTCAAGTGGTTTTCATTATCATAAGTCCAGTGATTATATGTTATCAACCAAGGCTGACTTTCAAGTAACCTAATGCTTAAATTCATTTCATTCACCTAATAGTCTACAGTTTAGTTTGCAATCAGTTGAATCTTACTAATCAGGTATTATTTTACGACTTTATAACGTCAATTCTGAACTGTTATAGTGAAGCAAAATGATTATAAAAAGAATTATAGTAATTAGTTTTTAAGGATAGTTTCTTCTCTCATCAATCAGTGCCTTTGTCTCCAATTGAAATTACTCAAAAATGCACGTCACCATCTTAATATATTCAATTATCTTTTCTCTTTCTCTTGTGCTTTAATCTTATTTTCTCGTAGTTAAACAAACAATGTCAACTATAATTCAAGAAAATGATGATCATTTCACAAATGAACCTTCAACGAAACGTACAAAATATTTATTTGAAACTTCCTCGTCAAATAATGGAGAAGGATTTAATCTGAACACATCTTTCAATTCATTGATCGAAAAAAACTTTACAAAATTACATTCAACAAATATTCTATCATCATATTTAGGTACAGATAATGCATCGATTAATCATATGAATAGTTCTTCTGATTTAAATATACCACAATGCGGTAAGTAAATTACTACCGAAATAAACTATTTATGATTATTTGAATATTAAAAATTCCCATCATGTCTCTTACCGACTATCACCAGTTATGTAACATATTTCGTCCTGGTTATCGTTAGGGCTTCCTCATCAGTGCACATCTACAATTCTGTCAACCATTGAACTTAGAACTTTCAGGCATTGTTGCAAACATCTAAACCATGAGTCACTGAGTTGAAGTCTGATAATTAAGTCGATTCGTACTGAATACCACCTACACATTGTTATTGATTTCCAAAAACATCTTAATTAAATTAGCAATCATAATAATACAATACTTAATCTTGTTATCCCTCTTTAGATGAAAGCCTCCTACCAAAAATCTTCGAGTCATTATGTCCTGGGCTCTTCTTTCCAGTTTTTACCAAGTGATATTCGTAGTATTCATGTCTCGTTTATTTTAATCATCATAACAACATATTTTCAGTTAGATCATTATCAGGCTTTCCCGTTTTATCTTAATATTTATGCATATATAAAACACCAATGTCTCTTCCATGGCTTAACGATTTTACCACTTTTTTTCCATAACCCTCTTCTTTCATATCCCTTTTTTCGTTGTCTACATATTTCGGCTGATTATTTGCTCACTTCTTATTACGTAATTTTTCTAAGGTTCAGTGATTGGTATTCTAATATTTGCTTTCTAAATTTCTAAGTTGAAATATTTATTCAAGCTGTTATTATTCTTATCAATAATAGTAAACTTGTTATTTTGCAAGCAGTTTGTACTTTTTACATATTACAATTACATATGTAATCCCTTTTCATCGTTGGCACTGACCCATAAATCTTATTGGTTGGTATTGTGTTCTCCACATATGTTTATAAATATTACTTAACATTACAGCAAAGTGTTTGACTAAAAACAATATTGTTCGCTCAGATATGTGTTATATACCATTAATGTCATTGAGGATTTTATAGAAATTAATTTAATATATACGTGATATTTGTCACCAATCGACACAATAATTAGGTTACAATTCAGTGATCCAAAGTTTGCAACAATGACTGAAGGTCTTGAATCCAATCGTTGACAGAGTCCGGTCTACCATTGAAAAAGCCGTAATGATAACCAGGACGGAATATCCATATGGTGAGATTTAGTCTACAGAGAACACTCGACCTTGATTTCACGCAAGTTGACACTCGTCAGCAAAGCGTCTCTACTATGTTGAGGGAGCTGATACTCCTTGTCCGATACAAACTCACACCATCTATCTTCTTATTCTGACATGTTACCAATGAGATATTTGAGGCGCGACTGGTCTTGTCAATTAGCAACGAAATGTCCGCTGGGCACTCGCCGGTATTCAGTAGCACTCTAATTGAGGTCCATCTGTGACTAGTAGAAGTGACTATGAGAACCATACATTAAGCTTTTACTCAAGACTAAAATTAGTCTTTACTGATCGTAATGATTTTAACAGTTTTGAAGCAAGTGAAATTCGAAAAAAAAACATGTAAAGGGTACAAAGTATTCGTTGAAACAATAGAAAACTATTCAACAGTCTTTATGTCAATAGACCATTTACCTAATTACATTGGAGCTTTCAGAGAAGACTCAGTTTACATTTTAGAGTTTTATAAATCTCATAATACTAAAGTTTTAAGTTTGAATGCAATTCATACTATGGATGAGCGTCATCATAAGAAGAGAAACTTAAATTCAAATGTATGACTTGCATTCTGCTTATATGTGACCCCATACAAATTGGAATTTAAAGTCTATCTGGGCTCAGTGCTGGACATTTTGAGTTAAAAGTTAATAGGTTGAAGGTAGTCGACAAGAAACCTCAAGTCTAAGTCTTATGACATTTGATACTGCTCAGTAAAGTATATATGTAATTTTGAGAAAATCGCTGCTCCCATAGGTACTTGAATATATGTCGACTGGTGGCATAGTCAAACAAATTACTATGAAGTTTTCCAAATGTTCACTATCCTACAACAGCATTCAAGTGTTAGTATTTATGGAGTGTTAGATATTAGTCAGCACCAAGGACTATAGTATATTACATTACGCCTCCAATTGTTACACAGAGCGTTGAAGACTCAAATTTCGAAAGGAACATCAGTTTACTCAAGATTGGAGGTTTGGATTAGTAATTAGTCTGAAGCATTATGATATTTGGATTCGGAGCAATCAGATATAGAACTCAGTAAAGTGTCATTTTTCTGTGATCAATTGTTAGTCTGAAGGGAGACCAACATTAAAGAAACTTATTTGGTTTTCATTATGATGCCTAATCGAAAACTAAATAAGTATAATATTGTAATCAATGAGAAAGGAAATACTTTGACGGTTTCAAATTGGCTAATGAAAACTATCTTTTATTTGGATACTCTTTAAAAACATTTATTCTAATGATGATACACAGTGTACTAATGGGTTCTTTCTATTTTTAGTAAGCACCATTAATACTCTTTAAGACATTTTGAATTCAAACCCTTCAGTCCACACCAGTTCGTAGTGACTTTGTCTCGGTAAAATTTGAACAAAATGACTCTTAACCAGTATACATAAATTAAGGTGCTTTTTTTACCTCTGATTATGAATTTTCATAACCATTTCCAAAAAAATGTATGTCAAATTCTACATTTAAACCTGATTCAGGGTCACCGTTCAATCAAACCACAGACACATCCACACACACACACTTCATTATATCTAACATCATTTCTGTTGATTCATTAATTATTTCATAATGATTTTGAAGTTAAGGAGCACTATTCACACCTTTTAATCCTATTTTTACTCCACGATCGACCAGAAAAAAAGAGTGAAAACAATGAGAAAAGAGTAGAGATCTTATGAATAAAAAAATCATATATTAATGCATTAGTTACTATGGTCGTTAAATCTTAAATAAAAATATAGATTGTGTAAATAAAATAATTGTTTAATCAAATGAATTTACGTTTCTCTCCTTCGTTCTCTTTGTCATTTATTTTGAACATTAAATTGTTTTTTCTTTCAGTCAACATTGGAATGACGTTATTATTAATTTTACAGTTTACATCACAAACTAGCCTAACTTTGACAACCACTAAAAACCAAGAAGCACTGAACGGCTGCTTTTGTCCAAATATGAAACTCATCAAAAGAGCGCATCCATAAATCTATCGAGGATCTTCAGGTCACTAAACCTTCAGCACCTAATCTTAAGACCACATAGTCGGCATCCAGTCATCTACAATTTTAGCTTGAACCGACTGGCAACCATGAAAATGGGTAACGTAGGTTCTAATTCCATATGAAACATCAGTTCCTTGGGGGAACACAGGGACACCTAGTTGGTGAGAACCAGCCAGCACAATACCTAGGTTAAGCATAGTTTCCTGAAGACTACTTTCAACAACCTAACACCGAAACGTCTATGTCCAGTAGCTGAGAACAGTAACTACATTACAATTTGGTCGCTGAAATACGATGAGTACTAAAGATTAGACAAATATTACATTTACAATCAATGTGGGAGAATGTAGAGCAGTCGATCTAAAAATTAATCATGACCACCTCGACTTAGTAATATGTATTTTAGTCTAAAAATCTAGAAAAATAAGTTTTGTTTCTTATATAACACTTTTAGGTATATATATATATATACAAGTAGTTTGGTGGGTAAATGTGCATCACAATGCATTCAATAGATAACCAGTAAATATTTGTCTTCTCATAAATTATACTTTATTTCTTTGAGTTCTTATTGTAACTGGGTGGTCGACTGTGTTATATCCTCGTTACCGCTGTTGTATCTAGATCGCTAACTGTTATATCTGGGGGTTCGTTGATGTTATGTCCGGATGGTGGACTCTAGTGAGTCCGCTATCTTTTTGCTTTTGCCTAACTATCCGAAACTACTGAAATTACTGCATCATACTTTGAGACAGGAACCATTACAATTTTCACGATCCAAAATGAGAACACGAAAGATTGATGCAATGAAGACTGATTGACAAGCTAAAAACACATCTCCAAACAAGTTCCAAAATTACATCATCCTTATACCAAAATAAAATCATTTATTTGCTAATTTTTTATGCGCACTTTATATTAGCATAGTTTATAGGAAATACAAAGTTAACTGTAAAATCATACACACTGAATATAGTTCGTCTGAATTGATGCAAGTAAGATGCGAGTAAGAATAGTTGTTCACACTTGTCATATTGAATGAAATTCACACTCAATTGATGTAAAAAATGTTGACCTAAATAATGTCATCTTATTAAGTCATATCAGTCCTCATCAACTGCATACAACCTGTTATACTCAAAAATCATAATTACAAAATGGTTTGGAATTACATACATAAATGAGTTTAGCCTGAAGTTGTTTGGATCATATATCAGTATAGCATAACAAGGATATAATAAATTTAGGAGACTAAGTAAAATATTGCGAATAACTTATGTGGAAAATACTCTACACCATTGATGGTAACAAAAACCAGAGAGCCAGAAAAAAGTGGTTGTGTAGAGAACAAACGCTAATAATAAATAGGAAAAAAAGAAGTGAAGCTCAGTTAGTTAAAACAAAACAAATGATATGGAAGAGAGGGTAGGATATTTGGTCGATACTTTGAGATCTTTCATTGTGATTGACAGACAGTCAAACTCCAGTCTTCTGAAATTTACTGTAGCCATTGCTATAGGAAACCCAATTTATGTGTTTAAAGCGGACAGTTATTAATTATGAATTATTTCCTTTAAAATAAAACTGTAATCACATAAATTTCTACACAAACTCTTTGTTATAGATCACGGGAATGAATTCTCACATTCAAAACCGCATCTGTCTAGTTGTCACTTATCCTCTACAAATATTCACTCAGTTTCTTCACATAGCAATCTTGATTCTTATTCTATGAATAAACCTTCTACATCTCAACAACAACTACAACAGTATCCACATTATCAACATTCGGAGCAGTTAGAAAATCTATGCGCCGAAATGTCGAATTCAACTAGTGATAAATTATTGCATGTATTATCAACTTCATCTTCAACATCCTCGTTTACGTATAGAAATGATTTAAATTTTCCAGGAATTTCTGGTGACATTAGTAAAACAAGTGAATTGTCGGCGGCAACAAGTACTTGTTCAAATATTCAACAATTTGTAAGTGTTCACTGTATTAACTTATTATGATTGTGAATTTATTGATCGTAATAATTTTATATGGTATGATGAATAAAATTCAATAGTTAAAAAGCCTTATTATTTATTAATCTATTAATGTCTATAATTGAATCTGATGGAAGATCAGATGAAGAGCAAGCAGTTTAGTGGCTAAGTCTATGACTATAACCTTAAAGTGACTATGCTAGAATCATAAAGGACATTTTTTTACGTAATGTATTTAGTAGTTAAGCAAACTACAGTCATAAAACTTCATTTTATAACATTTATAATACATCAGTTTTACAATTTTCAAAACATTCCCCGTATATGGCAATGCAGTTATTCTAAACCGGGTTTAATCTTTTAAAATACAGTTTCAAATCCTTGGAAATAATGCTATTCAACTGCCTTATGGTTTCGTACGTGTTCATACAACTCTCCCGGAATCAGTTCATCAGCTTTTCGACTAAAGTCAATTAATCACAAAAGACGTTCATATAACTGGTTCTCCAGTGACGACAGAGAAGGCAATGAGATTTGCAAAAGGAAAACTGAGTTTCACTCTATTTCGGAGCCTTTTTCCAACTACTAAACAGTCAAAATTTACAATAAATAAGAGGATTAAAGACGAAAACCTCGCATACTTGAAATGTTAGTGATATAAAAATAAGCCAAGGAACTAATGGCTACCAATGTAGGTAACAGTAAGGTGGGATAAATTTCCTACTTAATCCAATGAATAAGAATTAAGTGAAAATGGGATAAAGGTATTATATTTTAAAATGAGCCCAGAGGTGGATAAACTTCGGAGTATGAGAGCATTCAGATATCTAAAGCATGAATACAAACTTTCGCTATGCTTTGAGGATCCCTTAACGTCTGGACTACAATTTAATTTATTGACTTTCCCTTTTTTACACACTGTAATAATTTATTATTATCTTCAAATGATAAAAATAGACATTCAAGCTTTTCACAGTCTGAATAAACTTCTCAGACATGTAACATTGGCAGGAGCTAGGTTTTACAATCTGTAACATTTTACAAGTATAATCTTTACTTTTCCTTGTTGATCTCAAATTGTGAATAGGTATTTTCATGTATGAATTTCTATAAATTCAACTATGGTTGTAAACTGACAAATGTAAATTTTCAATCGGTAGATTGGATTATTATAATCAAGACGATTCTCAATTACAATACACTAATGAAAAAACTCTGTTTAGTTCCACTGATCTCATCAATAAACATGCATTGGTAACTCTGATGATTTAGTAAATAAATAAATTTGAATGGTTGAGATCATGAATCTATTGAAGCTAGACCACCATGGAAAACCTGGAAGCACTGGACGGCCGTTTCGTCCTATTGTGGGACTCCTCAGCAGTGCGCACCCACGATCCCACCTCGCGAGATTCGAACCCAGGACCTATCGGTTTCGCACGCGTGCTCTTTAGTTCTAGGCCACTATAATATCCACGAAAACCCTTTCTGATAATAATCAACATATACTCACTAGTGACTGACTTCAAGAGGTATTTCCAGGATTTTTAGTGAGAAGCAGTGACCGGTAGAGTCAACCAGGTCTGTTGTGAGATAGTAACCTACTGAAGACATTGGTGGATGTGTCGCTCAATTTCTTGGATTGATTGAAGTGAGACATTAGCACCGTTGGATGCCGACTCAGTGGTTCTAGAGGTTAAGAGCTCGCACGCGAAACTAATAGGTCCTGGGTTCGAATCTCACGAGGCGGAATCGTGGATGCGCACTGCTGAGGAGTCCTACAGTAGGATGAAAAGGTCGTCTGGTGCTTCCAGGTTTTCCATGATGGTCTAACTTCAATTGATTCATGATCTCAACTATTAAAATTACTACAATATCCATAAAACCTCTTCTGATATTAAATAAATAAATAAATGTTAGTAATATGTAAAAAACTGTAAAGCATTTTGACCTACATGCTACTGTCTCACGTAATATATTTTATTTATTTAATTTTTGTTTTAAAAACCATTCTTCATATTTGACCTAATAATTAACAGAATTTATTTATCATTACCTTACAGATATCTAATGGAAATTACAACACCACTACTGGTAATAATAGATCATTACTATTATTGAATAATGGATCCTTGAATAATTCATCTAATCATCTATCTATAAATGAGGAAAGCATTGTCAATACACCATCAATATTCTGTCAGTATCAGTCGTTGATAACAACTACAACAACAACAAATACTACTACTACCACAACAGCAAAAAAAGCATTCACAGCAATATCAAATGTAACTACAAGAAGTGATAATGAAATTGAGTTAATGAATTCAAAAGGTTGCAATATGGATTTGATGCCAAATTTGACAGAATCTAATGGTAAAGTTAATAAATAGATATTTTTATCAGTAGAATGTATTCGTCACAGAGTAAATTCAGCTGTAATAACATTGGAAACGATCGAGCACTGGACAGCTATTTCATATTGATATAGAATTGATTAAAGTTGAATTTGTACCATTTTGTGCCTGTCTAGTGGTTCTCGTGGTTAAGCATTCAACACGACACCTGAAGACCTTGGTTTTGACCTCTGGCAGGGTCATTAGTGAACACTGTTGAAAATTCATATCTTAAGATTAAATAGTTGTTCAGTACTCATTGGGTTGTTAAGAGTATCCCAACTGATACCTAACTATGACGAATAAAATCTCTATAAAACCCCATCAACTAAGATATTTCATTAGTTGTAATTAATGTATTTATAATAACTCTAAAATTTAGTACTGCTATAGTATTCAATTATAAATTATTTGAAATTATCTGTTCGTTCATCCCTTCACTATGATGAGGTAACTGGGAATGATGGGTTACTTGTTGCAAGAAATTTCTCATTAGCCTATATCTTAAATTGCAATTGTTAAAAGATTATATTCCTAAAATGTTTGTAATAGTAATGTGAATATTATTATTATTATTGTCACAATCTATGTCTGCAACCAATACTTTCCAATATATGAACTCATAACCATAATCTTTTGAATAACAAACTAGACAACTCTTTAAACACTAAATTAAGTAATAAATTAAAATATTAATAACAGTATATTCTGTATATTCTCTCTTATATGTTGTGTGTTAAGAGTAAAGTGACTGATTGCAATCAAAATGATCTCGACTTAGTTATCAAGTTGATCTAGATTTGTCACCAAGGTAAATTCGTAACTTTATTTTTGGGCCTTATTCATGAAAAGTACTTAGGGTGAAATAACGTTCATTAATGTATCTATAATTCTGAAGTGTCGTAAGGAAGTTTTTTTTTTAAAAAAAACAAAACAATGTTCTTTGATATGTAAGAACTTTCGTCTAAATTAGAACGAAAAGTTTAACAGTATTTGAGCGCCGAGTTGATGTAAGACATAAATTAAGAATAATATATTTGTAAAATCTCAGCGAATGAATTTGTAGTAAATCCAACGTTTCGCCTGGCAATCTGGTCCAAGCTTTTTTCAAGGAATTATAATCAAACATCAAAATTATCGAATATAAATAGGTACATGGTTCTTCGTTTCATTGTACACTGACTAGATCATCCAATCAACGTTAAAAATGTCTAAACTAGGTATATGTATTAGTGTGTAAGAGATTTGTGATGTTCGGTGAGGATCATAAGCTTATTTGAAAATTATTTGGAAAAATCACTTACATTTTTAAAAAAAGAGATCAGAGTGAAATTATATAAATCAGAATGTTTCAATATAATTTGATGTTACCACTGTTTAGTGTTCCCACATATCATGTTCAATAGATCAATGAACATATCCACAGATAAATGCGATTGGTTACGTATTGTAAATTAATGTATATTTACATATGATTACGTCCATTTGTTCTACAGTTATTCTACTACTTCAGTGGATACATTTAGTTGTTATCGTATTGTAACAATAAAAACAATCCTGCTGTGGTTAATTTTATAGATTTATTCTAATGTATCCATGTGTCTACTTCTAATATTGATATAAGATGACCAGTAGATTATTTATATGTTCTTTAAAACCATCATGATTAAACAGGGCATCTACATATACATTCATGGTAAAAACCCATAAGCAAACATGGAAGTGACCTTTCATAGGTACTTTCATGGGTGAATATATTTCATTAGAGAATAAATAAATATTAGACTTATCTTTATTCATTCTACATTAATTCTATGAAACCGCCAAAAAATGGGGAAATTTCCGACTGGTGAAATGAAGAAATTTAAGATATAAGCTTGTTTTTCTATGGCCAACATCATAAACTGATTTTATGACTGAATCCATTAATTATATATTTGGTCTTGTGTTTATTTAATCTTCATAACTGTTATATCATTGTAATATTAGACATCAGGTAAACATTACAGATTTAAATTTTCATGGCTTTAAATTATTTACCTAATTATTTGAACATGGGACTATAAGATCATGTCATAGCCTCAAGTGTTTTACAACTGAACAGAAGATGAATATATATATAATACTGAGTAACAGACTAACATTGGTTAAAAGATGGGGGTCTTTAAACGATTAACATTGTTTGTATTAGTTAAAATTTCCTGAATAAATTCAACACATGGTATACTGTGACGGTTTGTTAATTTCTCTGTACAATACAAAATCTCCTCATAAGTAATCATAGAACCTTAAAAAAAGATAAATTACCCTTTATAAACTATCTTCATGTTAGAATATAGTTGACAGCATGAATTGAGTTTAAGCAGAAAATCGATGAAACTCTGTCATGCCCTAATATGAGACTTTTCATTAAAGCACAATCTGGAATCCAATGGACAGCAAACTATGTACCTTCAGATTTGATGACAATCTCATTACGGTTCGATCACTATGTTGGTATTCATTAATATGATCAATCGATTTGGGCTCTACTGTGAGGATATAATCCCTTTAATACTAGTAATTAATTTTATTTATTTATTTATTATTAGCTTTATTCAATATTATATTTTTGGTACAATATAGAATTCTCAGCACAAAGTACTTCAACAAGTTTCCATTTCTTACTTCTTCGTCCTTCCTGACGATAAATATTGAGTGATCGCCAGGTAGAAGTTAGCAGCCCAGTCAATCGACATCTAAATATTGTACATTCTTCTCGCTGCATATTTCCAGCAACCACGATACCTCTGAATAGGCCTTCTGTAACCTTTACAGCGAAAGGTCTTACACTTATCAGAAACGCACCTGAAATAGGTTGTGCGATTATTAAACATAATGATGTATTAAAACAAACAAAATTAGATAACCTGTTGAAATATCTAGATGACAGGAACAGGTAGCCCAGATGTTTAGTAATATCTACCTCTTACGTGAAACAGTTGAACTGAATTAGTCATATTAACCAATCGTTGATAATCATTATCTGTAATTATATTACTGTTTATCATTTCAAATATTTTAGAAAATAATCACAATTCTCCTAAATTTATTAATAATACATTGAATTTATTAGAAATTCCCACTTCATCATATCCTATAACAACTAATCATATGAAAGATTCTTATTTGCCATCTATGTTTATTCATGATAATGTATTATCTGAAAACAATCAATGTACTACTAATGAAGAACAATCATGGATCATTTCTGATAATAATAATAATAATCAAAATTATTTGAGTTTACAAATTCAAAATGGTGATCACCAAGTTTACTTTCCACATAATGAACATCATTCACAATATCAACAGAATACATATAAGCATGATGATATTTATCCAAATAATCTGATCAATTATTCAAAGAATACACTTCAACAAGAAGAAGAAGAACAAATATCAAGTTCAACATTATTATCAAATTTATACAACAATAATGATGGTTATTTACATACAAAAGTAATGAACTCAATGAGACTGCATTCAATAAATGAAGCATTACATGGTTCCAATCAACAACAACAACATCAACAAAATCCACATTCACAACACCAACAGTTGAATATAAATTATAAAGGTTTAGAAAAATCAGATGATAAGTTTACACGAATATTTATATGGGATTTAGATGAGACATTAATTATATTCCATACTCTTCTTACTGGTTATTATGCGCATAGATATGGTAAGGTAAGTGGATGAAACAGGTATGATATATTTTTTTTTCATAGTTGAAAGCGTGAGTTAATTAAAGCTAGACCACCAAGGAAAACCTGGAAGCACTGGACGGCCGTTTCATCCTATTGTGGGACTCCTCAGCAGTGCGCATCCACGACCTCGCCTCGCGAGATTCAAAACCAAGACGAAACGGTCGTCCAGTGCTTCCAGGTTTTCTATGGTGGTCTAGTTTCTATTGACTCATGATTTCAACTATGAAAAATACTGAAATCTCCACAAAAACCCCTTCTGATAATAATATATATATATATGTTTAGGATCTAAGAAACAATTCCATTATATCCATCTATCATTTGTTACATTGTATGTTTGAATAAAGAGTGTCTTAATTTAATAATGTTCACATCAAACCCCTTACATTAAATACTTATATGAAGACAATGTTTTTATCAAAGAATTTACTTCCAAAAGAGGAATTATAATTAAATTTTTAGAATAACTTCCCCTATAAACCGATGGCATACTAAATTGACTACAGAATTGATATTCCTTTCTGAAATGTTAGCGAATTGATCTACTATTCTTAAACAATCTTATACATTATATGAGAAAGTGAGACAATTATATCAACCCACAATAATCTTAAAAATTCCTTTAAAGTATGACCTTGGTCTGCTTCTTGATTGTGGGCACCATGGTAGAGTTTGCATGTCACCTTCACTTTGTTACACTATGCATTCAGTAACCTACTTTGAATGATATATATATCAGTTGATCAAGCATTTCTGTAGTTGCAATAATAGAAATATTCACTAGCAACTCCTTATACAAAATAAGTTATCATCATGTACTTACTAGTAACTAAATTCGAGAGGTATATTCCTGGATTCACGTGAGAAGCTGTGACTGATGGAGTTCAGCTATATTCGGTGTGAAACAAGTTTCGCCAATTAAAACGGATGAAGATAACTCAATATTGTGAATTGGTTGAAGTAAACCATGCAATGGTGACACAATCACCTCAGGGCCCTGGTTTCGGTCGTTGATGCGATCAAGGATACGCCCTGATGAATGCTGAATATTAAGATGGAACTTCTGCCCAATGCACCCTGGTTTTCATTGGTTGTTTAAACATAGTTCGGATTTGCTCTGAAACTTAAAATTCAATAAACCCTACAATACTCTATAATGTGTCATGATTGTTCAATGATAACACGTAGTAATAACAATAAGTACGAAACAATAGTTCATAATTATTTGATTCCGATTACTCGTATGCAGAACCGGTTTACTGATTAAATCGTTACACTTTGAAATAATAAGTTACAGGAATAGAGCTCTTTCCTTATGTGATTTTGGTAGTATCGTTAATCTTGATTACTTTCTCGATTATGTTTTTTAGGATCCGGCAGTAGCTGGTACCTATGGTTTACGAATGGAAGAGTTAATTTACAATTTGGCCGATACATATTTATTTTTCAATGAACTTGAAGTAAGTAAAAATAAATATCTGTACATTTATGTTTAAGTCATTCGTTTTACACTTAAATTGCATAGATCTGTGAAAAGTTTATGCATATAATTTAAAGTGAGACAGTTACCTATCATTGGTACTTATTCGAAGATAATGGTTATATCGAAAAACTCTAAGTTAAGAATATTGAAGTAGTGTAGGCGAGACTATAATTTATGGAAGAATCGATCAGGTAAAATATGACAGGTCTCGGAATTTGGCGCAAAATTCACCCATCCATTTGGCTAAATAGAGTTTTCGCATTTGTAGACGATGTCAGTTCATGATGAAAACCCTAAATCTAATTCCCAATCTTAATCTTCAACTGTAAATCATAATTCTAATTCCTCACACAGGTTTATAACCCTCATTTGGTCCTAGTTATTAGGTGAACACTCTCAGGGTTAGTCTAGAGTCGCTTGAAGGCCGTCCATAAATTATAGTCTCACCATAGTCTATTCATAACCACGAAATGAATATTTTTGTGTAAAGTTTCCCTTTTCAAAATCTAATATATTAATCATGGATGCAAAATAGTGGATAATCGCAAGCGGAAACGAAACTTCTATTCAGTCAGTACCTAATGGTCTTCAATCATTCTGTTATATAAGTTCATAATAAAAATCATCTTTTAAATTCATTTGTTTGCTTTTAAAAGTGTTTATAAAATAGAAAATGTACTTACAGTCACATGATTAAAAGAATAAATACTCTGATTGTAATCAGATGACAATCATATCATAAACATGAAAAGAGATTAATAAATATAGTATAGTAATTTGAAAGACTAAATGATGTCTTAATGAAACGCTACATATCATTATCAGTAAGTGTTTAAATTATTCAGTTGTCAATATTTGAAACGGGGCTGGGTTCCAAATATATCCAGATGGAAAGTATCCTATGAGAAGAAATGCTCGTTCTAGATCATACTACTGGAGACAACCTATATATTCTATAAAACGACTATATCGAGGCAACCCGTACAAGATGTATCTGAGCCAATAGAGCTTGAACAAAATTTAGTCCTGAAAATTAAAATTAGGTTAATTCAAACCTTTATGATTAATGATCATGACTAACGATATAAATATCATACTTGTTAAGAAAGTTAGTGACTATCTTGACTCAATAGTTCAGGGGATGAAGTGTTGGTGTTTGAAGCGAAAAATCAATAGACTATTGTCACAATGTGAAAATCAACAGTGGGACGAAGGTACATCCATCTGATGAAACGTGTGTTCTGGATTCCACTACTAACCATAATCCATCTATTTTAAAGTACTATCACTAACTTGTGCTGAATAATTTTTTCATTAATAGTTTGTTACAAATTATGAATATCATTAAAATTATAAATGTAATGTGTTGGCAAGCAAAGCATAATAGTTAGGTGCCAGACCTGAAAATATTCTTCTTTATTTGTCTGATGTAACTTATTATAACTTCATAAACCTAATAAACGTTAAAGAGGAAAAGTGAAGTAAAATCACAATTATCACTTCTGTCAATTAATTTAAGGATCAATGAGGTACATCCTCATATCCATCAGCTTAAACACCAAAATATTTATTACACTAACTATTCATTAAATAATCAAAAAAGCTCAGATAGATACTTTTAACGATGCTACATTTTTATCTAAACAGGAGACACTGATAATGTTGACAAGACCGATAGTTTATGTTCCGCAATTTATTCAATAATTTAGTTTAAGAAAATCTTCTTCATGGAATTATATTTATTTTTATCCACTGACACATCGGGTTACTTTAATTAGACCAACTAATTGATAGAATTCAAAGTGATTATGAGTTAATTATATTATTCTAGAGGTTTATAGAGGCCGTTAACTCTTCATAGTCCAAATCACAAATTGACATAAGATAGATAATTATTAAACAGCAGGAAGCAGTAAACAGCGATTTCATTCAAGTATAGAGCTCCTCAGCAATGTGCATTGACGATTCTATCACAAGGGACAAACCAGGAACTTTTGATCTCAGGCGCTAACATTTATTCTTTTGATCCAATGACAAATATGTTTAACTTTTCAATCATTTCGCAACCATCTTTCATTCCATACAGTGAATAAATGTGTCATACCTGATATGATTGAACTGCACTGGTCACAGATTTTTACATGAACTACCGGAATCGCATATAGCATTTAGTTAGTAGTAAGCAAAAGATTAATATTATGATTAGGTTACCTTATGACTTATATACAAATAGATAAGCTAGATGTTAGTTTTTTTAAATTATCATCTGATGGATGGATATATGCGTGTATACTAAGTTGCCATAAGCTAATCAGATTAATCATAGATTATAAGATAAACATTTGAAGATATTATAATGTAATTTGATAATTATTCAGGGAATTTAGCTGATATTTATATAACACTCATCATCATAAATTGTTCTATAGTACTGATATAGAATCCGCAAAACAAGAAATATAGTTATTGGAAATTTATAGTAACTTCGTGATAACTTGCTAATCACAATGCATAAGAGCCATACTGTATTGTGAACTAGATGATTCTAACCATATGATTCAAAGTTATTTTACTCAGTATGATGGAACATGATTTAGCAGTTCTATTTCTCAGAAATAGCTAAATGGTACCCACCAATAGAAAAGTTGCAAACTAGAATGATACCGATGTATAGTCTCATATGATTATCAATAGTTTTCTAATTAATGTCAATTTATGATAATTTCTTTCTACCATATTTAGTTACTTAAAAAGAGTTTATTTGGAACATTGGAGATTATATTTTAACTTATCACTTATGGGATGCTAATTATTATGTTTGCCATTCAACTAAATGATAATTGTGTTCTCAATTGTAATTTACTTTGACACACATTATTAGTGTTTAAGTGAGAAGCTATAATCAAAGTAGTAGAGTGGTCTTCACCTACAGCATCAGATAAATATTACTCTACACTTCAAATTGACTTCGATTAAAAAGATGGATCACTAGATTCTCACCAAATAGTCTGCATAAAGGATACTTGGCATGAGATTTTTAGTTTCCTATACTCCAAAGAAATTTGAAGACAATCTCTTTAACTAGTTGACGAATCCTATAAAATAAGTGAAAAGTAGGTTTTACTCATCAGAGTATATGTATTCTTATCAAAAATTCATTTATGTAAATCATTCATGCAACAAAGATCTTTAGTTTTATATTCTAATTCCACATTGTTTTTTCAGGAATGTGATCAAGTTCATATTGATGATATACGTGGAGATGATAATTATCAAGATTTGATGTAAGCGAATAGTAATGTGTTTGTTAAAATTTATTGAAAATAAAAGTATATATATATATATATATATATATATATATATATACCTTGCATGCTACGTGATTGAGAGTAGTCCTCAGGAAACCCTGGATCTCGGTATCGTACTGGTTGATACTCATCAGTAAGGGTTACTAGCAATCGTTGAGGTGCTTATATTTCATATGGAGTCCGAACACGTCTCATCATTTTAACAGAGACGGAAGTTACCACTGAGCTAACGCTGTAGAAGGGGACCGTCTGTAGAACTGAGATATTTGCTAGTAATTTTTCATTGAGCAGTGACCGATTTTATTTTTGTTTTGTCCTTTATCATTGACCAAGTTCTATCTATTAGTTTTCGATGTGGTCACTAATCCAAGTGGTCCAGTATTATGTGATAGGACGAAATGGCCGTCCAGTGCTTTCAGGTTTTCAGTGGTGGTCTAATATCAATCGGTTCATTATCTCAATCATAAACAATTATTGTTTAGCGGAAGACATTAAATAGATTTTCCTCCTGGTATGTGATTTCTTGGCAGTATGCAGTCATGACCACTGTGTAGATCGAACTCAAGACTTTCAAACAGTTGCGAGCACTACATTACCATCAGACCATTGAGCTTTATTATGAAATGACTCGTTTTTATCTTTTCGAAATATTTGTGATAGCTCAGTAGCGTCATCCATTGTTCAGCTTAACTCTACCGTGCACTAACATTTCAAAATAGCTACATACGCATTCTTACCATCTATAATTTTTATTTATCCACTATGCGATTAAATTGTTGAGCAATTTTCATGAGTGATTTTATAAGGCTTTTTACCTTAGTAATTCTCACCATTATTTTTTTTCATCTAAACTATTTGATCACCACCACTATCTGCCCGTACGCATTAATCTCCCTCTCTTTCACTTTCACACTCAAACTCATTAACCAACATAACAGAGAACAAATGTAGTTATAAATGATTGAATGCATACATACAAATAAACAAACATGCTTATGGACATAAGCATGAAGATACCAACAAGTAGACATACATAAAGAGAATGAGATTTCACATTCCATTGATTATAAATCGACTTACGAAAAATATACTTATGTAATCAGACTCTGGGTCAAATTTCATTTTCTTTATTCAAATAGAAAAAATTTTTCGACAAAATATTTTAAATAAATTAATTTGATTGGTTAGAAGATTTTTAGGACAGAAACTCCATTTTAATATTGTAATTTGTCTAAATTATTTTTATATTATTTAGTGATAATTAGTTGTTGTAACTATCATAAAAATATCATTATAAACTGAAAACTGACGAAGGACTAGTCGAGAAACAGAGATTACTAAATGGTTGACTGTGGAATAATCGTAACCTTGTCGTTCAGATAATGCGGTAAACATGATACCTTTAAACTATCGTGTAAAAATCAAATAAACATCATTTCCGATTTCAGTTTATTCATAATATAGTGCGTTAAGTATCTAGTGGGATCTGTAAAAACTAACTCACTCTAAACTTGGTTGGCTCTTTGATCTGAACTTTTTTATAGCGAACCTATGATATGGTGAAGAAACAGTCAGATTCCTGAGGGACGGCTTTTCCTTATTGCTCGGAATTCAAAAACTAACATAATTTTCCACTAATCTCATAAAAGGTTTTGCAGAAAGTACCCCTATACAGTGCTCAGAATGCTTAGAATAGGTGAGAAAAGTCCTTTGCTATCGAAGGGTAGAAATGAAATAGTGTAAAAGCAAGAAACCAGCAAATGATCACTGCTTCTGATGGATGTTAGGTACAACACAGGAATAAATGGGTTCTTTTTGTGTTTCACTTAAACTTTCAAAAAAGCACTTATTTATAGAGATTTGAATCTTCTTACCATTGATATCAGGGATTGAATTGCGGTCAATATCTTTTGACATATGTGCATGTTGGGCAGATTCCCTCAATATTATTATTAAGTCACAAGTTTTCAAGTAAATTTAGATATTGGCCACCAACAGAATCCATCAGGTCCATTCAGCTGATGAACCTCAAACAGAATGAAACGCGCGTCCTTGATTCTACTGTTAGCCGCTATTCAGATCCAAGCAAATAATTCTACCAATCCACTGAAGAAGTCATTAAAAAGGAGTAGGGATAATGTTTAACTTAAATAATGCAAATTCAATAGTTTGGAAGCTAAGGATAATACTCAAGTATAACACGGAAGTATATTTTCAATAGCGTATGAATAATTATTAGTAAGGGTTTGAGTTATCCCAGCCTTGAGATTCAGATAGAAACATGTGTCCTGGATTTCTATGCTAGTCGTAATTCATCTATTCTAAATACTGAAACCATTGTTTAATCAAGTTGTTTGTCTGATGAAAGATAGCTTTTGTTAAAGTCTTACGTCAGCTGAAAAATTAGAGAGTACTGAAAAATTGTTTCGCTCATGTTTAAAACTCCTCTGGGGGACTTACGGGGTTAAATTTGTGCGTCCCAATCTTAGTTGGTTTGTGCGTGTAGGTTGAAACAAGACAGTTGACCAGCTCTCTCTGGCTTTTAATAATTTTTCACCTACAGTCAACTGATAACGAGCATTACTTGAACATTTATCAAGTTCTAAATTAATTACTATTACGTTGGAAAATATAGTAAATTAAAATTAGTTGAGCAAGTAGGACGTTCGTAGTTCACGTATTGGTGATCAATATTATGTTGTCAGTATAATTAATCAATAGAATTAGATTAACACAAAGTGGAATAAACAAATACAACGCTGTTTACTGCTCATTAATTAAGCAATGTGAATAGCCTAATCCTAGAGGAGGTTATTAGCTGCTCAAATATGTCAGCAGTAACGTTTCTAACTATGACATTAGATGATATGAATAACATCAATTCCTTCGATAATACAGCTGAACACTGCTATAACATCTTGACAAATAATTTTCTGACAAACCTTAGATTGATTCTGAATGGTAATCATTCATTAGCCTGAAACATATCTATCTTCGATTAGAATGAATGAAAATTCACTTGACGAGCCCAGAAAGGGAAATAAACGTTTGTCCTGGATTCCACTACTTGTTATAATCCAGCTCTATTAAAAACATATAACTTGACGGCAATACAAAGGCACTTCGTTCAGGATGCACAACAGAGACTGATCAAACACAGTTTTTGATACCAACAACGAGAAAACTCAAACCGTTACATATACATAACTGGACAGGTTTCCTCATAATTTAAAGATAAGAACACCACATAAGTGGTAGTCTTGAGGTATGAGTAATTAGTCAGAGAACTCAATATCGAATTGTTATTCCATATATTTGAACTTTGTTCCATCTACTACAGTTTAAACAATCGAGTAAAATCAATACCTTTGAAATAGCGTTGCTCAGGACCGATTGCACGAAGTCTATACTTGGTCAATGAAATATTTACATCAAACATATATTAATAATTAATAACAGTAGTAGTGAGATAAAAGCGAAAGTGATTATTCATAAGCGCCTTATCATGCATATGGAATGTGCACAGTTAATCTATATGTTGAGTGATGAATATTCTAACCTAATTTGTTCAACTTGTAACCTGAGCTTATATCAGCTTACACATTTTAATTTTATTCTCATTATTATTAGTAATGTCATTATCATTATTCGTTTATTTCTATTTGTATTGTTCACTGTTAGTGTGTTAGGTTTACCCCTGTTATTTTAACTGTTTATGTAACTAGTTATTTTTTTTAAGTCTGGGGTTGTAAAGACTTTATTAAATAGGGAAATAAATATTGGATCAGGGAGGTAGAGAGAATGACTAACAAATTATTTCTGTTTGCTATAAAAAGGACAGTATCAAGAAACATAGTCAAAAATTGATAGACAAATAGTTTACTTTGTGCCGACAATACCGTGAACCGATTTATGTTAAACTTGTACACCACTATTGGTCTAGAGGTTAACCGTTCACGCGTGAAACCGAAGGTCCTGCGTTTGAGTCCGTGGATGCGCACTGCTGAGAAGCCCCATACTAGAACGCAACGACCTATCCGGTGTTTCCAGGCTTCCAATAGTGGACTAACTTTAAGTGACTCATGAATCCAACTATCAGAACTCATAGATTTGTTCAAAAGCTTATAAGGATTAAATCGGTTTCATTTAATCCACCTATTATTCTGCTCAATCGTGTTGAAAAGAAATATAAACTAACACATTGGTAGTTGCCTCAATTATGGTAAAAAAAGATATGTAGTAAACAAAACTTTTGTGTATTCCAATTTAATTATTCAACAAAGTTTACAGAACTGAAAGTTTATCAGTAAATATTGACGGTTTCTTGCTATTCTTATAGTTTGCTAGAAGATTATCCATTTTTAATTAAGCTCTGTTCACGGATTGACTTCGCTTACACAACCACTGAAGTTCAAAATGGGTAGAATAACTGTTTTTTTCTAGTTTGAGACTCCTAAGGAGTGCAATTCCACAACTCTGAAACTTATGGAGTTCAACGATGTCGGACATGAGACAAGATCCGAATGGATTAGGGTTGGAAGCATGAACTACTGCTCACAAACATAGTGGTCTGAAGATAATGGACCTATCGCAAGACTCCACTGCTTAGATATCTACCCAGTCCTTTATTGTTTTGGATGATAATGTAAATAATATCAGTCAGTTATGTGAAATAACTACCTAGTTTCTAATTGTTTCTACTTTATTCTTTGGATCAGACAAACTCTTCAATCAATACTACTTTCTACACTCTTGTTTCGTCGTTATTATTAGGAATTGTCGTTCAGACCCTGAAGCATATGGAGATAATTCTTCAACAATAACACAATCGATTATTTTATCATCATCATCTACTTCTTCTTCTTCAACAACAATAACAACAACCGTACATACTCCGATGACATCTTCATTAGAAACTTCATCACCCATAAATGGTAGTATGCTGTCACCGCCACCAATATCCTCATTATCCTCAGTAGCACCATTAACAAATATGATTGGAGAAATTCCAACTAGGGTTAATACACCAACCTTACATGGTAGTATGGAATGGATGCGTAAATTGGGATTTCGTTATCGTAGAATACGTGAAATCTATAACTATTCAAGGTAAGATAATAATGGTAAGAATAATGGTAATAGTATTCAAAACTAAAGTTTCAAATAAATAATACAACTGGGTAACTTTATGGTAGATGGTTGAAAGTAATCATCATAACACAATGAACGTAAGTTTCTTAACACTTGGCACTAATCAACATGGTGTATCTATAATCTTGATAGAGCTAATGTTCTTTGTCCAATTTAGATCCGGATCACTTTCTGTCACATTATTTATAATTGGATAATGCAGTTCACACACAATATTGAATATCAAAGAAAACGTTTCTCACTCTCAACTATACTGACTTGATTATTTAAACAACTAACAAAAATAAACTTAATCAAATTATCAGAAGGGTTTTTTGTGGGGATTTTAGTAATTTTATAATTAAAGTCATGAGACATTTGAAGCTAAACCACCATGGAAAACTTGGAAGCACTGGACGGCCGTTTCGTCCCATTGTGGGACTCCTCAGCAGTGCTCACCCATGATTCCGCCTCGCGAGATTCTAACCCAAGACCTATCAGTCTCGCGCGCGAAACTATAAAACTACTGAAATCTCCACAAAAACCCCTTCTGATAATAATCATATGCTCACTAGTGACTGGCTTCAAGAGATATTTCCTGAAGTTCTAGTGAGAAGTGGTGACCAGTAGAGTTCAACCAGGTCTGTTGTGAGATAGTAACTTACTGAAGACATTAGTGGATGTGTCGCTCAATTTCGTGGATCGGTTAGAGTTAAACAATAACACCGTTGGATGCCGGCTCAGTGGTCTGGTGGTTAATTAAAGTGTTTAAGATAGCAGTTATAATAACATAAATTGTTTTAGTAAAGAATTCTTAACACTAATTGTGCAGTATTTTCATAAATTCCCCTTTAACTTACATTCAAAGTTGAAATTCCTCAATAACATATTTTACGCATGTTTTCAATAGTCATTAACTGACATACAACTTCAATTCAGAATGTTTTCTACCAGTTCAGTAGATAAAATAACTTTTTCAATACAGATCATACATAAGTTGTATGAATTCCAGTGTACTCGTCTCTTGCTGCTTCAAACAATAGACTCGAAGAAAAGTATTATGACAACTGCAGTGCTTCCCTCTGAGTTTTCCAATATCCAGCATGATAATCATAATAATTTTTAAGCCTTTTATAATATCACATGAGTACATACAATTATGATATATAGTTATTCAGCCAGAGGAAATGGACAATAATAGGCTTACTGAAATGTTTTCACACTTGGAAAATAGATGATTCAAACGTTTGATTAGATCACCTTAAATGTCAAGTGATAGAAATGTTACTACCAAACCTATAACTTAAGATGATAAGGACTGGTAAAAAACCTAGATAATTCCTCTAAAATGTCCACAGATAGAGAGAAAAAGACAGTAAATGCTTACATAAATCAGTTTTGTGAAAACATCCACAAAGAATCCAAAAATCGATTGATTATGCTTTCATTAACTGACTGAACAAATAACAAATTATTTCCAGGTTTAACATGCTTCTTAGAAGCCTCTACAAACCCAAAGTCACATATAGTGTTATAAATACTCTTGTTTTCTGTACATAAACTAACCTTGGAAGTAAAGCTTATTGCATTCTTCCCACTTGTTTTCCCGTTCTAGGTTCAAGCCATAGCTACTCAAATAGACTGATGAAATTCAATTTCCTTAGGAAAATCTAATATATGGTCTATTATATGGGTCACGTATTTTCGAATTACACTCATTTTCATAAAACTTCATCTAAACTATTTTTCATTAATATGAATGTGCAACAGGAGTTTTTTAACTGATAATTTTACATCATGGATTTTTTAAGCTAGACTGCCTTTGGAAACTATGATGTCCTAGGTGACTGTTTTTTCATACGATTATATGACTTATCAGCAAGGCAAATGCATAACATTACCAGATATTAAAACTGGATCCTTCAGGTTACATGGCGAGTATTTAACCTACAAACCATTGATTTGTTATTCAGTTGTTCGTGTATTCCACTTCAGTTAATCGTATTTGGTATATGAAAATTTCTTACTTTCAAATTAATCTCTAATGTACCAGTGAAATTGTAATTTAAATTTCAAAAACTGCTTCTTAAGAAATTAGGTGGACGTTTATGATGTTATAAGTAGATAAAGATGATTTATGAAGGCTAAATATATCCTCGACACATCCTTGATTATAAAAATCTATTTCCAAGCTACTAATGCATTGGATAATCATCTGAAGTTAAGCAATGAAACGATAACCAAATGTGTGTTCTGTTTTGTTTGTGTAGCTTCCTGGATACTTTACCGGACATGAAATTGATAGTAAGCTTGTTTCTGTTTGACTTTAACTTATAAATTATGTAGCCACGCATTTTCGCAAATCCTGGCTTTATAACCTTTTTGACCTGAAATTATTGGCGGTAGACAGGCTTTTAAAATATATTGTGTCATTGGAAATTATTAGCGTTTAACAAACAATGAAGTTAATAATAATGATTGCACACGAAGTTTATGACTAAAATAGAAGTAACATTTGCTTTTATGTTACATATTACTTATTATTGCAACAGTAGTAAAGTAATTATATATGTATTGGTTGTTTGGATCTTCGCATTGATGTTTAGAACTGCAGTCGATAAGTCTTTTTTGGCACCCTGTGTGGATTACCTCCATAATGCCACTAAGTCTCAAATATTTTTAATAAATTCCACTGTCCATCAGAAAGAATCTAAAGTATAAAAGGTAGATTTGCTATATAAACCTAGAATTCGGTCAACTCTGGAAAAATAAGATTATAACTCACGAATTAAAAAACACGGTGAGCAGAGAAATATTTTTTTTCAGTGGTTCCTAGTCAAGGCCCTACACTGATATACAATTTTTACAATAAGGCATAAAAACAATGCCAAATAGTTGATGGCTCAGCAAATTTTATAAACAGAAATTTTTCATCCAGTCTCTTAATTTACCCTGGCCCTCTACTTAGTTACTCTTAAGTTCCTCATAGTTCTCGCTTTCATTCAATTTTAAACACTAGTTCTATTTCCAAGTAATCTACCTAACTTAATAGTCTGACCATATGGTTTTCTTTGTACTTTCCTGACTAAATACATGTAATTAATATGACAAACAACACTAGACATTATTACCAACAATTTGATTTCTTACTTAATTCTTACACTTATTCCTACGTAACGAGGTGTTATAACTAACTGATTATGTAACCCTGTCTTTAGATCTATAGAGTCTTTACAGTCAATAACTAATCGAATGAATAAGCAGGTAAGTCAAATAACATAGAAATGACTGGTCTTATCGGGAATCCCAGAAAAGGTTCTTGGTACTTCTAAAGCGAAGACATTTTAAGTTCGTGAATCTAGGCATGAAAACTAATTTGCCTCTCAATTTAAAAATCCTAGTTACTCAAAGTGAATTTTATGGTCAATGTTTTTCTGGAAAGGTTTTTTATGGGATGGGGTTGCCAACCCATCCCCATCCCTGTTCCTTTACCCTGCCTTGGGACCTACAGTATGCTTAGAAGGACCCCAGGGCGAGTTATTCGAGCTTATTTTTTAGTGCAAATGTTAGAAATATCAGTCTTACTGAATATATCCTGCTTGAATAAAAGGGATATTCCAACCTAACCCCTAGACATCTTAAATGTTTTCTCTGTTAATATTGTCAATCTCCCCTAAAATATGTCACATACTTGAAATTTCAAATGATTTTCATATCGTTATAACTTCCATTTCATTTTGTTTGATATATATTCACGACAATAAATAGTAAAAGTCCATAACGACCAAATGCTCCCGTAATACTAGATTATAAATTTATAATGGTCTTCAGAATAAAACGATGCATATTTTAGCAGAGAAATCTAGTAACACCTCAAGGCAAAACCAACCCTAAGAAAGTAAAGTCCAGTCTCAGCCAATTAGGAAGCAAGTTGCGGTAATGGTTTTTGATGAAAAAGTGACACTGAACAAATAAAACTAAAATGTATAAAGTATATGAACTGGATTAATGGGTTTTAAAAGTTTCTTGGAATTTCCAAATGTTGTAACGATATAAGTATTCGTTCATCTGTCTATTACAGCTAGCTTTTCAGCTGGAGCCCATAATCCCTTAACATTATATAGGCTAACCATAGCTCTAAACCTAATTTAATACTCACTCATTTTACAAAATACATGTTACCATAATTTAAGTATTTATATTGAGGTTTATTTACTTACTAACCTTATCCTTCATCGCATTGTCCAATATCTATTGAACTGCATTATAGGATGATTTCTACTAATTAAATTAAAGTATAATCTTTTCTATCTTATTTTAGCATGTTTATCAGTTACAAGTAACTGACTGTTACAAAATAGTTAAGTAGAGTAAATTCACGTGTCCGTTCTCTTTAATCGACTATTAGATTATAATTAGATGATTAAAAGGTATTATTATTCAAAGTTTCGCATAAAATACTGATTTTGGTTAGATAACCATTGAAAACCAGAGAGCATTCAACAGCTCTTTCTCCCTATTAAGGAGCTAATCTGTAAACTTTATCCATGACTTTTTCAGGAATCTATCTCATGAACTTTGGGCTTTACAATAAACACTTAAAATTCAACGACCTTCACAAGATCCTAAAAAGTAACTTTATTCACCAGATTATTCGAAAGATACGTTACACATATCTACTATGTAGTTATATGAGCTAAAAGTCACACCATAGTTATTGTGTCGTTGTTTGGAACCACTTAGAGAATTGTAGATATCATCACCGAGTTTTGATTTGACAATTTCAAATGAATTGAGCATTGGGTAGATTGTTATAAATAAATCAATATATTTGTAATATCCCAATCAGTAGAAAAATTAGATTTTATGACGTTGCGTGACTCAGTGTAAGCAACTTCTTCAGAGAATAAATAAAAAGAAAACGTGGCTTACACTGAGTCACGAAACGTCAGAAAACCTAATTTTTTACTTAGAGAACTATTAAAAACCACAGCCTGAATACCCCAGTAGTAATCCATCACATGAAGAACCTGGATGATACGGTCTTTTATCCTACTAGTAGTATCACTTCTCTCAAGTTTTCAGGTGAGTCTAGCTGACGAGTCTTGACTGATATGGTACCTTGATTCAGGATATCCTCTCGACTATCTCAAAGTACTTAACATTCAATGGAATTATTTATTACTCACTATACTACAAAAATCCCATATGAAATTGAGCTCAGAATTATCAGTGTATACAGTTCATTGTAAAAGGTTATCAAAATAAAACTTGGTTTTCAAATAATAAAATAATTATTTTCAGAATGGGAGTTTATAGAGATTGTAGTAATTTTAATGGTTGAATTCATAGGTTGATCTAAGATAGGTAACGATTGACAACCAGTCCCATACTAGAATGAAATAGCCTTATGTATCCAACTATTTAAAAACATTATTTTAAAATTAACATTATTTTCTTTAATCAGAAGGGATTTTGTGGAGATTTCAGTATTTTCATAGTTGAAAGCATGAGTCAATTGAAGCTAGACCACCAAGGAAAACCTGGAAGCACTGGACGGCCGTTTCGTCCTATTGTGAGACTCCTCACCAGTGCGCATTCACGACCTCATCTCGCGAGATTCGAACCCAGGACCTACCGGTCTCGCGCCAGAGCACTTAACCGATAGACCACTGAACCGTCATCCGAAGCTGCGCACTGCTGAGGAGTCCCACAATAGAACGAAACGGCCGTCCAGTGCTTCCAGGTTTTCGTTAGTGGTCTAGCTTCAATCGACTCATGCTTTCAACTATGAAAATTATTTTTTTAAACATGTATATTATCTACATATTTGTCTTTCTTCATTTCTTAGATACAATGTTAGTGTACTTTTAGGTTATCCTAAAGCAAACCAATGGATTAATTTAAAAAATAATTTGGATATTTTAACTGATCATTGGTTAAGTATGGCTATAAAAGCAACAGAGAAAATAAATAATCGTGAAGACAGTGTTAATATATTGGTAACAACAACACAATTTATACCATCATTAGCAAAAATTTTACTTTATGGATATGGTAATTCATTTCAAATTGAAAATATTTATTCTGCTACAAAAGTTGGTAAGTTTTAAATCAAAACAATTTTATATTTAATATCAGATTGTTTTTGTGGAGGTCTGGACGTTAAGCGTTCGCGTGCGCAGGTCGATAGGTCTTGGTTTGGAATCTCGCGAGGCGGGATCGTGGATGTGCACTGCTGAGGAGTCTCACAATAGGACGAAACGGTCTTCCAGTGCTTCGACGTTTTTCATCGTGGTCTAGTTTCAATGGACTTACAATCTCAACTATTAAAATGCTAGTCTTAGCACATTAATTGTGGCTCAGAGCCGAGTACGAGTACCTGAAATTGGGAAATCAGTTGAATCCCTATCTACCTGCAATGAAAAACAATATTATCAAAACCCATCTCGTACGTTACTAAATTTTCTCGACAATGTATTGCTTATAAGAATAGTATCAGACATCTGCATTGTTTTCATTCAAGGATGACGTACTTGGTTAATATATGCACACTTTTTTTATCAAAGTATAAATCTATTTGTAACAGTAATTTTAATAAAAATTCTAACAGTAATGATTCATGTAATATATAGCTCCATCTATTCGATATCACATTCATAAACTCAGAATTTAGATTAAATGAGTTCTGAGCAAATTATATCATCAATTTATTGAACAAGTTTGACACATTATTTATCCAGGTAAATCCAACTGATAAGTACCAAATAGAGGGAAGCTCATTTCCTGGATCTCATTGTTCAAAATATAATCATAGTACATGTTATTATGTAAACCGATTATATATATATATATATATATATATATATATATATATATATATATATATATATATATATATATATATATATATACCTCGTTGCTTATGACAGATATATATGAATACCCAAATGAATTTTTTTATATTGAAATAGGTAAAGAGAATTGTTTCGAACGAATCGCATCAAGATTTGGAAGAAAATGCACTTATGTAGTTATTGGAGATGGTAAGGAGGAAGAAGACGCCGCAAAACAGGTTAGTTTATTTTACTGAATATATTATAAGTTATTAGTGACAGATAATTATCAATAAGGTTTTGCAACTATATTTATCGAGCTACGTATGAATCAGTAATCGTCTGATTATGGGTATAATTTTTCACATTTTAATGAAAATTTTCCTATTTTCACTAAATTTTAATTGTGATTCGTATATTAGAAGTTATGATTAAGTTTCTGCATTCAATTATTTAGAATCCAACTTTGAGAACTTGGCAGTTAGCTGTTTCTTCTGTATTATTCCCATCTAGTTCCCTTCATTATTCCTTCCTGGACACTTGAAAAAAGATTACACTATGTTCCTTAGGTACTCGATATCTGCATCCTAACTTTATTCTGAGAATAACAGTGAGAATAGTCATTCGAAATCTTGAGAGAAACTAATAGTTGTTATTTTATCAAATATAAATAATCTGTTGCTCTCATAACTTTCTGCTTGTCTATCTCCCATGATACAAGTACATTAGAATTCATACTGATGCATTGAAATAAAAAAGCCTAAATTTTCTATTGAACAAAGGCATCAACTAATTAATTTCAAATTTTCGAATATATATATATATATATATATATATATATATATATATATATATATATATATATATATATATATATATATATTAGTTTTAGTGTGAACATTAACACGAATGCAGTTACTTTCAGTCAGCATGTCCTAAAACAGGACAAAATGTGCATTCCAGATTTGAATGCTAGTAAAAATTCAACGTTACCAAAACTTGTGGTCTAATTTTAATATTTTGACGATCCATTCAGGGTGTATGTATACCAACAGAGACTGAACACCTTAAGTCTAAAATATCAATGACGGGAAATTACAAACACCTGCCAAAGAAACAACTACAATGTTTGAAAGATATTATGAGTTCATAGGATATTTCAATGGTTTCTCTTAAAGCAAATGAAAGTTATTAAGTGTAATTTATTCAAAGTAATCAAATACATTCAAAAATAATAATTCGGTTGTTCAATGGTGAAGAGTAAGTTGTTTGAAAGAAAAATCTCGCAATCAAATCAAAATTTTATAAGAATAATTGGGGTTTTAGTTCTAGAATACTGAAGAACATGATCTGATTACACAATAGAATAAAGATTTATTAATAACATTGAAAAACTCAAACAGTTAATTAGACCGTGTTAAAAAATACTTAATTCTAACTCAATTAAAGATGGTAGTCAAGAAGACGGCATGTCTATGTGGAGCCTACTCGTGGAGTAATATATTCGTTGAAAATCTTAAGAGAATAAAATTCCTAACTACTATCTAGAAGACTATATTTTACCTAACCCGAGTTAATGATTTTTAATTACATGTAACGATAAAACCCGTGCTAATAAACTGTTTAAAAAATCTCTACAATTCATATCTTAATATCATATTCAGAATGAGCATGGAAGAATTAAGTATCTTTTTAAGAAATGACTGAACCTGGCAAACGTATATATATATAAGTCAACAGTATCATCTTTTATTGAGTTAGAATGAAGTATTTTTAACACAGTCTAAATAACTGTTTGAGTTTTCCAATGTTCTTAATAAATCTTTATTCAATTATGTGATCAGGGTCATGTTCTCCAGTATTATAGAACTACAATCCCAGTTATTGTTTTAAAACTTTGGTTTCATTGCGCGGTTTTTCTTTCAAACAATTTACTCTCAACTATTGAACAATCTTTATTTTTTTATTTTCTTTAAACACATAAATATTGGTACAAACGGCCACCAGATATATATGCGCCACACAAATCTCAGTTGATTTGTGTGAGGGCTATGATACTGTCCAGGTGCCCAAACCAAAACAGATGGTTTTCTTAGGGGGCCAAACCCGGAGCCTTTGACCTAAAGGTCTAACCCACAAGACAGTGGAGCATCGTGAAGAGATGCAGTCCCATGGTAGCTGGTGACCAATGATTCATTCATACGCCATTTGTTCCCTCAGGATACTGGAGCGCATGCACACCATTGGTTTGGAATCAGGGTTTTCCAATTCCCCTAGGTAGACTTTCCGTGTCCACCAACCCGGTTAGAGCGTCGGACACTAACTTTACATCCTCTCAATTTCGTTAACAACACCCCGCCATGAGAAGGCAATGAGTAGGACCTCCCTGGCAGAGGCTATATACGCGTGGCCACTTGAGAGCATTTCGAAAGGGAGAGCAGATTCTCCTCATTCTCGACCGCACCAGGGCATTTGGGGGCTGATAGAACAATCAAATTATTATGTTTAAATGTATTTGATTATTTTGAATAAATTACACTTAGTAACAAGCCTATACAAATAGGAAGAATTTTTGAAAAAAAACTGTTATTTGTTTTTCTTTTTTTTTAAATTTTAGTTCAATTGGCCATTTTGGAGAATAAATGCTCATTCAGATTTGAATGCTTTAAATCATGCTTTGGATTTAGGATATTTATAATTTACTAATCTTATATGAAATGATTCATTTTTTTGACTTATTCTCTTGCATTATTATTAGTAGTATAGTTCTTATAATATAAATTAAAACAACTTACGCTTTTATTTTAGAAAAAGAAAGGTACCTATCTTGAATAAATTACCATGTAAATAATTCATCTTAGATATACAACATTACTTGATTCATTTATCAATGTTTGTATTGTAATACATATTAAATCTATAAATTAACACATTATTCATTCTGTGGTTCTTTTTTTTGAAAAAATTATACTCCAACCAATATGAAAGACCTAGGTCATGACCTTTCTGTGAATATCTGAATCCGATGAAATTTAGTGGCATTCATAGCACACTTCAATATGTTGTATGCCAATATTTCATAAACACTCAATCGATTATGAACAACAAAGACAATAGATCTGGAACAGATAGGGTACTCATTCAAGGACAGATATAAGATTAGAGAATATTTAGCTGGTTAGAATGGAATAATTAAAAGTGGTACATGCTCGCGATAAGATATTGAAATGATTCTGATGCTAGACTGGTTTAACGAACCTGGTTCATTAAAACTGAGTTGATCAGCACCATATGTTGAACCAATATACAATGACAAGATAAATGGAACAAATACTCACTGAAAGTATACAAGCTAGTTCAGTATATTTTATATTTCTTTCTTAATTTTTAATGAGTGAGAATAATTGACACCCTCAGTTATCTTACCTACAGAGTTCGTGTTGGTCAGCTATTTTTTTTCGTAAAGCATAATGTTAGTTTCCTATTGAAATAATGTTAAAATATAATGTCTTAAGATTAAGTGATGGCTGTGAACAAACATAGCCTGTCCTAATTTATCTCAGTCAACAAGTATTCACAGCATCAGCAACTGATTCCTTATAGACATATATAATTCTGTTGTATATTGCTGAAGCTATCGAAATTCATGCTCACAAACGTAACCTTTACATCCGAAAGATGTTTTTATAACCACTCTCGCTACTTTGGTCATCGGTGTAGGAGTGGGTTTTCAGATAAATTTTAGTTAAACCATTTCTTTCAGAAATGTTGAAACAATTTTCCAATTTATCACCTTGAAAGATTGCAGGTTATCAACCTAATGTCCTGTTTCTGAGAAGTACTAAGTAATTGCGATGTTCAAAGTAGTTATCTCTCATGTTCGAAGGCTTTTTGCGACATATTGAGAAAATCTATGATATGCCCTCCTTTCTGTTCTGTCAATGTAGCTGCTTTGGCAGGTACACGTAAATTTATAAAAACAACTGGCGGTAACATGAAAGAGGTACTTGTTGATCTTTGAAAGAGTTATTGAACATGTTGTTTTACACAGTGGTAGTTTGGCTACCCCATGTTAAGCCTCCTGCTGATTGTACTTGCGACGTCATCACATTTGAAGTTGAAATTTATAGATACTGGTTTCTTGACTGCAGACACACCCATTTTCTTTTCTTCAGATCTTTTATATTTGTCGATAGATTTTTGTGGGTAGCAGTTATCTTTTAGGCGTTTTTTCCACGTTTATCAATTCTTTCAGTTTTTCCGTGTTAAATATCCTTTCTACTAAATAAAATAGTGTTTTAACTAACGCTTTCTTGTAACTGATTGAACGGAAATTATTGAAATTCAGGTAAAGACCGTTTCAAGTAACTTTTCTATAAACTGAACGTTGAACTGTCCCGTCTCCCCTCCGTTGTATAGCAATGTCAAGAATGTACACACAGTTAACAATTCATAATTGTACGGTGTCATAAAAATTCTGTTATTTTGCTTCATAGATAAAGTAAATCATTCAAAAGAAGATGGTAGTTTATTCTTATGTTTCGCAAAATAGTGATAATAACAGTAATGTAAGGAATTCGATCATGTCTAATGTAATTCCAAAATCTACAACAAACATTAGGTTCACGAGTTCAAAGTGATAAGATTGACAAACTTATACATTCTTGAATGGTATAACCTGGTGACAATTTATATTATTTTAATTAGTCCAATGATTGAACGCAATTAATAAGTAAGCCAGCAAATAGAGTACCTTTCGTGAAACACATGAAGTTGTAAATGTATACTGAGTGATTTCGACAGCTTAAAGTAATTTTATACTACCATATTGTAACTAAGGGAAATCAATAAAAAGATTATAACAGTAATTATAGTTCCCTATCAAAAATGAGGATATACTATCCAAATTAATCAATCTGGTTTCTATTAGAAACGGTTGACAAGGCAACGTACAGCGAATCCTACAATATATATAAAAGATCTGAGTTACTAAGTACTAAATAATGAAATTCACTGGGAATAACATCTACTTGTTACTTTTAAGCATCATTCTGTTGGGACGCGCAGCTGTAGACGGTTCAGATACTACTACACAAAATGTAACCGCTAGTTTAACAAATATAGTTTTCAAATGCCAAAATAAAGGCCATTACTGCAAAACGATTACGAATAATCAATTAGATAAAACCGAATTAACTACATTATGGAGAGTACTTTATGAGATACAACAAATTCTAACCGATTTCCATTGTTATCAAGCAGCTTAGCTTAAAGGAATATCTAATATTTACAAATGAATTATTGAACAAAATTACTTATAGTTATCTGGTTTGTTTATAAAAAACAATATTGAAATTCACTTTTATAATATTTGTTTTAGAAAAAAGAAAACAACTTTTGAAATGATATAAATACACTTTTTAAGTGGTAACCGTCTATATATTTGATGTTGTAAGCAGTTTCGATCTGAAGACATCAAGACTGGTCATTCATGTTTATTTTGAATTCGAGTTGCTATGAAATGGTAATTTTATGCTTTTTTGACAAATTTATCATTCTACATTCCCATTACTTGTATTTAATGAGTTTGACAGAGTTTATTTGTTGATAAAATTAAACTTTTAGGTCTATGTATGGCACCAATGGTTTTTATAATTTCATGTGTAATATTATCAGTATATAGACAGGAGGGTTTTGTTATTGCTTAAATTTGGGCTTTAATCAAGGAGATAGAGTAACAGTGTGCAGGTGTCGGTGTACCTTCTAGATTAAAGACTTAAGATGACATTAGGAATTTGAACTGGCTTGGAGTTTAATGAACTCATATACCCGAATAACCATATCAGCATCGTTGTTATTACAGACCACTAGCTCCATAAATCGACCATAGATACTGAAAAAGGGACAATGGTCACTGAAAAGCTGACAGAGGTGGGCGTCTCTGTGAGTTTCTTATTGCACGGGTTTTGTGGCAAGATGATATTTGATAAGTCTTGCTGATTGAACGCTATACTCGGATCCTAAGCTATTCTTGTAATTCCCAAGCTAGAACTACATAGTGACTTGAACATGAGAGAAAAGGCACAAAATATGCGGGAAGCAATTTACTCCAAAGGTTCATTTATGTACAGAAAATATAGGGTTTTTATAGTATTTTAGAAGTCCTTGGGTTTTCCTGAAAATTCTAGAATACTACTAAACATAGTAGCAATGTAATAATCAGCTAATCAGAACCTCTACATGTGACTTCATTTTCGTGATATTTCTAGCAAAACTTCTAATCAAACGCTGATTGGATAAAATGTTCCTTAATGTTTCCTGAGATTGTCATGTCTATTGCGAGAAATTTGCAGGACCATCCCAACAATATTGGAGCCTTTAAATAGGAATAATATATTTGTAAAATCTCAGCGAATGAATTTGTTGAATTCGCTGAGATTTTACAAATATATTATTCCTATTTAATGTCTTACATCAACACGGCGCTCAAATACTGTGAAATTATTCGCTCTAATTTAGACGAGAGTTCTTATATAAAATATTGGAGACTTTTTGATCTTTCTTATGTTAATTTCAAACACACGGATTTTCCAAGAATCTTTCTGGTTGAGTAGATCAACATTGGGGCGGTCATCACAGAAACGGAACCAAGCGTCAAACTTGTTATTTCCCAAAGGATTATAAATGTTGTTGTCAAACAGTGCCAGAGCATTTACTCCAAGAAACACTTTTTTCAGCACTCCATAGTGCACATTCTTGATGTGGTATGAATATTCAAGTTCAAATAAAGTAACAAATAATTATTCCTTGGGACGTGACAATCCAGATGTCAGTGGACCAGATCAAAGGTACTTTCGTTCGATCCGTAGATGAACACTGCCAACGAGACATGTACAAGGACGAAGCAGCTATCCAGGTTTTCAATGGTTATCTAACGTTTATCAGTTACTGATCTGAAGAGGGTTCCATCCTCATAATTGAAGCGGAGGATGATAAAGATTGTATATGAATCCTCATCATACAAATGTTGTTGAGTTTCTTCACTTTCACAACAGACCAGATACGTTCAATTACCAGAATAACACCTATCCACTCCGAATTTATTACAGTAAACAGGACTATTTTCACCCAGCCCTCTAACTAGAGTGAGTTCAATTTCCTAATGGAAACTCTGTTCATGATGACGCCAGTAGAATTAAAAATACATTTTGAGTTAATCCGTTATGTGTCAGTTAATGGTTAAGACAGATGGACAGTGGTTGTCACTAAATATAATCATAGTTAAAATCTATTGGAAGTTAATAAAGTAATGTAATAGAAATGTGGTGAAGATTGACCTTAGATCCATCTCAAATCAATATTGATTTCCTTCCTAATAAGTCGTATTTAGGGACACCATAGCCGCAACAGGACCATAAACCTGTATAGCAGATTATGATAGTTGCCACGGCAAGTAAACAAAATACAGTTGACCAACGGTCTCACTGAAGCTTACAAAACCAATAACCATAAATAAAACCTAAGTAACTATTGCCACTTCAGCATGATTCATAACTATACATAAATGAAAATAGCTGGTTGACCGTTCACCACTAACTATTTCGAAGTAACTCATTTGGATTTGATGAGCAAGGACTAAATTGTTTGGAGTGCGAGTGATATAAAAAGCCAACTTTTTTTAATCACCCGTGACTCTTAACTAAACATAGAACAGTTACATAACTTAATTATTTATCTCTGTTGATTTCATGATACTGTAGACATGCAATCACATAGCAAGTTACCAATTAAGATCCAGTACAACTCAGTTCGATCTATAGAGAGCTGATTGTTAATCAATGCTAATAATTCTTATGAATGAGTGAATCCAGGCATTTTATTGGATGAAAAATAAACCCTCATTTATCACCTTTAACGCTCTTATTTGGATAGTCCGATATACAGTTCCCTCGTTGAGCCAGTCAGTCACAACGTAGAACTTCGTACGTACGTACATCAGTTCGAGTTGCCATCCCACATTAGCACAGCGATACAGTCATCGATTCAAATCCTATATTGGTAGAAGTAGTAAGAATATATACAGTAATCCGAAAGATTAGGGTTTGAAGATGTTATTGAAGGAGTATAATCCAGTGAAATAAATTTGGAAAAAGAAAAAATATAGGGACATGAAGAATTCAGGTTAGAATTCGGTAAAACACAAAGAGTGAATGCACCTTCACCATTGCAAACGATTTTGAGCCATGTCTTTCAAGGTCTCTAACCATCGGTTATCATCTTGCGGGTCCCAACCAGGTAGTCTACACCTGCCAGCATGGCTTAGTCCACTTGTCACTAACTTCATGCATTTGTACCACGTTTTAGCCTGGCCGCCCATAGCTTTCTCCCGACCTACTTCTACACCATCGAACATTGCACGTCGGGGCAGTCGTTGGTTGGGAATACGTAACATGTGTCTTAGCCATCTCAACTGATGAAGTTTTACTACTTCATCAATCGGTTTGTCATCCTTACCTAGTACCCGTTTCCTAACAACTGCATTACTTACTCGGTGGTCCCAGGATTTACGAGCAATGCTTCGAAGACACCTACGAATATCCTCTACTCTTATCGACCATGTTTCACTGCCATAAAGTAGGACGGAACGAACTGCTGAGCAGTAAACCCGTCCTTTGTTTGCTAGACGGATATCTCGCCTACGCCATAAATGACGCAAGTTGGCGAAAGCTAGACGAGCCTTCTGTATCCGTGCTGAGATCTCGTCAAACACCAGACCACAAGGGCTGATGAGACTCCCAAGATAAGTGAAGCTGTCAACACGCTCAACTACTTCACTCCCTATCATTAGTTCAGGTGTCGATGCAACCAAATCCTGAAGTAACATTTTGCACTTTGAGGAATAGAATCGCATCCCAAACATGCCTGCATAGTTGCTTATAGTGGTCAGAAGACTCTGCATTTTGTCAGCGTCTTCACCAAATAGAACTATGTCATCGGTATATTCTAAGTCAACAAGTGAGTCTCCTGGTAGAAGTTCAACTCCTGGAGATTTAGATGATGAAAGTGTTATCTCTAAAAGCATGTCAACGACAAAGTTAAACAAGAATGGAGAGAGTGGACAGCCCTGACGAACACCACTTGTGGTAATCAATTCTGATGACAGTTTGTCACAAATCCTAATTCGACCAGTTGTGTTCGAGTAGAGAGCCTTTATGAGGTTAATGTACTTCTTTGGTGCTCCTTTCAGTGACAAATACTGCAATAGAACCTCACGATCAACGGCGTCAGATGCCGCCTTAAGGTAGAGAAATATTACGGCTGTGAGACATCTGAATGTGTGTCTATGTTCTATGACCTGACTTAGAGTGAATATCTGGTCTATACAACCACGTCCAGGTCGATCCCTGTGTTCTGCCCATCGACCCGATCTCCTGGATTGAAAATGAATGATATGTTCATCGTTTTCCGAAATAGTTTCGCTGACAGTTGGGTTCCTAATACCGGTTTCCTTAACAAGTCTAAATAGTTGTCTGCTGTTTTATTATTATCTTTTTTTATTTAAACACATAAATATTGGTACAAGGAAGCACCAGATACATATGCGCCATACAAATCTCATTCGATTTGCTTGAGGGCTGTGATACTGCCCAGGTGCCCAAACTAAAACAGGTGGTTTTCTTAGGGGCCCACACCCGGAGCCTTTGACCGAAAGATCTGATCCACAAGTTAGTGGAGCATCGTGAAGAGATGCAGTCCCATGGTAGCCGGTGATCAACAATTGATTTGTACGCCATTTGTTCCTTCAGGGTAATGGAGCCCATGTGCACCATTGGTTTGGAATCAGGGTTTTCCAACTCCCCTAGGTGGACCCTCCATATCCACCAACCCAGTTAAAGCGCCGGACATTCGCTTCTCGTCCTCTCAATTTCGTAAACAACACCCCCGTCTGCTGTTACCTATTGCCGTTGCCTTTTCCATCTCTCTTGCTTTCGCTACCCACCACTGTTCACGGTCATTGCGTAGGCTTCTTATTAGCCTGTGCTTAAGCTCACTCCGCTCCTTGTTATGTTCAGAGCCCGATGGGATGAGTTTTCGAACATTTATCAGTACGGTAGATGCTGCTGAGATCCGGTATTTCTACCTAACCTCATGGTTTACTGTACTAGCAGATATCACTGCTGTTTCCACAGCTTTTCGGATGTCATTCCACGCTGCCTCGGGGTGGGCACAACTTACACGGCTGCATAACCGTTTTTCCAGTTGTTCCTGATATTCTTAGCTTGTCCACCATTAAATAGAACCCTAAGGGGTTTACTCGCAGCGTCTTCCCTACGTCCAGTAAGACGCAGACAAATACGTGCTCGCACTAGAGCATGATCTGAGTCTAGGCATGTGCTCCAGAGTGAGCGATGGTCTTCTTTCGAGCCCCTCCATCGGTGGCTGATAGCGATGTGATGTATTTGGGTCCAACGTTGGGACGAATTCGGGGGTCGCCCTGTCAAAAGATGTTTTCCCTTGTGATTAAGGTTAGTATTTGCTGGACACAGGTTATCTGAGCATAGCTGCAACAGACGGTCACCATTATCTGTTCTTCGAACCACGACACCATAAGATCCGCCCAGGTGTCTTTCCCTTTCGCTTAGTTTACCTACTTGAGCGTTTAAGTCAACAACCACTATTACTACATCAGAGCGCCTAGCTTTTCGGAGGTCGGAAAGCTTTCTGTAAAACTCATCAGTCAGTCAGTGGGAGAGTAGACAAGGACGACGAAAACTTTCCCTATTTTTCCGAGTCCTTACTGTTCCCTTTAGCCGGACAGCGCACAGACGACTGTCTACTGGGATCCAGTTCTGTTGAAGTACCACGACTTTCGCTGCATATAATTATTTGCGAAAAGACAGTACAGGAATGAAGTTTGCTTAAAGAGGAATTCCTATGTTGTACGTTAAGCCTCAAAAACAATTACGAAAGCGAATCTACTCTAAACCCAATCAGTTAGACAGAACTCTTGTGAACTGACAATATCCAGACCAAGTACTTAGAGAGAGGGTATTCAGATTAGCTATGACGCTAAACACTTGATCAACTAATAACCTTAGTGTAAAATCTCGCTAAAAACCAAAGAACAGTTAAGTCACAAGATTTATAACAACAAACCTGATAAGGTTTAGAAAATACTCATAAACTTGACCACTTTAGAAATACTAACTTGTCCCACTTTTGACAACTGTAATGCCTCCAGATCATGATCTCAGATATGGTAAATGTGAAGCGTACTCATGTCACTTCCACGACATACAGCGTTGATAAATGGGAAATAAGGCATCATATTTATTCAACTATTTATCAAGCAAGGAAAACAATCATGAATGAATGAGAATCAATTGGTTAACTAAAGACGCCTTGTTACTCTAATAAATGTACAGCAAAATAAACAGAAGCATAGTTATTAGATGTATATTTAGTACAGCGTAAAACGCCTCATAAAGCTGGAATGGACATTCTACCATTTGATGTGGATCGTGACAGTTCACAGGAGTAAAACCATATACAAAGAACAGAAATAAATTATACACCAGGTCCACGCGTAAGAAAACCTAACGCCTTGACACACGACCAGCTGATCTTGAACGACGACATCGACTCTTGGAAGGTGAGTGGGAACGTGATCGACGTCTTCTCCCGTAACGTTTTTTGCTCCGATTGTACAATTTACGACAAAGTTCTCTGGAAATGGGTTTCAAATGCATGAAGTTGCAGAAACCACCTCTTGTACATTCCCTAGAGAAAATTGAGACGGAAACACCTTATGGTTATTAATTTGATCCAGTAAATTAGGAATTCGGTAAAATACACAATCCAAGTGCAAACCTAGATAGAAAGGGTCATAATGTGGACAATTTTACTAACTTCGAATAAAATAAATTACCCTACATTATTTGTGAAATTGTCATTCACGTTGGTGGGACGTTTGTGTCAGTTAGTCATAATCAGCATGGAACCTGAACACAGTTGCATCAGTTGGCTTTTATTTATTTATTTAAACACATAAATATTGGTACAAACGGCCACCAGATATATATGCGCCACACAAATCTCAGTTGATTTGTGTGAGGGCTATGATACTGTCCAGGTGCCCAAACCAAAACAGGTGGTTTTCTTAGGGGGCCAAACCCGGAGCCTTTGACCTAAAGGTCTAACCCACAAGACAATGGAGCATCGTAAAAAGATGCAGTCCCATGGTAGCTGGTGACCAATGATTCATTCATACGCCATTTGTTCCCTCAGGATACTGGAGCGCATGCACACCATTGGTTTGGAATCAGGGTTCACCAACTCCCCTAGGTAAACTTTCCGTGTCCACCAACTCGGTTAAAGCGTCGGACATTTGCTTTAAGTGCTCTCAATTTCGTTAACAACACCCCCGCCACGTGAAGGAAATGAGTAGGACTTCGCTGGTGGAGGCTATATACGAGAGGGAGTGCGGATTCTCCCCACTCTTGGCCGTACCAGGGCATTTGGGGACCATCAGTTAGTTACTGCTAACATGCAACGAGAGCCTTGTAGATCAGACACGACTTAAACAATTTCTAGCCAGACGAAAACAGTATAGATCATACCATCTCATAAAACGGGCAACCAAACCCAACATTTCAAGTTGAGTCCAATAGAAGCATAGTAAGTCAAAAACGACTACAGCCTATGAACCACATGAAAAACATAGGTATAACCATCAGTTAAATCGACTTCTGGTATTATACACGACTGGAATAACATGCATTGAACATCATTATTGATGAAAGAACTCATATCAATCGTACGCAACGTAAATATTGTACACATAAAAATTAGTTCAAGTTTCCACAAGAACTCATGACAAACTTATAATACCGTGAAACCACATCAAATTGACATCCCTGTAAGACTGAAGATTAGATGACTATTAACAGTAATGTATAACATATTGACAAAACGACATAAAAACTTACCCCAGTTCATATTGACGACAACACGCCTCACGGAAATCTGTGACAGGAGAAAGCTCAGCATGAACTGGTCTTCCACCAAACCAGCGCTCATTTAAATCCTGAACAGCTTTTTCAGCATCTTCTTCACGCCTGAACTATAAACGTGTAAGAAGTACCACAATGAACTTACTTTTATATAGACGTTTCCAACTAGATGATCACCAAGATTATCACACACATTCATTTCCTCTATTTCCCCATACTAAAAGAGTAAAAACTTACTACACAAAAATTTACCTTCTCCTCACATTCAACAAAAACCTCCTCGAAAAATTCGTCGAAGATTTGTTGAGCTTGGACTTCCGTAAGGTTGACTTTTAAGGAATAAAAAATGTTTTTACCAATAAGTCAGGAAGAACTGTTATCCAACTTGTGAAACTTAAATCAGTAAATAAAACCAGCAATTGGTATGGCTAAAACGACCATTGTCAAGGCATCTACAAAGCTCTAGGGTTGATTATAGCTGAGTGGATTATTTTGGTCCTGGTAGTCAACGCATATAACGATCACTGGATTTTAGTCAACCAGCTGGACAGAGAACTTGGAAACAAGTTGCATTTAATAAATCCAACTTATACACATACATCCCCAGTGATTTGTACACATGATCAAAACCTACCGTTTCTAGGAAGAAGCCTGGATACCAGAGCTGCTAAAATACCATAAACGGCTGACATGATTCGCTTGCATAGTTTATATTTTATTTAGGTGTAGAAATTCTGTTAGAGTAGTCCACGCTTTATTATTGGATATGGGTGCTTGTTCACTACTAAATACTGACATCTGAAACATCTGTGCACTTTTACGATTGTGTTCATCCCGGAGATTTTACTAGGAACTAAATCTTAAACACAACATTCACTATTGCATTCGCTGTGAGACCGATTTTGAAGAACCTAAACTTAACTAACTGATTTCTTGTAATTCTTATGATTGTTGCAAACATACTTGAGGAAATCTTCTGAAGCTCTAGTTTAAGTCAGTCTAGTCTTATTCGCATTACTGTTACTTAGGAAGCAGCCTCTTTAACTGGTTCAGAAAAATATACACGGAGGTGAACGAATGTACAACCATCGTAACTTTAGATTTGAAACTGTCAAATCCCAGATGCTTTTAAGTACGAACGTTAACTATTTTTTCTACTATCAATCAAGAAACTTGCATACATTTATCAAAGTTATCTGAATAAACATCTTAAATGGTTATTATATTTGCACACTGGATGACTTAGCGTACTGTTACTGTGGTAATTATTGGCACACGATGTATGGAAGGTGATCGGTCATTGTACGTATATTCAAGGGATGACAAACAAATTCCTGTTTCTACTAATGTAAATAGTTTTAGGGACTGGATAACATAGAACACATCACTGCTGTTTACATGCGCTAAAATAAATCGGCTTGTCGCAAACGAAGAGTAACACGCCAACAACTCATGTCAACCACCAATACGTCTAGGGAGTGATTTCATTGTAGGATGCTTTCTTGGCTAATACCATGTGCATAATTCGTGAGCCGTGATTTTATAGGCACTTAGACAACTGGTTCTACAAATGAGTCGTAAACATTGCAGCAGCCCTCAAATACCAACGAGAATCCTGGTAAGTCAGTTTCGTATGCCAACATGACTCGATGTGAGCATGCTCTTGTCTTCCCACTTACCATAAAAGCGAGCGTACTTCAGACTGCAAATAAACCTCTTCAGAGATTTTACTTGACTGTTACACTAAACAAAGGGAAATGAGTTATCTACAAGGGGCTTGATATCACGTATGGTTATTGATTAGACACCTAATCAACAAAGATTTTTAGTGAAATACAAGTGTACTTACAGACATTCCTGATAAATGATCAGCACTGACCTACTTGGTCTTATCGGTCATCCGCACTGACGTTAAAGTTGGTTAAACGGTCCAAAAGTGTACCTAAAAATTGTCATTCCTGCTCATCTTTCTGATCTAATACCCATCTGTTTATTCTACGTCTAGATGCTAGTGCTGAAAAATATTTACTGGAAGACATACCTAAATATCACACTAGTCGTGCCTAAATACAATCAGCTTTTTGTAAAATATATAACCAAAAAACAGGATGTAGCTTACTGTGGGACCCATCGGCACTCTGAGCTGTATTTTGAGGAGCTATATACAGATTTTGAAGCAAAATAGTCTACGCATAAAAAAGTTGAAAACCAATTCTACCTGACCGAAAGACGGTTTGTTATGAAGTCTGGAACATTGCTCTCCGTGGCGGCATGCACCGATTTTGAAGTAGAACGAGCAGTTTACTCTGCATCAACAAATAAGTTGAAAAAGGGTACCTACTTATCCTTTTCCGTACCAAATATAGACGCTAAGTACTCCGCCATGTTCCTGAGGATTAAATTGCGCCTCTTTCTTGGAAAGAATAAAACAATAATCCCGCCAGATCAGAACCACAATCTTTAAGTTCGAGTACCTAAATAGGGATCGATTTACTTGTTGAGATGGAACATATGTTGCTGCCTTATAATAAAAGTTTTATTGCTATTTCTTTCGCTTCTAGCATCTAATACTTTTGTGGAGGGTTTGTTTAAACCGAATAATTTATTTGCGTTCGCTTCGTGTTGTTTCACTGCTGTCTCAGGTCTCTGAAAATTTCCATTAGGTTGTAGTCTAGCCATTCAGGTTTTCCAGTTCAAGTCATCTGTATAGTTATTTGTGAGTTTATGTGTAATCTAATCTGAATGGGTCAGTCTGTGTCATAGCAGCATAGTTTCTATGAACGCAGCATTCACATTATCAGGCAGGAGTTTATTTGGTTGAAATGTGGAAAATAGTCAAGGAAAATTTTCAATTTCATAAGCGGATGTCTTTTTCAGCAATAGGGACTAATCTTGATGAAAAAAGTCGGAGCTAATTTAGGATTTTGCTCTCTGATGTGAGATTTTATAAAGTTGCTCCGCCGAGCGTGGTTGTGTTCTCTTTGAGGTATTTTAACGTATCAAGCATATTGTGAAGTTATCAGATCACCTTTCCTCTTAGCTAGATTTATTTCTAAGCTCCACCAACAACCTATTTATTCGTCTCCTTTTCTGGTTTAAAATATTTCTGTCTTATGTAAACGAGGCTGAAAGACGTTATGTACTTCGAGGTGAGGCCTCGAGTATCTTTTAAACAGTGTCAGAAACAATTCTGGGGTGATTCTGTCAATTTATCTTTGTATAAAATGAAGAGTTGGATTGGCTTCAGCTGCACCATAACGTACTTCAAGCTGATTTCCGTACTCTCTGTGATTAATCGTTGTGCAGTTTGATGATTTCTCCAATCTGTGTTCTATCTGCCTCCAACGTCTTTTCCCAATTTCCTCCTCAGCTGAAAGCTGATTTGTTCTCTCCCACAGTTGTCTATTGGTGATGGTATTCGGATAATGGACATTCAGTAAATTATGTAGACAAATATTTATAAATACTTGTACATTATTGATGATGGTTGTGATAATTCTCCAAGTTTCAGTATAGAGGATTCTGACTTTGATATTGGTTGGCAATTGTTTTGGGTTCCATATATTCTTCAAGTGTATGAATGTCGTCCTTGGTTTGCTAATCCACACCTTTAAATCGGCATCAGATCCCCGACGTTCATCGATGATGCTACCCAGACAAGTGAAACCTCTCTCCTCTTCTAAAGTTTCTCCATAAAGTGCGAGTGGTTTGGTGTTGTCCGTGTTGTATTTGAGGATGTTGCTTTTTCCTTGTGTATGGTGAGGCCTACTGCTGAAGACAGGGGATACTGCCACATTGTTTGTCTTAACCTGCGTTTGTTGTTGTGTATGGAATATAAGAGCTATGTCATGTGCGAAGTCTGAGTCGTCTAGTTGCATCCAAGCTGTCGATTATATTCCGTGCTTTGCTTGAGATGTGGAGGTCTTCATAATCCAGTCAGCTGCCACAAGAAACAGAAAGGGAGAGAGTAAGCAGCACTGTTTGACTCCGGCCCTTACTTTAAATGCGCCTCTCACCTGTCCTCCACTCACGACTTTGCAGTATAGTCCATCCTATAAATTCCGTATGATGCTGACGGTTTTACCACGTACACCGTAGCTTCAAGAATGTTCCATAATGTTATACGATCCACACTGTAAAATGCTTTCTCATAACCAAGGACGCTGGTGTAAAGTGACGAGTTCCATTCAACTGATGGTTCAACGACGATCCGTGGTGTCTCAATTCGGTCTGTGCACGACTGATTCTTACGGAATCCGACCTGATGATCTCGAAGCTGGATGTCTTTCATCCGGTTCAGCAAAACTACGTTGAAATCGTTTCCTTGTACTGATAGTAGTATGATGTCTCTGTAATTCTCACATTTGCTCAGATCTCCTTTCTTTAGGATCTTGATGAGGTGCCCTTCTTTCGAGTTTATCTGTGGTTCTCCTTCTTCCACTCGAATATTTCTGAATAGAAGGTGAAGCATGTTTGCAGTTACTTCAGTGTTTGACTTCAGTGCTTCAGCTGGTATATTGTCAGGTCCTGTCGCCTACCCATTCTTGATTTGTCTGATGACCATGTTGACTCTTTCAATCGTTGGTGGAGTGACATCTATAGGAAGGTCAGTGTGTGCTGCTTCGATTTCCAGTGAGCTCAGTGGAGCTGATTTATTTAACAGTTCCTAGAAGTATTCTACCCATCTGTTCCTCTGTTCGTGAATCCCCATGATTGTCCCCCCTTTCTTGTAGTTGATCGGTCTATCTGGCTTATTATATCTCCCTGCTAATTCATTCGTTGTAACACACAGTTGTTTCGTACTTCCTTCACTTGCTACTTTTTCCGCCGTCGTTGCTAGTTCTCCCATGTATTACTGCCTGTCCGCTTTAATAATCTTCTTCACTTGCTTGTTTGTGTACTCTGCTTGTGCCTTGGTTTTCTCTGCTCGTGTTCGACTGTTGTTGATTGCTGTCTTCTTGTTTTTCCCTTCTTCAATCTCGTACAGAGTTCCCATAGAGATCCATTTCTTATGGTGATCCTTCTTGTGACACAGAACCTCCTGACACGTTGGAGTTAGTGCTTCTTTGGTCCCTTTCCAGTTGTCCTCTACGGTAGTTTACTGTTCTTTCAGTAGATCCTGTGGAGCTTGGAACCTATTCTTGCTAGTTATCTTAAATTGGTTGAGTTTGTCAGTATCTCGAAGTCTGTATAGAGCCTCTGTAATGCTGTTTGTTCAGTTATCCAGTGCTTCTTTAGCTTCAGTTTCACCTTGACCACAACCAGGTGGTGATCTGAAGCTATGTCAGCTCCTCTCCTGATTCTCACATCTTCCATTGTCCTTGGGAAATTTTTGTTGATACAAATATGATCCATCTGGTTCTCTGTGGTGTGGTTCGGTTAGATCCATGTAGCTTTGTGTCTGCGTTTGTGTGGAAATATTGTGCCGCCTATAACCAATTTGTTGAATGCACATTTGAAAATCTCTCCGCATTTTTGCACCTCTCTCACCCAGTCCGTGTCGTCCCATGATACCTTCATGATCGTCGTTGTCCACTCCAAATTCATGTCTCGTTCATACCTCCTATCAAAATGGTCAGGCCTTTTCCTGAGTACTTCACTGCGATTGGTTGCAGCCTTTCATAGAACTGATGCCATCATTTATGGGTGCATGACATTGGATAACATTGATTGTTGTTCTCTATTTCCTTTTTTCGAAGGATACTTTGATAATTCTGGACCCATGAGATTCCCATCCTATAAGTGCATTTCGTGCTTCTTTTGACACCATCAGAGAAAGTATGTCAGATTCATCATCGCCTAAAACATTGCCGGATACAGATATATTTTGATGTTTGTTCTGGACATATTCTCGTCGAGCTACATAGGAATAAGAGGTGATCCGATTGATGATAGCACGCAACATATTGAGTCCACCGAACCACCTGAACAGTGGTTACCTTTGCGCGGAGACTTGGTGAACACATACTAACCCACGGATTATCAACTCCTTATTGGACCAGCTGTGTCTGATACATGTCTCATAAACTACAAGAGTTATCATCACTGAATATCGGTAACTACTTCCTATCTCCCTTGGTATCATAGTTTCCTTACATGCATTGAATTTTATCTCCTTATACATTAAAAATTGGGGCAAGTTATCTGTTTGTTCTTGAAACAACCGTTTTTTAGCCCTCGAATAATCGTTTCATTGTATTCACTTTGCGACCAATCAACCTGCTTCTTGGTAATGTGTTACCTTGAAACTAACTTACTTACCTAAACTACGACATGTACAAATCTAAAAATAACTACCGAACTGACTGGAATTGATGCACTTGAGTGGTTAGCTTATCACTCATTGGAAATTACCGAATACCTAGAACTATACCGAAACAACAAGAAGCTAAGGCAGAGAAATCAATCGGTCTATACAAGCTGTTGATAAAAATATTGAAGATATCGGGTGGAGAAGTTTGTGAGTGATATGATGCGCCACGATCACGTTTCCTCTCATCTATATGTTCTGCTTTGTTAGTTGCAGAGTATGAGTGTGGAAAGATACAGATTATCATAGAGTGATGCTCAGGTCATTATAGACTGTGAGAAGTACGACAGAAGAGTCATTTGAAAAACTAGACATGGATATATCACTATTGTCAATCCCTGTCTAAGGTCGATATTTATTGGTTTAAACCGCGAGGTGACCTTATACAGACTACCGTTGATAGCTTGATAGTAGTGAACGGCTGTTCTACCCTATTATTATTCAGCAATGCAAGTCCATGACCCAGTATAATTGAACAAAACCCTGATCCTTTTGTCTCGCGGTTGGTCGAATAATCTGTTGAACACTGAGTCAGTGACCAAAAGTGTTCATATTTAACTTTGATGAACTCACGATAGTTCATTGTCGAGGATTCTCATAATAGCTGTATAATTTTTATTTGTGAGACATGAATAAATCATAAGTTATAACTCTTCAGTTAATATCTCTTCCTTATTTATAAAAAAAGCCATAATTTTCTAAACACAGATAACATCCGTGATCTTTCAAATGTTAAAATTTACCATTTGAACTAAATTCATTTTACATTTTAACAAAATATTAGGCGTTCCTCTTGCATTAATGTACATTTCTATTCATTTTTATGCTGCATTAATTAAGTAAGTATCTAAATGGTTGCCAGAATTTTATACTTACCCTACCGCAATACTTATCTCTGTGTTTTTGCAGATTATGGTACAGTACGCTTTTCCAGTTGTGTATTAAGGTTGGCCTAACCTTATCCGCTGAAGCAGAATGGCTTTTCTGTAAACGTTTTCCGTTTAGCAGGGTTCACACACCAACCACGTGGATGTGATTTCGTGGGGAAAGCAAGTGGTCACCACTCACTTCAAAAGTATTTGCTACAAATAAATGTCGCTTATGCATTATATACATATTAATGGTATAAAGACTGTCACCCCTGCACATCATGACATAAGCATAAGCACTTTTTCAGAGTGGGTTGATAGTCACTTCGCCGTAGCATTTTCCACTACATCTTTTTATCGTCTTCACCGTGAAGCACAAGGCCGCTGACTTAATAAGACAATGCAGACAATTTTTCAACTTACGTTCCTTGTGCTAATGCACGCACTTGCCTTTTCATACAATTACATACATAAACTACACAAACCAATACTCATACAACTCATATAGATAAGCATACACATTTATAGCCCGCAAGATTTTGGTCAGCCCTAAAATCGGGATCCAGTTAATCCCGTTTATGGAAGAGTGGTGGATTAGTCCAATATCGTCGATCTCCCAAATTAACTATCAAGGTCGCTCTCACTACGCGGCAGCGTCACAAGAAGGCTTTGAGTCGGATTTCGCTGCCCCAGATTATGGTACTAAACTTGTTATCGAAACTGAAACTCATTACAGTCTTGAGCACAGATAACGGAAACTTGTCTGTTATCAAGAATATCACTTCATTGATGGGTTGAACTATGACATCTTCACTACTCATCCTATTGATTTGAAACAGAAGCTATGTAGATTAGTATTACAGCGAAACAACAAATGGTATTTTTTCCGTATTAAGATTGTTCGGACTAAACTATGTAACTGAAAATCGCGTTGGACTCATGAAATCCGATGAAATTGCTGATACGTCACAGGTAAAATGTGCTGACAAATTTCGAAAAGTTAGTGGCAGTTACCACCTAAGAGAGTGCTGCCCGGTTTCGACCCAAAAATGACTCATAAATGTTAGATACCGTGATTAATTACTTGCTTACTTACACCTGTTAATCCCAATGAAGCATAAGCCGTCGACCAGCATTCTCCAACCCACTCTGTCCTGGACCTTCCCTTCTAGTCCTATCCAGTTGTTGTTCATTCTTTACTTATCTGTTTCCATTTCTGGACATAATGTGTTGTTTGGTCTTCCTCTTCCCCTTCGGACTTAAAGATTCCAAGTTTGGGCTTGCCTTGTGACACAGTTGGGTGCTTTTCTCATTGTGTGTCCTATCCACTTCGAGCGCTTTTTCCTGATTTCTTCCTCCACTGAAATCTGGTTTGTTCTCTTTCACATTAGGCTGTTCCTCATAGTGTCCGGCCAATTGATCCGGAGTATTTTGCATAGACAACTGTTAATAAACACCAGTAACTTCTGGATGGTGGCTTTCGTAGTTCCCCAGGTTTCCGCCCCATACAGTAGAATTGTCTTGACATTTGTATTGAAAATTCTGACTTTGGTGTTGGTTGATAATTGTTTTGAGTTCCAGATGTTCTTCAATTGTAAATATGCTGCTCTTGCTTTGCCGATCCGCGTCTTCACATACGCATCAGATCCACCGTGCTCATCAATGATGCTGTCCAGCTATGTAGATGTTTCCGCATCCTCCAAAGCTTCTCCATCAACGGTGACTCCATCGGTGCATCTTGTGTTGTGTAAGAGAATCTTGATTTCCCCTTTGTGTATGTTGAAACCTACTGCTGCTGAGGCTGCAGCTACACTGGTTGTTTTCTCGTGTATTTGTTGTTGCGTGCATGATAGAAGGGTCAGATCATCTGCAAAGTCTAAATCGTCCAGCTGCATCTTAGTTGTCCCTCCTAATGTTGACGTCTTCATGATCCAGTCAATCACCAGGAGAAAGAGGAAGGGTGAGAGTAAGCAACCTTGCCTGACACCGGTCTTTATCTCGAATGAGTCGGTCAGTTGTCCTCCATGAACGATTTCGCAGTTTAATCCATCATAGGAATTCCGTATAATATTAACTATCTTCTCAGGCACGCCGTAGTGTCTAAGAATCTCCCATAGTGTTATCCGGTCCACGCTATCAAATGCTTTTTCATAGTCAATGAAGTTGATATAGAGTGATGAATTCCATCCAATTGATTGTTCCACAATGATCCGTAGAGTTGCGATTTGATCTGTACACGATCGATCCTTAAGGAATCCAGCCTGTTGGTCTCGAAGTTGGGCGTCTATGGAGTCTTTCATTCTGTTTAACAACACCCTGTTGAAGATCTTTCCTGGTATTGAGAGAAAACTGATGTCTCTGTAGTCATCACATTTGCTGAGATCGTCTTTCTTTAGTATTTGGATCAAGCGTCCTTCTTTCCAGTCTGATGGTACTTGTTCTTCATCCCAAATCTTACTGAGGAGAATGTGGAGTATCTTCGAAGTTACTGCTACATCTGCCTTCAGTGCCTCTGCTGGAATATTGTCTGGTCCTACTGCTTTTCCACTCTTGATGTGTCTGACAGCCATACTGATCTCTTCAATTGTTGGTGGGCCAACATCGATTGGGATGTTCGTGGGTACTGCTTCGATGTTAGGTGAGTTCAGTGGAGCTGGTCGATTCAAGAGTTCCCTGAAGTGTTCTAGCCACCTGTTTCGTTGTTCTTCAGTGTTGGTGATTACCTTGCCTTCCTTGCTTTTGACTAGTCGTTCTGGTTTACGTTGATTTCCAGCGAGTTTCTTTGTTGTATCACATCATGGTCTCACGTTTCCTTCTCGTGCAGCCTTTTCTGCCGTCATTGCTACCTTTGTAGGCTTTGATGCTCCTCTTCACTTGCTTGTTTACTTCTGAGTATTCAGCTTGTGCCTTGGCTTTTTCTGCTCTTGTTCGGCTGATATTGACTGCCGCCTTTTTGTTCCCCCTTTCTCGAATCTTATCCAGTGTATCAACAGTGATCCATTTCTTGTGACGGTGCTTCTTGTGGTCCGGAACCTCATGACATGTTGAAGTGATTGCCTCTCTTATCCCTTTTCCAGCTGTCCTCCATAGTAGTTCCCTCTTCATTGAGTAGATCTTGAAAGGCCTAGAATTTATAGCTGAGGGCTCTCTTGAATTTGTCGAATTGGTCAGTATCCCGAAGAAAGGGCGTATTTAACTTTTGTGATGTTATCCGCCCCATTGTCTAGTGCTTCTTAGATTTTAATTTCATCTAGGCGGCCAGCAAGTAATGATCTGATGCTATATCAGCTCCTCGCCTAGTTCTCACATCCTCCATAGTCCTCCTGAACACTTTTTTGATGCAGATATGTTCAACTTGGTTCTGTGTAGTAAGATCCGGTGAAGTCTATGTGGTTATGTGAATGCGTTTATGTGGGGTTTGCAAATCTCCCACCACTTTTATTTCTTTTCTCCCAGTTAATGTCGTCCCATTATGTCTTCATATTTGGTGTTGTCCATTCCAACCTTGACATTTAAATCTCCCATCAGAATGGTCAGGTCCTTTGTTGGGCACTTTTCGAAGATCGATCATAGAAGTTATCTTTAACGTTTTCATTGTAGTCGTTGGTATGCGCAGAGCATTGAATGACGTTCATTGTAATGCCCTCTTTCTTTGTTTTGAAGTAGGCTTCGATTATCCTTGGTCCATAAGATTCCCATCCTATAAGTGCATTTTGTGCTTGTTTGGACAGCATCAATGCCACTCCTTGTGTATGTGGGAGTTTTCTTCTTCATGACCGGAGTATAACAGCAACTCCCCTGAAGATAGTCGTTGTCCAACTTTCGACCAATGTGTTTCACTGATTCCAAGAACCTCCAGGTTGTATATTTTCAATTCTGCAGCAATTTGGATGGCTCTCCTGGTCTACCACAATTTATGAACATTTCATGTACCTACATAAATGGTTTCTCTGGTTATCAGAATGGGCATCGGCCTCGTGGCTTCCGAAAGAACTCAGCTTTCACCATAAGGCGTCATAACCCTTCAAAATGAAGACCTTCTGACTCTCAGTGTAGAGTTTAAATGGTTTGAATAATTTTTCTGGTTAGCGTATTTTAGCGAGTTATTTTTCTACGGGATGGGGTAGCTCACCCTGTGCTAAATCTTCCCCTTTATCGGGGCTTGAGACTGGCAGTAGCCCCTAGAGGGGCTACAGGAGGAGTTGGATGTCACGATAGGCAATGATTTATTGATACCACTAAGCAGCATTTTAAAGCCTATGAACTGACGGGTCGTTGAAGAATTTGCCATACTAATTTTCGGCATTCGAATGTCAACTGGATTGACATTAAACGAAATACAACGTTTCGAGTTCATTATTACGGAGGTTTTAAAGTATAGTATAAATATTCGTGCAGATAATCATTTTAAGCAGTCACGTTAATCTCCTGGAAACTGAAGCAAGATTGTAGACCTACCTCAGTAGTGATGAGTTACACCAATCTAAAAAATAATAACTGTGAGCTACGCTCCGCTATTCTACAGCTCATGATCTCGATCATCATTCTGTATCTAATTTCACATAGATAAGTGCCGCTCATTAATAATTATCTTGTAAAAGCTATCATCCAACTGAGAGCATATTATACAGGACGCACGCTTGAAGTCTACCAGATTTGCCGATTGTAAAATCATAATATTGTTAGGTTTTAAACGTCTGGCTACTATGTTTAACTTTATGTGAGCAAATAGACTATATTCATCAATATTTTTAAGCATCAACGTGTAAATAAAACATACATATCTTGCAATCTTCATAGCAAGCGGTAAAACAGGAGGAAACGACATCTATAATATCCCAAGGTATGCTGTCTACTTTTCCAACGTACTACTTGAAAATTACAATCGACACAAGTTATTGTTTCATGATTCTTTGGAACATCGAGTCTAGGGTCTATTTCCCCTAAATAAATTCAATTTACCACTCACGATAACGTTTTAAAGAGTTATTCCATGCAATCGACTTATTTTAATCGAGAAAAATAACAAACTTTGATTTCACACAACCAATAGCTATTATTTTTAGAGTAAAATAACCAATTATGGCTAAGTTTATTTCACTGTCTGTACATTTCTTTTTGCATGTACAAGCAGAAAAAATAAGGGGGGAAATGGTAGAACCAATGTTTTTGTGTCCTGATTATTATCAGTTATTTATAAGAATCAATCCAAGATGTCATATGTAGATAGAAGGTAAATACCAGTTGGTGATAACGATCTAAAGATCTAGAAGAAAAAGGGCGATCAGTCATGATATTATGCAGGGTACAAACAAGGTGATAGTGATATTGTTGAAAATTACATTATTTCAGTAATTTACTTCAAGATTACTGATGATTCGTGAGCAAAACGTTGGTGAATATTAGAAATAATATCGATTAAAATACTGTTAGTAATAAATTTGAAGAATGATAATAAAGTGGCTAAGCAGAAATATTCTTTTCAGAGGTCACCCAGAAAACTTAAAACTGGAACAATTAAACTCCCACTATACATAATTAAGAAAATAATAGAAATTATAATTAGATAATTCAGTTTTGTTTCTACTTAAAATGTAATGAAAATAAAGTTAGATAAATTTCGTACACAATTATTAATGATTGGGTAAATGATCAATTTACATGCACCTCTGTGTGTATTCAATGTTCAAAAACAATGAAATAAATGAACAATATAATCTATCAATTTAAAGTTATTTAAAATCAAGATGAATAATTACACTAAGAATATTGAAGAAGAAAAAATATAATAATGAAATCAAATAAAATCCAATGGTGGTGGTGGATCGGTAGGTATGGAAATTTCTCTTTTGGGCAACTGATTTAAATCTAAACTTGAAAGACGTATACACATGTCTAGTTCAGTTAAACGCTCCACATCTTCATTGTAATAGTCACTTGGATTCTACAGAATAAAATAAAAACTGGTTAAAGAAAAAAGGAAATGATGTTTTTTTTCCTTTTTTTTTAGAAAAACAAACTAAAAGTAACATTTTGTCTGTTTCTTTCTGTCCCTTTTGATGACATATGTAAAGAATGGATATGATATGTATATATACATTATCAATGTGATATTAGCATGATGTTATAAGCGAGTAGAACAAAAAAAATCACATTTCGCATTATTTGCAATCAATTAGTGGAAGATGATAAACAAAGCAGTTAAACGATTATATATCCACTCCCTATCCACTTCCTAGTCTCTAGAGATCCGTTACTTTTGAGCATTGTACAGAAAAATATAAGTTTAACATTGAAGATTAGTTTATATACAGAAAATAAGAATATTTATAAGATTGTATATGATTAAGAGATTTCAGAAGTCTCTGGAACACATCCTAAAATTAATAACAAATAAGGTGTTCGTCCTATCAGGATAATGAAAATACAAATCGTTTTATATGATTTTCTTGAAAGTTTCTAAAGTATCCAGATTGACGAGAATAATTTAAACATTTTCCCGACTTCCGAAGAATTTTCTCGAGAAAATAATGAAGCCTCATACCAAAAGGAACTTAAATATTAACCTTCTTTATTTGAGAGTAGAATCTACTTTCAATTGTTGGTTTTTGGAATCCAAATGACCCACTAATATAACTAAAAGCATAACACAGATAAATGATTTCAACTCGACCTCCTTGTATAGGAACCATTTTTAAAGAAAATCCACCCATTAACACTAAGGAATTCGAACTTAACGTTACAAGAAGCTGCTTAACAATGAACAGTATATTTTGACATTTAACAAGTTAGCATAACAGCTGAGATAAATACATTAACTTCAGACACTACAACTTGGGCGACCATAAAACATTTCTACACAGAACTCCTTCATAATTTATTGTAATAAAATACCTCACAAATATACGACTATGAGTAGTCTCTCAAAATGACCACTTAAAATATAATATGGTACCTGAATAACATGATAGAACAATGAAGTAACAATTAACTTTGATAGGAATTTAATACGGCTTTTTTTGGCACTATGATTTCTATTTATGGAAGAAAAAGAGTAGGTGCTGACAGAATAAGCGCATCGTTAACAATGTAAAAAGCTTGTAGAGATTACCCAACTTTATAGTTTATGTCACCAACTGACTATATTTAGACAACCATTCCTGGATTTCCAGCGATGGTCTATGGTTAGTTTGTGATGTAAACTGTAAATCCATTATAGGATAGTTGGCTTTCGACTAGCAAAGGAATTCATCTGGCACGTTTTGTTCTTTTTAATATTCTTCATCTGGATATGTCTTCATCTATGTTAATGTCTAAATTATCACTCAAAACCCCTGTATCCCTTGTTACAAATACCAACCTACAAGATCCACATTGCCATTACTTTGGAAAGTCCATATCAATTGAATGAAAAATAAAAGGATTCACAATTGATTGATCACTGGGTAGTATTCAACGTCATGTGTGTCAAGTCCTTCTTAGTGCTGATCGAATGCTATCGATCAAGTTGCAATGTGGCAACTAGTCTAGGTGGCTCGACACTGAAAAATAAAAGGATATATTTCATTGAGCACCAATAATTATTGGTTATTCAAAGATTTATTGTTTTGGGAATATGTTTTTAATTATATCAAAATATAATTCGATTCTATCCAATAAGGTTTTAAGAACACTAACTTACATTTAATTTGTTTAATAAAAATAATCCATCTAACCAGTAATTATATTCAATTATTGATCTGGCTAATAAAGTAACTCGAAAACAACGAGGTTTATTACTTGTCGATTCATTAGGATCATCTTGATTTGGGATATCGAACAATTCCACTTGAAAGAGTAATGTCTAATTAGTATTATTTTAAACAAAAAAAGCAAAAAAATAGAACGCTCTGATAATACTACTTGTTATAATTCAGTAGCACAAGTGTTGATTGTAAATGTAATCATTAAGATTAATTTGTAAAATTTCAATAATATTTAATCATGATCAATATTGAACAGTACAAGAGGTTATGAATAATATAGATCGATACAATTATAACTCTTCCTGTTGAAATTCCTCAATGATATATGTGTGTTCCTACTTATGGCAATTATTTATTGATAATATTCAAGGGTAAATACAAATAAATTATAAATAGAATAACGATAACCCACTAAACATGCTCATATTTTAAGTAAGATTATCACATCGGACGACAATAGTACTCAAAAATCTTATTGTAAAACCTCAAATTAGAATGAAATGATCATATTGATAAGGATTGGCATAGTTCTTAATCGTTACCGACTACAAATGTCTATTTTAGTGTCTTATTCAGAGATATCAGGTAGTATTAGCAAGAACTTTATTCAGCGATAAAAACAGATAGTAACTAGGACTTTAAGTGATATCGTACGTTTACATATTAAAAAATGGTGAACACACGAACACAATAACTTAGAATGTTTCAGGAAAGTAACTTTAGCTCACTTTGTACATTAGCTTACTATCTTTCCTCAAATTATTTTTCATGTTAGTTCCGGAGAAGAAAAATCCTAGAAATTTCTTATAGTAGGTCAGATAACTAACATCCATATTACAATAGTCGTTAGTTGAAAAATATAGCCTATTCCATGAAATGGCATGATGGTGAGTACTTCAGTGTACGACTTTCAATACCTGCGGTTTGTATCATATATATGTATGTATATATAACAATTGTGAGCTCATTTATTAGCTATGTAGCAAATAAAATTTTCAGAAATCATTTTTGTCATGAATCACAACGATCATCATCAATTTCTTATCAGTATATCTTGTCTTTTATTCAGCTATTTGAAATCATCTAACTACAAGAAATTTACTTTGAAAAAACGTGTACTTGTGAATTTGCGAATAATGATTGAAAAGATATACACACTAAATGGTGATGTCATCAACAGAAATACAAAATCCACCTTTAATAAATTCTAGAGTGATAATTTGATTTCACTATAATGAAGTGGCGTGGCAACTTCAATCGATGCACATATGTGACAGATTCTACGTTATTTACGATGGACTGATTGAAATTGACAGATCACGTAAGCAAAATATAGCTGGACTTTAGAATTTATGTTTATAAGTTTATATTGTTAAAAAATCTAGTGTCTCTTACAATCTTCGAGAAACTGAGGTCCCCTAAGCACAATTTAAAGGCACTGTTAGTTAATGTTGAAACGAAGTATAAATAACTGCTACGGTACTTTTTAAGTCATAGTGTTGTTTCCATACCTGAACGATATTTTGAGACGATTATCATGAGAAAATAAACCAAGTTCTATTAACTTGAAGGTATGTATACCACAAAATAATAAACTAAATAATTTGTATTTAAAGCTAACATGTTGAGCACGATATTTTAACATGTATCAGAATGATTGTAGGAGTTCTTCACACTTATTTTACAATTTTTGTAGGAGTCGAGCCTCATTATCAATGATGTATCTATTTTCATAAAAAAGTGCTAAATACAATGTCAGATGGCTTTTACTTTTTTAGGAGCTAAGTAAAGTATGTCTATATTTAGTATTTAAGAAGTTTAATTGATGACCGCATCTGTTGCTTAGCCATACAGTGAAAGGTAAATTAGGAGGAACACCTGTTCTTGGTGTTGAATGCATTTGTGATGTCAATTACATACTGGTTCTATCTGATGAAATCCAGGGCATTATCAAGGATCTCCCTGAAGGCACCCTATTGATTGTAACCTAGTTGATGCTGAAACTCGACTTTAATCCTTTACAGTTTTTTGGCTTTCTATATTGAATTCTTCATTTATACGAACTGGGTTTTGGTTATCTAATGACACGTTAAAGTCCCTCGAAGGCATTTATGCCTATTCAAGGTCGTTGTTACACCTCATTTAATTCGCTCTCTGGAAAAAATCCCTTCATAAGTTTATTGACAGATAAACAGATCAAATTCAACTTGATAAAAAATATACTAGTAGTTTGTCAGGTTAATACTTACACGTTCCGGATTTTTTTTCACTTTCTCAGTTATACCCAAAGATACTCGACTAATACAGTTTAGTTGCCCTTTGGATAAAAAAAAGAAATAAATATTATTATGACGATTGATTTTCTAACTAAACTATTATTAATCAAATGGAGGAATATATATACAAAAGTTAGTTGACTTTATTTGTGCTAAGGATATCGACCAGAGAGATTGTCTGATATATAGGTTTACTGAGAAATATACATTTAACGCAGAAAATCCAATATACTTTGTTGCCCACAACACTACTATCCCGCTTTTAAGTAGTGTAACTAGTTCTTGAGAATCCAGTCTATTCTGATGACACTCACCATGAGCGAAATAATACGACTCAATATCCAAATAAATCTATTCCTTTTGAAGATTCTAGAAATGAAATTGTTGCTGAGTATCCAAATTATCATTGACTCCTAAATAGCTTTTCGTCATAGTATTAATTTTTGTGAGCGCATCACTCTTTGAGATGATATTTTAGCAGTTTCTTGTGTACTTTTATCGTAGTAAACCCACCAAAAAGAACTTCTTTCTACATTTGTATTACATCACGTAATTTGGTGTTAGGAAATTGATAATACGAAGCCAAACAAAAAAAACAATGGAAAAAAGTAGTGTGTAAATTTACGAAACCGCAAATCATTTTTACGTTCACTTGGTGTTGTTTATTTGTATCTTCCTATTGTTATTTAGGACTGCAATTGATCAGTCTGTTGTTGTCGTATGTGCATCCTGTGCGGACTGCCTCGATATTGCCTGAAGTCACAAGCTTTATAAGCAAAGATGGATAGTGGCTAGCAGTGGAATCCAGGACGCGCGTTTCGTCCTATTTGGATTCCACTGCTAGCCACTAACAATCTTTGTTCATTTTGTAGTGAAATGCATAACTGACTATCAAGAATATTGTATTTGACTTTAAAATGCACAAGAGTGAAATCATTTTTGTTCTTCAAGATAGGCTAAATATATTTTCTTTACATACATGAAAAATAATAAAATTCGAAAGAACTTTAAGCTGCATACGTTAGGCCATTTGTCAAAGAACAATCGAACAAGAAACACATGCAATCAACAACAACTGAATACTGTGATTAATTCTAAAGAAGAAGAAAATGAAATATAAAATAGTGAACACAGATCACATTCAAATCTGGAAACGGACATAAACATCAATGTTTATTAGAATTAAGACAAGTTTTTGTTGGGGATGCTAGATCTCCAAAAATCATTAGGTAAACTTGTTAATTTTGCAATATAATTGTGGAGATTTGAACTTCCAATTTTCGCGTCAAAAGCGCTCATTATTACCTTCAGTTCGTGTCTCCTACCTGGAAAGAACTTGAAAGTTATTGGTTCGTTTTCCCTTTAAGTATGCTATTTTGTGACACTTTTCAGGGGAATTTTTTTATTGCATATATTACGCATGAATTGAGTGCTTGTTATTCGTTCTTCCAGCCTGCTTGTGGAATTATACATTTTCCCTGCTGATTTTAGTCTTCTTCTAATAGTAAGCTGAGTAGGGACGCGGAAGATTAGCTTAGCATCGTTCTTTTATTGAGTTGCTAGTTTACGTTCCGTTCGCCGATACCAAGGTGATAACATAATATATCAAACAGCAGTTTTAATGGTGTGTTTGTTCTCATACATATATACAATTTAGGAATACGGATCCACATCAATTTTCAATAAAAGATCATCTGACTAGGCTATTCGGCCTATTTCGGATTTTTAGTACAATTAAAATCTGATCAGTACTGAACAAAACCGTGTATAGTATTAACTACACAGTGATTAAATAAACTGGAAATGGTAACTTACATATTTCTCTTATAATCTGGTTTGTATCTCTTATAACAAGCGATTTGCGATCGGGTGACAGGAGTACAGTGAAGGATTGATTGTCTGTGTTAATTTAAGAGAAATAAAGCTCATGATATAATAATAATAATAATAATAATAATAATAATAATAATAATAAGAAGAAGAAGAAGAAGAAGAAGAAGAAGAAGAAGAAATATATATTGATACTCCTGGATGCCGGCTCAGAGGCCTAGAGGTTAAGTGGTTGCGTGCAAGTCGAGTTCTGCGTTCGATTTCGGCAGTACTTCCATTTGGGTTTTCCAATATCCAGTATGATAATCATAATAATTTTTAAGCCTTTTATAATATCACATGAGTACATACAATTATGATATATAGTTATTCAGCCAGAGGAAATGGACAATAATAGGCTTACTGAAATGTTTTCACACTTGGAAAATAGATGATTCAAACGTTTGATTAGATCACCTTAAATGTCAAGTGATAGAAATGTTACTACCAAACCTATAACTTAAGATGATAAGGACTGGTAAAAAACCTAGATAATTCCTCTAAAATGTCCACAGATAGAGAGAAAAAGACAGTAAATGCTTACATAAATCAGTTTTGTGAAAACATCCACAAAGAATCCAAAAATCGATTGATTATGCTTTCATTAACTAACTGAACAAATAACAAATTGTTTCCAGGTTTAACATGCTTCTTAGAAGCCTCTACAAACCCAAAGTCACATATAGTGTTATAAATACTCTTGTTTTCTGTACATAGACTAACCTTGGAAGTAAAGCTTATTGCATTCTTCCCACTTGTTTTCCTGTTCTAGGTTCAGGCCATAGCTATTCAAATAGATTGGGAAAAATTAAGTTCTTAAGGAAAATTTTATATATGATCTATTACATGGGTATCTCCTGGGAACTAAGGAACATTGGATGTCTCGTTCCAGTATGAAACTCTCCACATGTGCGTACCTACCACTCCACTAGGGAACAAATTAGGGACTTTCAGGCCCTAGGGTATACCGACTTAAATGATTATCTAATCAAATTCAGTTTGTGATGAGAAACTTCTAAATGAATTTCTGCTTAAAGCTTAGTATTATTTTATTTTATTTATTTAAACACATGAATATTGGTACAAGGAAGCACCAGATACATATGCGCCGTACAAATCTCATTCGATTTGCTTGAGGGCTGTGATACTGCCCAGGTGCCCAAACTGAAGCAGGTGGTTTTCTTAGGGGCCCACACTCGGAGCCTTTGACCGAAAGATCTGATCCACAAGTTAGTGGAGCATCGTGAGGAGATGCAGTCCCATGGTAGCCGGTGATCAATGATTGATTCGTACGCCATTTGTTCCTTCAGGATACTGGAGCTCATGTGCACCATTGATTTGGAATCAGGGTTTTCCAACTGTCCTAGGTGAACTTTCCATGTCCACCAACCCGGTTAAAGCGCCGGACATTCGCTTTTCGTCTTCTCACTGTCGTAAACAACACCCCCTTTGTGAGAATGCAGTGAGTAGGACTTCCCTGGAAGAGGCTATATATTCGCTGGCCATGTGAGAGCATTTCGAGAGGGAGAGTGGACTCTCCCCACTCTCGGCCGTAACAGGGCATTTGGGGGGCTTAGTGCTTATAATTACATGGGTCGAATTTTTCAGACATGACATTAGTAATCAGTCAAAATAAATTTAGATATCGACAATCTTCTTGTTAAAAGAAGTCACTTAAATACTATCTGGTGGTGAACGTTTACACAATCAAATCATGATCTTTTATAAACCGTGTATTTGACGCAAACATACAATGCATATAATCTTCCTTTAAAGTGAATATTTGAGTACAACAATACTGTCATTTAATTAACATTTTGAGATATAGTCCACTAATGTAGCTCATTTATCAAGGGCAAATTTTCATAAATAGTTTTGAGCCCCACAGTTTATATGAAAGCTAGAACACGGAGCAGCTAGATAAAATGAAGTACGTAGAATGGGGTTCAAACCCACAACCTACTGGTTGAACTTTAAATGCTTCACCTACTACTAAACCATTATTACTTTAATACTCTAATGTAATTTTCCAAAATATAATAATTCATTTTGCTTTGTTCCGTCGTAAAATACCATCAGAAATCAATACTATCATTATTCTCGAAGTCAGTTATTTAACACTCATTTGTCAAAATTCATGTAGTTAAAATAAATAGAGCAGTTAGAATTGTATATTTGTTTTCAAGGTTACATTTATTGATCTAACGATGAGTACACATTAAGTGCACAGTAAATAGAATGAAATAGCAAGCATATTTTATAGTTGAGTTACTGATTTACCATATATATGAGATAAATAATTTTACTAAAAATGAACAAAGATGATTATCATTATTATTAACATAGATGAGCATACTTTCATGACCAGATTGTTTTTAAGTTTGATATTAGGTGGTTGAAGGTAGTCTACTGGAAACCATAAATTTAGGTTTCGTGCTAGTCGACATTCATCAGGAAGGTCAACCTGCAATTTTGATGCAATAGACGCTCTCTTTAGGATTATAAACTCAGGCACTAAGTTTCACAGTCTATTTTACCACTATGCCATTTGGGTATCGAGTGACCTGGCATAGGACTGAGACATTTACATTGTTTTACCAATTAGAAGTAATGAGTTCTATATTTGTCTATATTCTCAAATTTTATCAGTCAGCTAGTTTTAGAACTGAATCCAAGCACAGTGATTTAAAGGTATGATGATCTTCGCGAGACTTGAATATTAAACTTGTGTGGAATTATGGTTTGCGCGACTGAGTTACAAGCAAAGGGTAAAACAGCTGCCTCACTCCTACTAGATTTTCGCTTCTTGAAAAAACCTTAGCTAATGAAGAAACACACGTTCAGAAGGCTAGGTATGTTAGTGATTTATCATAGAAATATGCATATTTTCAAAGATTTCCATGTTGATTGGTTAATATATACTAATAAATCATTTCACAACACAACCGTTTGTCAACTGATTCGAAATACTACATAATACTAAACGCTTTAAACAAAGTGAGGCGTGGGTAATTCGCTTAGTATAAGCGAGAAAATTGTTGCATGAGCATAAAGATAGTATAAACTAAGAAATTGATTTGCAATCCTTTATATATATATATATATATATATATATATATATATATATATATATATATATATATATATATATCACCCAGGGACTCTTGACTTATGTAATCGACAAATTCAGAAATTTCATGATAGATATATCTGAATACTTGATAAATATCTCTCTATTATGATTTATCAATTCAGAGAGATGATTTTTGATTGATCGGGAAAGAAATAATGTCCTATACATTTATAACAAGTTCTTGTATCTCATTAATGAATAATGTCAATGGACCTGAAGTGTTGATACTAATGATCTTATTCGACCGTGCCAAAGTTCCATTCTTAACTCAACACCATATTTGTGACTTTGATTGTAGCCAGTGTTATATCTGGTGTTTACGGTCCGCAATTGAAGTTCAGGGTCAATGAGAATATTCAGTGAAAGCATGAATGATTTTTATTTTTATTAGTGTTATTCAGACAGTTGTATTTAAAATTGTTGCTAAACAACCTTCATCATACTAGCAACTGAAAGTTGTTGTGGTTACTGAGAAAAACCGATCCCTGTGCCGTCATTTCTTCATTTGTACTAGTTTGGAAATTGGGAATAGGTAATTGCACTGTATTTCGTCCTAAAACTGAACGTTGATACTTCAATCGCGACAAATATATCATATAAGATTGTTTTGAACTTTAAATTGGAACTTTAGAAAATATTCTATACCCAATCAGTTTTAAATAATCAACAATATAACTTGTACTGTCAAAAAATAGAAGTCCAAATATATTCGGAATTTTATGAGCTTTAAAGTAGTATACACTTCAAGAAACAGTAAACATTTTGTCAATATCCCATTACAAAATCATCATGTAAACGAATACAGAATGCCTGTATTGTTTTTTACTATAATATGTCAGAATATCGTATAACTGTAGTTGATTTACAGGGTGATTGAAATCACTTTCCGATTCCCTGATAAGACCACTTCTTTAATAGAAGAATCCATTTATTGAGTAAAATTAATCCATATAGGTGATGATTCGTTTTATGAAGATTATATATGAGTAGATGGACACGTACAAACATCCATACAAATATGATTTTTTCTCCAGAAATCATTATCGAGTAGTAAATCACGTTAAAATTAACACATGAGCAAACAATAGTAAAGTATATCAAAAATCAATTACCTTTACTACATAATTTTGATCCTTTTGATGGAATGTATTCTAAAGGTGCTGAATTTGACAAAATATTTAAACGATTCTCATATACATGTCCTTGATGACGTTTTCTTACATCGTTACGTAATTCTCTAGAAGATAAACAGATTAATGTGTAAAAATGGTAAATTTTCAGAAACAAAAGAAAGATATTATCAATGACAAAAATAAGTGAGATGTTCTTCTAAATAAAATATCACCAGCCATACATTTAAAACCAAAATAGTTCAATCGAATCGGCTAAGTATTCGACTAAGGTCATGGATCGATCGATGATAGACCACCATTGAAAACCTGAAAGCACTAGACAGCCGTTTCGTCCTAGTACGAGACTTCTCAGCATATAGCATATATAGCAGCATATATAGCAATATATAGCAGAAGCCATAGAAATACACATTAATAAACCAAACCTCTGTATATAGAAAACGTTTGTACAGCCTCTCAGTTTACCCTGGCCTTCAATTTAGTTACTATTACTTTTCTTAAAATTTACGAACTTTTTTAATTTTTTTATAATTAATTTTTTAATTTTAATATAATCTCATCTGTTTATTAATATGATTATCTAACTATCATTAGTCTTAATTTTAATTTTCCAGACGTTGGTTTGCTAACTGATTTTTATATCATTATGTCGATCAAACACTATTTACTTGGCATCGGTTTCATATTTAATTGTAAAAGCTATATATGTTCGAGTAGAAGCATAATGAAGAACTCATTAAGAAGAAATATTTCTTAGCTTAGCTTGTCTTTTTAATGTCTCTATGGGAACATTTGTTAAACTGGAATCAGAGCTTTTGAATGTATGAAACATTAGCTAAGCAAACCTTATTATTGACCGCCTATGGAGATTAATAAACAATCAGGCGCTTAGTGAATATACTGAAAATGATCAAAAAGATCTTACCAGTGTTGAAGAGTATAAGGTGATCAATTTAGCTTGTTCGAACGCTGACATTTAGCATTGATCGAATGAATAAATCATAAAAACTGAACATCAATTCATTAAAATCAACAACCGAGTTCAACTTCATACAGCGAAAACGTTTAGTTGTATGAGTCACAATTTTACTCAACCAATAATCAAAGAACCAAAACACGAAACTTACATTAATGCTGGGTGATTATGTAACATATCTACACGTAGACGATTCTCCCGTTTCGACCACATGGACGGTACATCATATGGATTAAATTTTATCAGAGAATTTTCAAATTCTTCAAGTGAAATAGGAATGGTCTTCAAAATACGATTTATCTGCTCTCGTACAACGCATAAAATCTATTTGACCAAAATAAAACAACACGGTTGGTGAAATGAAATGTTCAATAAAATAAGAAGGTAAAAGTAGAGTGAGAGAGAAAAGGACCATATATAAGTCTTATGATTATGTGATGCAAAACGTGTAGCGATAACAACGACAACAACAAAGTAAACAGGTTGTAAACACGTAATTAGAGAAAAAACAATATGTTGAAAAGAAAAGTAACGAATACAAGGTATTAAAGAGAGATTCTACATGATTAAAATTTAGGTTAGGTTTCAGGTCCACCATGATGTTACTGCTGTATCGGGATAGGCATACAACGAAAGCAAACCATCGGAACGATCTCATCTGAAATTATTGTATTTTTTGTTAAATAATTATTAAGTAACTACACGATTATACTCCAGTATCCCCCTACTTGCAAGTTTTTGTTTAACACAGAAATAATTGTTGTGTTCTACGTTTACCGAATTATTGTTAATTTATTACACACCTATCAGTCAGTTCTCCTCCATTTGTGTTATAGTTATGCCCATATTTTAATTTCTTAATCCTATTGATGTGTGGTCAGGACTTTGCTCTATATCATTTCATGAGTCAATCATAAATTCATACTGGATAGTTAGACGTTATCTGCTTGCTGAATTGACCCCTATCCTGACTATCGGTTGAGCGAAAGAAAAAGTGTAAGATATTGCATTCTGGACCATGAGTCAATTAGCGCTACTGTTATCTGTTATCTCACATGTAGAGTGTCATTGGTAATCGATAAACAGGTTAGGTGACTTAATCGATACTGTGACTAGATCAGTAAAACTGCTTTCCTATCTTACAGTTCGATTTCATGGGACCAAATAACTAAACGAGAAAATCCTTTCTTTTTTTACTGACAACTCAATTCATAATGTTGAAACAGCACTAACTGGCCGGTCTACACTAACGCCTATAGTGATTCGAAGATAATCGACTGGCACGAATTTCGCTGAAAACGTAAATCACTTAATCCCAACATAGTACTTCAAGTGTAACGGACAAAAGTTGGGGGTTAGATTTCCTGTGATGTTATGGCGTATATTTTTGAGGAATTCCAAAAAAATTCGGACGAAAAAAGTCCAAAGTTTGTTCTATATTTTATACATAACCATTATCAAAACTACAAATCGACAAGTTCATTCCTGTTTGCAATAAATTTAAACGTGTAATGTACACAAACGTTAACAGAATAAAAAGTGATAATTAGAGTTACATACTTTATAAAATCGAACTTCCAGTAGAATGTCAAAAATTATTTTCAAAATTAAAAGTGCTAAACAAAAAAAACGACTGAATAACCGAATAAAAATGAAAGCCCGAATGATAGCTAGTTTATTGAGTGTTTTGTTCCTTTATTTATAATATTAATCATTAGTATGAGATGTTTGTAGAGGTTGTTGAGTTTCCATTGGCTGCCGATTCATTGATCTAAAGGTTTAGCACTCGTCATAAAACCTGAAGGATATGGGTTCGATTTTAATTAAGGTCGTTGATTCGCACTGCTAAGGAGTCCCATACTCGTATAAAACAGTTGTCCACACTATAGTTTGAAATTTCTGTTTAACTAAAGTGAATCGGTGATGCAAATTACTGATGGTCACTGTCTTATGAAATTTAAACTTTAAAGCTAACCGGATACATTTCACAGATTTTCACTGATTCAAATAATAGACATAGACATACATAACTATCTATTCGAACAGCTTATTTTGAACACTGCTATTCTTAAGTGCTAATGCGATCACCATTAACAAATTTTTCCCGAACAACATTCAGTTCAGATAAATAAACAGGTGTCATCAGTTAAAACTGTTCTATTTCTATATAACTTCGACGATTTTTATAACAAACATTTGGTGAAAATTAGTATTAAGGTTTGGATCGACTAATAAGAAGTTTAATTAAATGATCAAAAGTTGGTGAAGTTGATGTTCTAAAGCATTGTATACAAGGATGGATTTCATAAGATAAATGAAACTATCAAAATTCCTGATTGTACTTGACACGGGTGTTCCAATCCGATTGGTTTGTAAAGCATTTTCTAGGGAGGCCCGTGGGGCCTTCTGAAATGCATCCCGTGTTTTCAAGGCTCACAAATCCACCACGTGGATATAACTTTGTGAGAAACTGTGGCCCTACATGTCTTTGAACAGATAAGTACATGGACCCGAGAACTTCTGCAACTCTTATAAATAAGCATACACATTACGTAGCCCGATGTGATTAAGTAAGCCTCGAGTTGGAACCTGAGTTAATCAAGGATACAAAGGAGTGGGTGATTAGTACGATCTTCGTCGACTGCCTAAGCTGACTAGCAAGGTTGCTGAGACTAACCAGAAGCGCTGCAAAGAGGCCTTACGTTGGATTTTACACTTCACACACAATATCAAATGAGGAACTTTTGATCGTTACAATAATTGTAGAATTAAAAATTGGTTGATTTTTTATTTGAATTGAAATAACCCTGGCTTCGAACTTTTACGTTTTAAGTGAGCACTAATATCTCTGTCAGTTGTAAGAAAAAATGTCTCACTGAAAAACCTCCTTTTTAAGAAGGGACAGAAAATGGGGAGAAGATGGAACTCCTAGTTTGCGAGTCTGGATTAAGACGGAGCGCCAGTTGTGTAACCCTTTGTTAAACGTTATCAACAATGTCATAAACTTACAATGTAATATCTATGCATTCGTTCAAATGATTTATATGACAAAGCGGAGACTGAATAAATCAGTCTTGAAGATCATAAACGAAAAAAAAACAAGACTTTACAATTAAAACACGTACATTTGTTGAACAACTGGTGGTTAAAGTAACTCATAACACTAATCGATAAAACTATAGAGCGTAAAATGACTAGTACTAAGTTAGTGGCAGTATGATTATCATCACAATAATTTAGATCTTCCCTTGTTTGACAAGCTCCAAACTAGACGAAGTATTTGTCCATTACTAGCAACTACTAATAAAGAAATCAATCCAACTTTTTTGAGTGGTAACACAGCATATATACATACACTTCAGAAGATAATATACATAAAAGCATTGTACTCTCCGCTTACGCAGAAAGTTTGGAGAAAGAATATGATGATAGCATGACTATTTATATTGAATTGACTAAATAACAATTGGAGCAATAATTAATTATCTCTGAAAGTATTCGATACAAACAGATGGAAATCAAAAATAGCCTAAATGAATGAATTACAACACATATCACACACAGGGGTTTTGCAATAAAACTAGATTATTTAAGGAGACTACACATCTTTATTTTTTAACTGGATGATTTAATAGTATAATCTAAATGACAATAGGTTGATAGTAAATGATTGATAACAATTATAATAAGGAAATCCTATTTACAAATCAACAAGAACGAGACGAAGGGTCTTGGGTTCGAGTCCCGCGCGCGAGATCGTGGATTCGCACTACTGAGGGGTCCCATACTAAGACGAAACAGCCGTCCGGTGTTTCCAAGTTTTTGATGGTGGTCTAACATTGGTCTATTCATAATCTCATTTAAAACGCAACAATCTCCATAATCCTATGCTGAAAAAAGTACAATTTTGGTATGTTGTGTTTTGCTTTTTAGATCAGAAAAATTGTCATATAAACCTTAATACAAAAATGCATGAAAACGTCCTTACTTCTAGAAACTAGTTCACTAAATAAATTTTTAAACAAATAGATAAATCCATCAAATGTTACTTCACAACTATTAAATGTGATTTGTACGCAAAAGTGGGGTCGAAAGAGAGAAATAACGATTAGCTATATATGGACAAGAAGCACAGATCGAATTTACACAACCTAGTTATTTTCATTTCATCCCATATAAATAACACATCGCATTACAATATGAAGCTAATAATACACTGTTAAGCCTTTTGAAAACCGTAAAAGTTACAAATGATTGTTTACTAAATGACGATTAAAACATATCAATTTGTTTAGTCTTTAGTATCGATCGAATTCCATAGAGCAAGATTGTAGGTACGCGGTATCGACTCCTCAGACACAATATGTAAGTCAATATTCAATTGTTATTTTGCCATATGCCTAGATAACTTGAACTATATACCTTTCCAATGAAAAAGGAAGCAATACAACTTTTGCTGTTTTTTTTAAAGGACAAGTCTGTTTGCGATTGAAGATGAATCTGAGAAAACTCGGAAAAAGAATCACAAATGTCGAGGTACGTTTTCAATTGGTGTATTTTTCTGAGTTTTCAAAACTCTGTGACCGCTTTAAATAGCATAAATAACCATTTGATTTCTATATTTAGACGAACCCCTCTTTTATTTGTTTAGAATTCAGAAATCGTAGAGTTATAGATTTCCAGAAGTTATCTGAGACGTCAACAGGTAATTAGTACCCAAATATTACAGCTGTCAAATTTTTGTGACGGGAGTCAATAAATGGTTTTAAAGTTGATTTGCCTTACTGTAAGTCGGTTTCATGACGGTAGAATTGATATTCGAATGAGTTTATTTAGGTAAATTTTATATATATATATATATATATATATATATATATATATATATATATATATATATAACCAACTTCTAATTATGAATGCCACTGTGACTTAATGGAGTAGTTCGATCTTTTCTTTAAGGCACTTAATCCCGAAGACATTTCCTTCCTATGAGGAATTAAACACTTTTAGCTAATATCATCATTAGTTTAATTACCCTTATTGCTTCCTGAGAAAAATCCTTAAAAATAGTAATATAAGCATTGCACCAGTTAACGAAGTTAATGGCTATACCGACTTAGAAGCTTCTTGGATAATACATTGAAGTTTAAAACGAAAGGAACTTGATCCGAATCCAAGCATGGACATAAAAATGGACATAGGAACACTTGAGACAACGCACCTTTCTTCAGGTAAAATTATTTTTGCACTTAAAATATAGATATTATGATGACCTTGTTACAAAATAAAGTTTTCTGTTCTTGGAATTCTCTGCGGTGTCCTGAAAATTTAATATCATATAAGGTCATTGGTACTGATAGTAATAATAACAAGAATAATAGTAACACTATAATAATAATATAATAGTAATAATATAATAGTAATACTATACACGCGTCGAGCTCTATGTTGATGATGACTGATTGAAGTAATAATAATAATATAATAGTAATAATATAATAGTAATACTATACACGCGTCGAGCTCCATGTTGATGATGACTGATTGAAGTAAAATACAAATGATCTAAAAAATTCCTTATTATGTGATGAAGAAATATTCTTAAAGGCCAGGGATGGGCAGAAACCTTTCTTCAGGTAAAATTATTTTTGCACTTAAAATATAGATATTATGATGACCTTGTTACAAAATAAAGTTTTCTGTTCTTGGAATTCTCTGCGGTGTCCTGAAAATTTAATATCATATAAGGTCATTGGTACTGACAGTAATAATAACAAGAATAATAGTAACACTATCAAATATGCACCTGATTTACGTCCATATTCTATACCGCAATATATATATATATATATATATATATATATATATATATATATATAGGTGAAAAAATCTTCAATCTGTATGCGACCATCATTTGGACTTCAGCTGGCCATTACTAAGAAAAAGTAGAATTAGTGCCTTTAAATCCTAAGCATTCTATATTAGGAACGTATGTTTCAATATACCTTGCAGTATGTCATAAATAAACGTCTATATTAAAGCAAATAGATTAAAATATATTTACTACGTTTTGAAATTCCTCCTTTCCGTTTTTCTTCAAAGAGAAAAATCCAAAAATTTCTTAGGAAAACAAATACACGATAATAACTTACATTTGCCTATTTTGTTTACCATCTAACCTCGAATAGACGTGTTTACCATCATTTTATAAGCAAAATTAAAAGTCACCGTATTTAACTAGTTACCTACAGTACTTTGAATACTGGTTTTGTCTCTCAGATAAATTCACATGTCTAGATGTATTATGTCTGTACACAACGTCGACAAGAGTATGATGAGTGGGTGTAAATAACTCTTTTTATAACTTGGATCGCAGATCGATTAGCATCGTCTATCACATTACACGCAAACAAATATCCAATAAGATACATAACGGACTAACTGAAATAAGGTAGACATGCTAAATAAAACTTACTCCCATAATAGTTATACCATGCATGTATGAATGGCAATTGATGTTTGTGTCATTCGTCAATTTTTTACTGGAATTAAATACTGAGAGTTGATCATATGAGATGCCAAAAACAAACTTACGCAATGATACTGAATATAAAAATTTGATAAAAGTATTTTAATGACTTTCTTCTTTGTCAAGTAAGGTCTGTGAAAATATTTATTGGTATGATATTTTGTTTCAAAACCGATTCCATTTCACAGAGCTATCTAATCCAAAACTAGCACTGATAAACAGTTTACTACACAGACTGATCTTAGTTTGACAATCATTCAAAACCAGGGACAAATAGAGAGCTGTTTTGTGCTAGAATGCGACACCTCAGCAACGAGCATCTAAGAGTCTACGGAAAACGGAACCTAGGAACTTCAGATCTCGTGACATATGCTTCTCGGTTCTCAGTGGTTAATTAACTAAGGTCAGTTCGTGACGTAAACTATGGAATTCAACAAACTTAATGAACATTTATACTAATAATATTCATCAAATTGTAATTCATATTTACAGTATAAGAACATACAATAATATATAGTTAACATTTTATTTCGATGTAATCAATTGCACTTCCTTTCTTGGAAAAGTGTCCAATTAACATTATTGCTTACAATAAACAATCTTTTATATACAACATTAGTATAAGAACCTTAAAACAAAAGAAAATTATTGTGTTACTAGACAAATTAAAGATAGTCCAACGAAGGAAATTTATTATTTTGGCGTTATCATTTACTAAAGCTGTACCATTTTAGTCCTAGTTACTTGTACACATAATAGTCTATATAGCAAAATAGAAAAATGTTGAGTCAGTAACAAAAATACCAAAAGCTAATCAGAAAATGTTCAATTCAAGTAAGTCAGACAGTTATAAGAATGAAAATAACACAGAAAGGAGAGTTGTGAGAATTTGGCAAATAAAAAGGAAACAAAAAGAGATGAACATATGTTAAAAAAGTTTAGTTTATAAGTTCAAAAGTGGTGCTATAGTGTCTAGTACTATGTCAAGGTCATATAGGTTATTCTGGCCTCTGAACAGACCAATTTATCCATTCTTTCCGAGCCACATTTTGACCTTGTTAATTAGACTCTTATTAACCCCGTCTGCTTTTATATGAACGTATGTGTGTTAATTATTCACGCCGGTTACCTCACATGGAGGAGCATACACAACTTACCAGCATTCTCCATCCAACTTTGTCTTGGGCTATCATTTCCAGTTGTCATTCATTCATTTTCAAGTCTGCTTCCAATTCGCCACGCAGTATGTTCTTCGGCCTTCCTCTTTTCCGTTTCCCTTCAGGATTACAAGTTAGCGCTTGCCTCGTGATGCAGCTTGAGGTGTGTACTATCCACTTCCAACATCTTTTCTTAATTTCCTATTCAGCTGGAAGTTGGTTTGTTCTCTCCCACAGTAGGTTGTTTCTATTCATTACGTATCTGTAACTTATTTTGGTCTAAATATAAATAATGAGTTATTCTTGATCAAATCGAGTGGACTCACTCACTTGCTTCCTATTCTGGATGTTTGTCTGGATAAACGAATGCATGAAACAAATCCCATCAACTGAACTCGTATTGGACTTTTTATTACCGGTGTCACACACCCAGGGTTAGTACAGGTAGTATTTTAGTGGCCCTGTTATCTGACTCCAGTCATATCGTTTGCTGATTGCTATCGAAATATACGTATCGTCAATCTTCACATATAATTATCTACTTAACTCGCCTTGGTGAATAACGGAGTCAAATAAGTCAAGAACGAGAACAGAATCTCAAATAAGTATATTTCGTACAATGATTGGTTGGAAAGCGAAGCAAAACGAAATGACACGAGGTGGAGAAATTGAGTGAGCCAACTCCCTTTAATTAAGCGTTACTCAATATTTATAACATGACAAAATAAGTTACGGACATATAACGAGTAAGAGAAGGAGTGCACACACGTAAGCTTACATAAAAACAGTCAAGGTCAAAATGTGACTCAAGTAGGATGAATAAACTGATCTGTCCAGAAGCCAGATAAGCTATGTGGGCTTGACATAGCAACCGACACTACAGAATACGGAGATAAATGGAAGATTTGTCATCATAGCATATTCATAAGTTAATCTTAATCGGAGTCAGATAAACTGGTCATAAAAGTACATCCAAATCTCTAATTCATCATGGCCCCAACACCTTCATCTCATTTTATTTTGTAAGTTTTTTGGGACACGTTCATCCTTTTATTTATTATTCTTACATTCACCAAGTAAAGAACTATCTTCATATATACATATATATATATATATATATATATATATATATATATATATATATATATATATATATATATATATATATATAACCTGGAGGCACTGGACAGCCGTTTCATCTCAGCATTTGACACCATTTCACAACGCTGGTCATCCGGCCAGGTGTCTGTCTTTCCACAAAATTCAAACCAGACAGAATTAATCAAAAATTACTTCAGCATATAAAAGGATCTCTGTATATCGTAAACCGACAGAAATAGTGAATACCCTTTAGCTGTTTTAGATCAATAAAAAGTAAAAATATACATAGATACGGTGAAAAACCGACAGTAAATAAGTGAAAACCTACTGCCACTAAATCTTCTGGAACAGCTTTCATTTGAGTCCATGAAGAGAAAAATTTTGAAAAAACACAATCGAATATATCTTCAAATGATGATAAATTACTTTGATAATGATTAGTATTATTATTTGATTTATTGAGTAAAATTGGATATAATGGCGATGAAAGATAAAAATCCTTGTCATCTTGTTCTACGATCATAATTGGTTCATGAATTGTATCTAACAAATATGTATAGAAAGAAAATGGAGTATAATTAGGTAAGACAGATTAAATAGATCTAAGTAGTCTGTATGGAGATTGGACTAAATTTAAAATTATTTTCTATTATTGATTGGGGATATTTTACAAAATCATGATGAACTATATAACATGATAATAAGGATGCTTTTTAATCCAGTTTGAAACTTACAATGATGTTTACTATTTTGAAGAAATAGTCACATGATCGTTCACCATAGTGGATCAATTTCTCTGAAGTATGATTATCATCACCTGACATCACCAACAAGTAACAATCATCATTAAAAATTTTAAAAAATTACTCTCAAAACTAGCTATTAGTGAATAGTGACGTGTTCAATAAGAGGTTGATAAATAGTGACAATTTTTTAAAGCCTCTTCATTTGCCCTTTAGATCTCTAAATGATACTTTATTCACAATGAATTTAAGTATTCATTCATTGGAACTAATACAACTGAATCGCAATGGTAGTTTCGCAGTTAAATTACTAGACGTTAAAACTTTGGGTTGTGGGTGTATGAACGTTTAACTTTGTTTTCGGTAATTATTTTGGAGTTCATATTAACCCACTAACATTTAATGATATCTCAATGATTACTTCTGCTTTTATTATTGCTATTTTTATCATGCTTCCAAATATCAGAATGGTTAGTATACAAACACAACTGTTCTACTATAATTTTAATTTCTCTAAAAACCAAAATTTTCCTGAGTTTCTGTTGTTTTTTTCTTCAGTTGCAGAAGGGGATCCATATTTGATATGTTATTGATATATTTAGTTCAAGTAGATCTTATTTCGTATTAGAAGAATCTCGTAGTTTTTTGAAATTTTGAGTTATTTTGAACTAATCCCAAAACAGAACAGCTTCACCAAATAAAGAAGTACGCATATTTTATTCTTTCATTACTACTGTTTACTTACCATTAGTTGCAAGCAATTCACACAGCATACTTGTCACAGCATTAGCAGCTTCAATAATTGGAAATAATGGCTTCTTATCAATTAATGATGATGAAACAGTCGAAGATGATGAAATGGAATAATTACATGGAAAGCTATTATGACTATAATACTCTTTCATTGGCTTAAATGATTGTGATAAATTAGATGTTGCTATTAATGAATCCATTGTAAATCGTCGTCCAGTAAAATTATTACGTTGATTATGTATACTATCATCATGTAAATGAGTAGTATGTAATATATTTTTAATGGAATTCGAATCAACAGTGGAAAAATGACGTTGAATACGTTGTTGTGACGACTTACTACTTATTTCATTCACATTATTATTATCATTATTATTATTCACATTCAAAGAAGATAATGTATTGAATTCTGACAAATGGTTCAATTTACAATGATTATTAGTGGTGTTCGTGGTTAGATAGGAATGTTTTTGACATGGATAAGCATAATTAAGCATATCAATAAGTTTATTTCTATTTTTCATTATATAATTATAAATACATTGAAATCCAAGTGTACCTGGTGGTTTTTCAAAATCAGCATATGGATCAGTTGGTATCTGAAATAGTTCAAGTCGATAAGAATGCATTTATAGCCAGTAGAGATGAGGTGTTCTATTTAAACTAAACAGTTATAATAAAAGTAATTACTAGTACTATCATTATTATCACACATAAATGTAGATAGATGAAAGGTTGAGCAATATCATTAATCGACTGAAGTTAGACATTAATACTGTTGGATACCTTTTAGTTGGGCAAATATTTGCTATTTTTATGTCGCAATAAGTGAGTTAACTGTTGTTAGAAATGTGGAAAGTCAGATAATGATACTCCCCCAATCTGTTATAAATTTTAACAAGGATTGGTCCCTTAATAAGGTATTGTGAGTACACTGCTAAGTGGTTTTGAGGTGAAAACGAATGACATACTAAGTAGCTCACAGAGTTTTCAATGTATCACCAGTTGAAGCCGATCTGCGGTAGAAACAATTGCAAAATTTAATTATTCATTACTAACAAGTAAAAGTTATAATCTTTTGATCCGTTTTAATGAAATGATACTAAGTACTAAGTACTGGAGCCTTAACAATGCACAATTCAATAATACAAAGAATCATATTCTTATTATCAAAAACCTATCATTTTGATGTGTGGTAGAGAAATAGATGTAGTTACTGAACACGGACAAGTTGACAATCAGATTAATGACTATTAATTATTTAATTTATTTAATTATTAATTATTTAATTGCTTTTCCACTTATTGGTTTCTACTTCGAACTCACTGAGAGTGATTTCTTGTAATTTTGTAGTATAAATTATTGTCTAGCTTTATTCTGGTTCTCTATTTTTAATTATGAATCGGGTATCTGATATAACTTGATCTGGTCTGTATGTTGTGGATCGTTAAAGTAGAAAACCTAGTGGTTTTATAAAATCGGTTATCTGGTCCAGTCTTGTTACCATGTTATTGCATTAGAATAGGGATGAAAATATATTTATTTGTTATATCACATTTCAAGAAAAGAAAATCACAGAAATGAATTAGACGATAATGGGATAAATGACAGAACATACTTAATAACATGAGTAGTGATATTCGTAATCATATCAAAGACGAAGAAATCCATTGACGTGAATTTACAAATCCATTACCTTAATCAGCTCTTCATCATGGCTCTATACTATTATATATACATATATAATACCAAAGATTATAACTATTAAGGAAGTCCCAAAAATACCCCTTGTCAAAGTCCATGGGGCCCAGAAATACCAGAAAACGCCTTATTCAATCAGTATTGAATCGAATCTTTACAAAAACATCTAGAAAATGCATAGTCACATGACACGGTTTTGATTGGATCTGTACCTATGCTGTTACTATATTTAGTGTGGTTCCATAAGTTTCCAGAAGCCTAATGTCGTGTGTGACCGCTTAGTCATTTATAATTTTTTGATAAAAGTATACGACAGATTTTGACTAAAAGTATTTTTGTCTTCCGACTTAAATCAGCTACTTATAAAGTTACAGTTTGCAATGTATCATATAGTTTCTTTCCTATAGAATAATGTAACTAACTTATATAAGAAGCATGTTTATGCATAGGATTTCACTGTACGCTGTTTTGATACGTTTAGTACTTTAAATGCTTCAGCTAGTGAATTCTTAGCTGCGTCAAGTCATTTGAAATTTCCGACTACTCAATGTTGGACGGATGCGTGACTGGTAAAAGTAAGATGTGATTAGCCACTGAGCATGAACAGGTAGGCACTCAGCTTACTAATTATTTAGTATGGGATTTGTTTCCTGTTATTGATTTATACTCTATACTCACGGGGGTAGATTACTTGTAATTGTGTTGAGTAAATTATTGTCTAGCCTATATACATGGATATATACTCTATACTTTTGGTCCTAAATCATGTATGTGGTATAACATGATCCAGTGTCGACTGAGTATTCAGTCTGGTGGTGGTATAATCTCGGTCACAGATTATATTATCATGCAACAGAAGTATATTGTGGCGATGAAAATAATTGTATTCTACCGTTATATCACGAACAGAGCATGCATGACGGAAAACATAGAAGCTGCGCTTTAAAGGTTAGCTTCTCTTCAGAAAAAAAAACAATTTATTAAATTATAAGGAACTTTAGGATCCTAGAAACTTAAGTAAAAGATGTTAAAATCAGTAGCGAACTTGGTTTGAACAGAAAAAGAAACCATAACAAGCATTTTTCTAGATTTTTGAAGGAGTTACCTAAATGGCTTGGTTTTGGAGTACTTTTCAGCACTCCTTCTGACTTCTGAAAATTCTCAATGGCACTCAATAACTGTTTGTGCTATGGCTATTCGGAATTTCATACAGGATTTAGAAGCTCAATGCTCCGAAATGTAAGCTACTAGTTAGAAGAGGAGTGTTTTCCCCACTATATAATTCCATTAAGATTGGAGTTCAATGATTTAAATTATAAAAATGATCACCATACCTTGAAACCTAGTTTAATACACGCTTCTTCAATACATTGATCAGTTGAATTAATTGTATACTCATCAAAATACACTGCTGAACATAGTTGTTTCATTTTTTCAACGGTTTCTTCGGACTATAGATATTAAACAAAGATAATAACAAATATTTTAGTGAAACAGTGTAACTGACAAAAGAATGTATTATTACTAACTCAATTACCAGACACAGACTCGTTCACTTGACTCTAAGGCACTCTTTGAGTATGAGAGATCATATTGAATTGGGTGGAGAGAGGTGTTAACTTGGGATCTCGAGGCTGGAAAATGAACGCCTCAATCACTGGGTCAGCGCTACACTACAGACAAAAAGATAGAATGTGACAGTGAATTACAAAATCGGGATTTAAGGCCGTCACCTAATTAGTAATGTATAATTTTTTTTCTACAGTAGATTTTGACTTATGTTGCTACATAGCTGGAATAACCTTATTAAAACAATTTATTCTGTTTTTAAATTATTTGATATTAATCGTGTAATCGTTATTTTAAACTGTGAATTCAACTGTGAAAAATATTACAACCTTCACAAATCCCCTTACTGTTTAGAAATATATACGAAGACTGATATTCTTGGTAAATAACGATGTTTGTTAATTACTACTCAGGTGTCATCCTTCAATATTTCGTGTTAAGTAAGGTATAAGATATTGGGAATGGAGCAGTGGAAACAACCTTATTTGTTTGTTGTCAGCTTACTCATTATCAGTGCAAATCCATAATGATTGTGAATTGGGAAAACAAAACAGTAGTTTGCTCATTCAATAGTTTCATTGGGATAAGCATGAAAAATAGGATGCTGACCTGTTTGATTGGTGTCAACAAGGAACTCCCCATTCTATTTTGAAACATACCGAGTATCAATTTGATCTTTCAGAATTACGAAGACCGAAATAAATAAATATTTATGATACTTAGAGTTATATACAATTCACCCTTGATTGCTAGAATATTTGTCAGAAGTTTATTGGATGGTGGTGATCGTGGGTGCAGACTACATCTTATGTTTATATTCCTATAGGTTTTTATATTATGGCTTCTAGCCTTGTCGATTACCTTTCCCAGTGTGTTGAAATTTGAACTGTTACATATTCGTACAGTGTGTTATGGTGAATGAACAGATGAGTGAAAAATTTGAAATAACTTTTATTATGGTATATTTGCATTGTGAACAGCAGTGGGATTCAGGATGTGAGTTCCGTCCCTTCTTGAATTAGGTAGACAGGTGCATCTGCCTCACATCGTAGCTATCCACACTAAGCTACTGAATCCACAAACTAGTTCAATGGATATGAAATTATTCGTCTATGTTTGCAATTCCCCACCATTGATATTTAAGACTCCTATAAATTTGTCTCTATCGAAGTTAGTGGAACCTGAGCGGATTGTCTAGAGATCATATTTTAATTACAAGTATTTATTATACCGCATTTCACTGTTAATAACAATCCAACTATACTCAATAAATTATGATTAAAAACCGTTCAGAAATAACATATGCCAACAATAGCTGATCTCATGCGGTATTAAATATCTGCTCTCAGTCAGTCATCTACAAAGTAGGAACAAGCACATATATGTATCGGTACAAGTTGTCATACTTCATTAGCACAACAAGATAAATACCAAGTTCATAGCAGTTAATTCAATAGTAGTAAAAAAAGATTTCGTATAAGGATGTGATACAGAGAAAAAGAATTAGTTCGTAGAAGGAAAGGTATATTGTACTTTCATTCTCACCTATGCTATTGTGATCGATCCTGAGCCATGTCACTCAGAGTCCCCAACCATTGGTTACCATAGCCGCGCAGACCTCAACCAGGTAGTCTGCATCTACCAACATGGCTCAGAGAAGAAGTTAGGGACTTTATGAACTGGTGCCACGTTTTGGTTTGGTTGTCCCTGACTTTCTTCCATCCGTCTCCAACACCGGTCAGCATTGCGCGTCTTGATAGTCGGCGGTTGAACATGCGTAATACATGGCCCAACCATTTCAGTCGATATAGATTCGCAACCTCATCAACTGATTTACCCTGATTCCCTAATACTCTGTATCTAACCTCACTATTCCTTACCCGGTAATCTCAGCAGATGCGATCAATATTCCCAAGACATCTATGGTCAAATACTAGTAACTTATGAACATCAGCTATGGAAAAAATGAAAAGCGTATCATAATCAGAGCATCTGATACAATTGAACTTACTGTACGAGCCAATGGCGTTTTCATTATGGTAAATAATAAACTATTAATTACTTGTTGTACTCGACATACTGAAATTAGTAATTGCATACTGGATTGTTTATTATTATGACCATGAATAGTAGTATTTGTAATACTGTTATTACTACACAATCGGTGTGATAATATACGTTGCTGTGGTTCTTTTTCAACATTATCAATACTAGGATTGTAAATATTTATATTAGTATTGTCATTATTACTCTGGATGCATTCTGTTTTACATAATGCCTCATTTTCAAGAAAATTTGAAAAATCTTTCAAAAAATTTAACACTACAGTATTTTCAGAATTATCGTCAGATGATGGGAGACATGAGCTAAATGTTTCCATCATTGAATGATCGAAATGATGTTTCTTTCGATAATATGAATTGATCATTAACTCCCAAAGTGAACGATTGCGTAATTCTGGAATCCACTTTCAATTAAATAAAAATATAAGATGGAGTAACAGATAGGAATAAAATTCAAAAATAATTAGAGTAAAATCAAAAATGAATAAAGGAAATTATAACTCTGTGAACCAAAGTATCAGCCTTGGCACGACTGAGACTGGGGAGAGTCAGCTCTCCCTCTCGAAATGCTCTCACATGCACACGTACATACAATCACTCCCACGTAAGTCTTACTCACTGCTTTCCCACGACACTAATGTTGTTAACGAAATTGAGAGTACGAAAAGCGAATGTCCGGCGCTTGAAACAGGTTGATGGATATGGTGGATCCACCTAGGGGAATCAGAAAACCCCGATTCCAAACCAATGGTGCGCATAGGCTTCAGGATTCTAAGGAAACAAATGGCCTATGAACATATTGTTGATCACAGTCCAATGTGGGACTCCATCTCCTTTCGTTGCTCCACTACTTTGTGGATTATACCTTTAAGTCAAAGGGTTGAGGAGCAGCTCATTAAGAAAACCACTTGCTTTGGTTTGGACACCCGAGCAGTATCTCATCCCTCGCACAAATCGAATGATTTATGTGGCACATATCTATTTGATGCCTCTTTATACCAATGTTTATGTGTTTAAATAAATAAAATATGAAATATAATAAGTATCAGCATCACTGTGGTACTACTGTTGGAATTTTATTATATTCAACTTCACAATAAGTTGCACACATGAAACAACAAAAGAAAATAACAATTCAGGAAGCTTCAACAAAATAACACTAAATCATATCACTACATTTTCAATAACTATTTGCAACTTCACATGAAATCAAATAGAAAAACAACTCATGTCTTAAAGGGGGGTGATAAAAATTTATCCACTAGTGGTACATCATAAATAACACCAGTTAAATTCTGATACAGTATGATGCATATATACCGTTTTCATAGGTTGAAATATAAAAAACCCAACCCTGTTTAAATTGATAGGTTACAGTTTCTTAACATAATCATCCGGTTATGTGATTAACAGAGTTTTCTATAGTTTCACAATAGCTCTTCTCAAAAAGCCAACATCAAGGGATGAAATACCATAAATAATGAAGTATTAAACATAGACCCTAATAACAAAAGCTATCTTCTATAGTAAAAATAATACTAAATAGGTTTTAGTTACTATTAAGTTTTTATGACAATGAGGTTTTATTGAGGACTCTATAACGAGACACAACACTCCAAATACTATGCACGAACAAATTAAGAGAATAAAGTACAGGAAAAACTTGGTACTCAACCAGAACAATTCAAAATGGTGAGACTTAATGTATATACTGACGAAAGCATGACCTGAATTAGCGAAACAAGAAGAAGTATTTCCCAAACAATAAACAGTCTATAGAAATCAAACTTCCCGTCATTTTATTAACTGAGATAGGCGACGGAAAAAAAGACTTTTTTTATCAAAAACGTGTGAAGGATATCGGCAGCGGCCGACAACACAGTTATTTTTCTCCAAACATCCGGTATAAATTAGGCAAGCTGTTGCTGTGGATGTAGGTGGATTGTTCATTTCCGCCTGATGGATGGCTGATGATTAGCATTAATTACCTGACATTTATTGTAACATAATGATATATGGGGGGTTGAAATGTGTTCACAAAACTATAATGTGCCACAGTGAACGTTCATCATATGACATAATTCGTGTAATTTTGTAAAATATTGAGACGAATATACAAGTTTATATTTAAGCAAATTAAATCAGGATAGTGGTTAAACAGTTCGTCATTCCCACAAAATGGAAATAATTTTTCATTTATAATCACTCACAATAATAATAATGACAATTATTATTATTATTGGGATAGCCACATCAATTAATAACAACACAGAAGATCAATGCCCTTCAAGTAACTAACTAACTTCAATATCACATACACAAATATATGCGCATCAATATATAGTTTATAAACAATAAATCAGATATTGTTCTACATATATATCAACAAAACACGCAACATCAACCAATATCTTCCAACACACAATCCAATAACCTAATACAGATTTAACTCTACAGTGCATTGAAAGGAAGTTATCTAATCATGGGACGATTTTGTCGATAAACAAATTCACATTTAACTGAATTCCCCATTGTGTTTCGCACTACATCTAACACTATTATTCAATCAGTTACTATTCACAGTATTACTTCCTATCACATACTTACGGACTACATAGAACACTATTGTTTATATTAAAAAAGAAAACTGGCACAATTCATATTATTGAAATTATTGTGTCAATTTCAATTAACTAGTAACTAGAATAATATTCACTAACAATTTCATTTCAGACTATAAATTTCACTTGATTACCATCTTCATCCCCTAAGTCGGCATACCGATATTTTGATATTGAAGTGTCAATATGACATAGCTTGAATTGGTTGCAATCACATTTCTAAGGAATACCCACCCAATAAATCAACGAAAACAATGCTTGCAAAGTGCTCAGTTTTCACATTTTACTCAACACTGACCAACACCACTATTAATCTTCCATCATATTCAAACGTGTTTTCCGAAATTTATTAATCACTTCAATAAAACGAAATAAATGGAGAAGGATTGATAATCATTCGAACTATTTATGGAAATCCGCTGTTATATAAAACAAAACAAACATCATTTATTATTTAAGTAGTCAGTTTTAAAAATACGAAAAAAATCAACTATGCTTAATTTTAGTAGTAGTCATGATCTAACTATAATGAAACTTAATGAGCAGATCCTAATTCCATAGGTTCATGAATGACTTATAAAAAAATATCTAACATATGAATTGAAGTTAGTGGCTGTCTGGACTTGTATTTTATTGGGCGATGCGTTTGAATCTGAGATGATGAACACTGGGTACGACTATTTTAAGTAAGAATCATGGGGAGAAAAATGGTGGTAACAAAGCATACTCGCACATATACACATGTAAAGAGAAGGTAATGTTTAAGAAAATTGCAAATGATAAACATATTTCACCTAGGTATATTTTAAATGCAAATACTAATATTAAAAAATCAAACTATAGAATATTCCATAGTTAGGTAAAGCAAAGATAAACATTGAAAACTCACTTCAGTAAATTGTATATTTCCGTAAAACTGATGTATTAAGCATACCAGATGACTTTGTTGTTTCCCATAATAAAATATCACATATAAAAATTTCATAATAAGATTTTGTATTTCACATCGTAATGTTTCCAAACGCGTTGAATTGTAATTCACAGCAGATTTATAACCAACAATGTTTAATTGGATTCTATAAAACATACGCATATATATGATTTTGAACTCAAAAGACTTCCAAACAAGCTAATTAGTTAAATAATAATTTTTAAAAGTGACAGTTATCTACTTCAGATAATGGATGAAGGGTTGCATAAGATCATTGATTGATTGAAGTTAGACATTAACACTGTTCTATACCGGCCCGACCGTCTAGATATTATGTGTTTGCGTACGAGACCGAAGGTCCTAGGTTTGAATCCCGCATAGGTGATCGTTGGTGCGCACTGCTGAAGACTCCCATACTAGGAAGAAACGGTCATCCAATGCTTCCCTGTTTTCTATGGTTGTCTAACTTAAATTGGCTCATAAATTCAACTATTAGATTACTAAAATCTCCACAAATCCCCATTCTGAAAATATCATTAGCTTAATGATACCATCATATACCCATTAAAAAGAATTAAATTCGATCCGACATAAGAGTATAGATAAAAAATTGCTAGAACGTTTTTAATTGTAATGAGGGAGAAATAACTGTTTGATATTTATCAATTCTTGATGGTTCTGTGGTGCATGCTTGCTTATGTTGACAGATATAATTAGCATGTAACACCAATCAGAAGTGAGATGCCTAGTGTTAGCGCAACATAGATTGGATTAAAGCATGTTCCATGCCCGATTGTGTTGGTGCACGTATATTGGCTAATTCTTATACAATCAGCACTTGTCGATGCTTGGAGAAGACTCTAAAATCTTCTCATATTGAAACTATAAATATACTAACGTATTTCCTATTTTGCTTCTTACTTCATCTACCCCTTTTTATTTGGAATATAATTTCTTTCCTGTTCAACCGTGTTCTGATTTGGGGACTTATCGAGTGAATTGCTATCTAAGAGTACTAAGCAATAGAAATAGCTGGGTCGTAGTAAGAAAAATTATAACACCTAGCAGTATAATATTAAGATTGAATTGAAGAGAACAGAAATGGAAACAGAGAGCAACTGAAATAGCAACAGAATTGAAAGAATCATGAATTATGTAAAGGAAAACTGAATGAAGATGTACAAATAATATATTTAATGTATGGTTTTCATATTTTACGAAGACACTCTGTCATTTCGACTTAAACAATAAATTGGTTTACCCCCGTTTGAGTTCTCATTCACCACAGTTCCACCATACAGTTTATGTCAGTGTTCCGTGTGAAGATTAATGTTTATACATTTAAAATGTACTGAAACAACCTTATTGTAATGAAAAAAAAATTTGTTTATCGTAACAATATTTAAAACTTACATTTTTAATAAATCTAATACAAATCCTTGTTCAGTTTGCTTAGTAACATACTGAATATGTACAGGACTAAATAGAAAATAATAGTTTGAACAGAAAAAAAGGGAAAGAATTTATTGAATAAATAATATAAAATAAACGGAAAATAATTACTATTTCATATGAGCTCTAAAAATGTCAGTCCAGAGATTAATAAATGATAAACGAAATTAGCAGTTACTTGTGTCAAGTAAAAAATGTAAGCAGATTATATGACAATTGAAGTACCAGTAAATGAGAACCAAGTTTATATGTTAAGTCATCTATGAGTAGGTGAGTTATGATTGCAGCCTAAGAGTCAATCTCCATGTGTGTGTTTCTTTGTCAATCTGGCAATCAATAGATATTTATAAATTGAACAAACTGATATTTAACTTTTGGAGAGAAAGCTACTTTTTCGATTTTCCTCACCTTATTCAGCACTGTTTGGGGTCAGTAACAAGAGTAAGGTATCTCTGTGTAATAGCGACTAGATAGAATTGTAAGAATGTAGTAGTGTGGTGTATACTACTTATGTTTGCAGATATAAGTAGTATATAACATCAATCAGAAATGGATCGCCTGGCATTAGAAGATTGGAAAGATTAAATAGAAGAGAGCAGGGATGTAAACAGAGAGTAATTGCAATAAAGACAGGAATAAAGAAACGATGAAATTTGTAAGAGACAATTAATGGAAGATGTGCAAATGAAGTACTTAATGTATGGTTTTCATATTTTACGAAAGAACTCCGTAATTTCGCATTAAATAATAGATTGGTTTTCCACACCTTAGTGGATGTTCATCACAACAGCAATTCTGATAGATGCCACCGGTGATATCGTAAAACTTTCATTTTCATGATGAAAAATCATTAATTGTGTTGAATTTTCAGCAAAATCATAATGACAGAATAACAAATAAATTACTCGGATAAAGACATATACTATAATCGAAATCTGACTGTCTCAATAATTTATTTCAATCGACAAATAACTTGCATCGATTGAAGTCAGACATAAGCACTGTTGGATACTGGCTCAGTGGTCGCGAGGATAAGCGTTCGCGCTAGACCGATGGCCCTGGGTATTATTTTATTTATTTATTTAAACACAGAAATATTGGTACAAACGGCCACCAGATATATATGCACCCCACAAATCTCATTCGATTTGTGTGAGGGCTGTGATACTGCCCAGGTGCCCAAACGGAAGCAGGCGGTTTACCTAGGGGGCCACACCCAGAGCCTTTGACATAAAGGTCTGATCCACAAGGCAGTGGAGATGCACTCCCATGGTAGCCGGTGACCAACAATAGGTTCATACGCCATTCGTTCCATCAGGATACTGGAGCCCATGTGCACCATTGGTTTGGAATCAGGGTTTTCCAACTCCCCTAGGTGGACCCTCCATGTCCACCAACTCGGTTAAAGCGCCGGACATTCGCTTTTCGTTTTCTCACTTTCGTAAACAACACCCCCTTCACGAGAAGGTAGTGAGTAGGACTTCCCTGGCAGAGGCTATATATTCGCGTGCCCATATGAGAGCATTTCGAGATGGAGAGCGGACTCTGGGTTCGAGTCCCGCATGTGGGATCACTAGTGCGCACCACTGAAGAGTCTCATACTAGGATAAAACGGCCGTCGATTTCTTTTAGACTTATAATGGTGGTCTAGCTCAGATAGACTCATGAATTCGACGATCAAAAAATAACTTGTAAAATAGTTGGAATAACTCATCACACTTAAATACATTGATAATATAATTTGTAATAGTTTTGTTCAATATATCATTGAAGGTAATACGAATGAACAAATAACGTATCATGTTGAATAGACACAAACAGGAAGCAGAACTAATTTTAAAGTGATTGTTATTAAGATTGAACCAGTAAATTTTTCACTAGATGTTTTTTAAAATACGGAATTCATATTTCCATTTGAAATTGTTCAATACTCTGATGAACTTATTTTGATACTTTAAACTTGTAGTAAGAACGATCATTTTTGATAGGCTTACCACTTGGATTCATTTAGTTGACTTAAGCAAATGATAAACAGAAATTCAGAACGGAAGGAACATCAGCCCTAGCAGCTAAGCAGTAGCGTTCGGCATCTTAATCATTCAAGCATCTCGTAAGTACCAAATATAGTGTACGATAAGATTATATAACAAAACAGCACAAAATAAATAACTATGTTTGACACATACGCAAAAGGAAACAAGTTAGATTTCTTTCGTAGACAAGATCATTTGATATTTGATGGCCTAGATCTGATTTTTATTTGTATTCTAAATTATTATTTGAAGTTTATTTAAATTAAGAATTTCTGCTGAATCATAATTATTATATGGAATACCAACTACGAGTTATGACATATATTTCTTGTTGATAAAATTTCAGTTTAATGGCATTTGTTTAGTTCACGTTTATTTTCCTTCAAAGATCTACAATCGCTTGTTTACATGACCGTTTGTTGTTTCTGCAATTGCAGTTAACCTATCTTCATCTCTTCAATATAAGATAGTGATTTATATTTGATGTTTTTAATTGTGACACAGCGATACCCACCCAAATCTCAACAAAGAGCATCAGCTGCCTTAGGATGATAGATGACTAGTGATATCTGCCAACATGGAGTTTTAATACAGAGCTTTCTGCCGACAACACATAGAACCACCATTTAGCCTTTCACACATTCTAAACATCAAAGATTTTTTTTACTTTTCATCCTTCTGGCTTAATAATATAAGTCGTATTTAGTGTTAGCAATATTTTAAAATATATTCCAGTAACATGACTTCTGATGAGAAAAGGGAAACTCATATTATTGAAAAGATGGAAATCTTTAACTCGATTATCTGTTTTAGCATGATTGTGTTCTCTGAGTTGGATGACTTAAATGTGGAGTTTCTCCATCAAGTAGCCACTGATGTTACTATCCATAGTGCCAATAATAGCCTTAGCAACTAGATTATATAACTTAGAGAACACAACGCCACCAAAACCCCAATTAATATTACCCACAGTTTCTTATCATTTACTAACACTAATCAATATACATCATAGCAACAACAAGTTTTATATAAACATAAATGCCACATACAAAATAAAAAGGTAAATGCATAAAATATATACACTAATTATTCTTACTAGTCTGTCATTATTTTTAATAACAACTTCATTTCATTTAGCAGACACTCTAAATTAGTTTCTTTCCTACAATGCTCAATGATCTACAAAATGGAAATTTATTAAATAAAACTGAACAAAAGAAAAAATAAATTAAAACAAAAGGAAATTCATAATCAAATTTTAGACAAAAAAACAACAACATTATTATTGATGATAGTTGGTACACATGGAGATTTCACAGATTAGATTGGTTTAAGGATTATAATTAAAAACTTTATTATCATTACTATTATTATTGACAGAAAGTGAAATATTAATATAGTTTCCGTGAGGAATGAATATAAAATTTCTGTAAATGATATTCAATAAGGCCAGGATTTAGAGAAACTATGCAAACGATAAATGAATGACTCCGATCAAATGTTGCAATTGGTAGTTGACGTTATAGATAAATAGATAGATATACTTGAAATCATGAGTCAACTGAAGCTAGACCACCATGGAAAACCTGGAAGCACTGGACGACCGTTTCGTCCTATTGTGGGACTCCACAGCAGTGCCCATCCACGATCCCGCCTCGCGAGATTCGAACACAGGACCTATCAGTATCGAACGGGAGCACTTAACCGATGGACCACTGAGTCGGTATCCAACGGTGTTAATGTCTAACTTCAACCAATCCACGAAGTTGAGCAACCATTTCACTAATGTTTTCAGTGAGTTGATATCTCCCAACGGACCTGGTTGAACTCCACTAGATAGATAGATAGACGGACAGATAAGTAGACAAACACTTAAGCTACTGAACAGACAAACGAATAATGAACAGGTGTGTTTTTTTTGTCAATTTTTCAATATAGTCAATAACTTATTGAACAGCTGTCATATCATAGATAGTATTATATGTCATTCTTACAACTTCGCACACGCACACACACATTTACGTACATATATGGGTGTATTTTCGAAAATTAATATCGACCTGCTATTATTATGAAAAAGAACTAATGGAATTATCAGTAAATGGTTCAAGTTGGTACAAGTCTATCTTATCAATTTTTAATGGTTCTGTGGTGCATGCTACTTATGCTGACAGATCTAAGTAGTATGTAACACCGGAGTGAACATCAACTGTGGGGTGTAGGTACATCCAGTGCATCCTGGATTTCACTGCTAGCTACTATCCATCTTTGCTTATCTATCTTGTAATGTTTAACTGGAAATTATTACAATATAATTTTTAAAGACCAAGTTTATTTTCAATTGACTCAAATAGTGCTTTCAATCAAGTGTTATCATTTGATTTTGTTATACGTTGACGATCGCATGAAATGAGAGATATGTCAAATAAAGTAAAGAACACCCAGAAATATGGATTTTCGAGAGTTCATAGGATTAGACGCTCTATTAATGATTGCGGCAGCATGCAAGCAGTTAGAGTTTGTATTTTTTTAAAAAGATTTAATTTGGAATTTCATTTCAGTTAAATAACTTAACAAAATTCAGATTTAATATCATTTACGAATCTGTTTTAAAAAATTATTTATTATGATACTAGAAATCTTGAGAAATTTCAACAGGATTCATTATGAAACTATTAAAATTAATTGAATATAATCGAAGTCACTAAGACTGAAAGATGTTTGTATTAAGCAGATGGTGTTATGGCCATCTGAATATACTCAGTTTATGAAATAAGTATAACGCAAGGCGTAATACAGAAGCATTGAAGTGAGCTTCAATGTAGTGTTTTAGATATTGATAAATAAGAAACCTTTCTTCCTGAAGCTGCAATTCAACAGAGATATAGCTGGTGATATGCTACAGGATGGACTGACTAGAGCAAAGAAAACGTTTAATGCAGCTAACTTTTGTCTATTGTTGGCCGGCTCTATGGTGATGCCTCAACTAAAGGATAAGTTATCTGGTTATGCCACACCTATGTATACCTACGAATTCAGCTGCTCCTATGGAGAAAGCTATATTGAGCGCACTACGAGACAAGTGAGTCAAAGAGTTAATGAACACCTCCCTTCGTGGTTAGGAAATGATACTGTCAAGACAATACGCAGCTCGGTTATATCAAACTTGATCGGTGGTGGTCACATAACAGACAGAAATAGGTCATTTAAAGTTGTTTATCGCATTTCTACTAGTTTCCCTAATGGGATTCGATCTCGTCTCTTACACATAGCAGAAGCTATAGGAATACGAGCTAACAATCCAAGGTTTTGTGCTCATAAGAAATTTGTAACACCTTTATCTCTCCCTTGGCCTTAATAAACGATTTTATTTATTTATTTATTATTTTCCATACTCTCTGTTCGTTTATTTTTCTTCATCCCTTTCCATCTATTTTTTCCCTAAATATAGCCTTTATTGTCCAATTGTCTGAACACTTCATATTACGTGATGTTATAATTTTTATGAATGTCATTTCAACATCTATATTTTTCAAACCAATGATTTAATTCCTATTATAAAACATTGATTCAAGCCTTCATTATTCTTATCACATTTAGTACACTGTCATCACATTATCAATTTGTACTCTTATAATGTTGATTTATGGAATCTAACCCACTAATCATTAACTCATTAACTGCCTTGATTGACTCAATAATTTCGTATATGTATATAAATTTTCCTGTATATTAGAGTAAAGCCTGATGAGGATATAATCCAAGGACAGGAGTCACATAAGGCTGTCTACTCTCCTCCTTCCTCTTTTTTCTGCTGGTTGACTGGATTATGAAAACCTCGACATCTGACGGGAAGCACGGAATACAATGGACAGCTGAAAATCAGTTGAACGATTTGGACTTCGCAGATGACTCAGCCCTCCTGTCTCATATACACGAACAAATACAGACGAAGACAGCAAATGTATCAGCAGCCTCTGCATCAATAGGCCTCAAAATACACAAAGGAAAAAGCAAGATTCTAAATTACAACACGGAGAACACAAACCCAATCACACTTGATGGCGAAACTCTGGAAGATGTGGAAACATTCACGTACCTGGGAAGCATCATTCATGAACAAGGAGGATCCGATGCAGATGTAAAGGTGGGGGATGGCAAAGTGACAACAGCATTCCTACAATTGAAGAACATATGGAACTCAAAACAACCGCCAAATAATTTCAGAGTGAGAATCTTCAATACGAACGTCAAGACAGTTCTACTGTATGGAGCTGAAACGTAGAGAACTACTACATCCATCGTCAGGAAGGTACAAGTATTTATAAACAGTTGTCTAGGCAAAATACACAACATTTACTGGCTGAATACTATCAGCAACAGCGTTTTATGGGAGAGGACAAACCAGCTTCCAGCTGAAGAGGAAATTAGGAAAACATGTTGGAAGTGAATCGGATATACATTAAGGAAATCACCAGACTGCATCACGAGGCAAGCCCCAACTTGTAATCCGGAAGGGATGCGGAAAAGATGAAGGCCAAAAAACACATTACGCCGGGAAATAGAAGCAGATATGAAAAGGATGAATGTTAACTGGAAAGGATTGCTCAAGACAAGGTTGGATGGAGAATGCTGGTGGGCAGCCTATGCTTCGATACGAGGGGTAACAGGCGTAAGTAAGTAAGTAATTAATACAATAAACATAGTACAACCCCAAGATATAAATATTTCAGCGTGTGTTCAACTTAACTAAGTTAATCAAGATAATTATACTCTTTAATCAAATGAAAATAACGCATATCATTAAGGAAAATATTGTGACTGCACACAATAATTAACTTCAGCTCATAAAAATAAATAAGTGAATCAGTAGATTTCAAACTAACCACAGATAAAAATTTATCTGATACTAATTGCCAACTGAAAAATTCTTCTACTCCATAGACATTCTTCATAGGTAGAATTGATGTTGATGAGTACTGGATTTGGTTGATATTTTCATCTTGTTGAATTAGCATTTCTTCAGATAAATACTTCCGAGGATCATTCTCTTGTGTCAAACAAATTTCATGTGGATACAACTTTATATTATTATTATTATTATTACTATTACTACTATTATTATTTGGAGTATTATTACAAATAATAAATCGATTAGTTATAGCATGATTGGATAATTCAAGTAGACAGGACAGGACATAGGACCAAATTTCATCATGAAATTTTTTATCCAGTTTACTATTTAGAAAAGAAGATCAAAAACAATTAAAAAACCAATGTAACATTGGAATGATTATTATTAATGAATCCCATAAACCGTTATATCCCGATAACAATAGGGAATGGTAACGTTGGGATCCATTTATGGAGCAATATTATGCATATAATTCTTATCTTATTTGCTAAATAATTAAAATACTCATATTCATGTTTCTTTCATTGTGACCTTTATTTTGACCCTTACACTATTATTGTACGATTTACCATTCTTTAGTTATACCCAGTCTATTAATTACTGTTCCCCTTATTCACAACCACATGTGGCTAACTCTTGTACAAATGTTATTTTCTATTTTATTGGTACGATGTGGTCAGTTTGTTTGGTATATAAACTCAGTATGTTTGAAATATAATGATTCATGCCGCAGAGGCTGTTATTGGTGTTCTCGACTTAACTGGCTGGGCTAGGCAGAAAGCAGGAACGATACGTACTCTAGACTGCTCGTACGGTTTTCGTGTGTTACTGTTCCAATAGATAATTCGCTGCTCTCTGATTGGCGGTCTTATCACTTCATACATTCACTAGGCATCCACTCGGCCACAAGATATAACATAGGGGTTATGATAGTGCTTGAGTAATTTTATACTTATCGAAAGAGACAAAACTATAACACCGTTGATGGAAATAACCTTCATTTTGAATAATATATCAACTCTGTGATCAGAATAATAGATACATTTAATAAGTATTAACATACTGATTTATTCAAATTGTGATTTAGTCGTTCATTTTAAAATCATAATTATTAACCAGTTATCTTCTTTTTTCTAGATACGGTATTGATATATCTGATAGTCATATATTTGACATTAACTTTCTTACCACCTCCTAGTCACTCAGAAATCTTTTACACTAGAAACCGGAATAAATGACAAATGAAAGGATGCATGAAAACTATTTTTACTTCCAAGGTTAGCTTAGGTACAGAAAAAAAGGATATTTATAAGATTACGTGTGGTCTTGATAGTCTTCAAGCCTCTCCAGACATGACAAAATTCATTTTGGATGGTTTGTTCGAATCTGCAATCGATCAGTCTCTTATCTACATATATGCATCCCATGAGGATCGCTTCGGTATGATAAAATTATTAGCAAAACTGAGGATCAACAAATGACGATATGATACATAATTCATCATTTTTCAAGAGCTTTCTTAGCAGTTCCTATTGAACACACAATAGATGGAGCATATTCATACTTTTCTCAGCTTCCAGACATTTCATAACAAGTTACAACAGCTTTACACGTAGACAATCATCTTTAACTAAATATGAACATGATATAAGGATGAAATCCCTATCAGCAATACAACAGTACCAACCAACCTTTTATGAAAATCTGTGGGAAATTGATGTTATCATATTTCAGTGGTTAAACTAATATCTTTTTATTGATTCATGAGTCCATTTAAATGAATTAAAGACGGAACACTTGTTATCAAACGATAGAAAATCAAACAACTGTAAAAAAAGTTATTACTTGGACTGAAACGTAAGTTACTTTTGCTTCGTATATACTAGAGAAAGCCCCCGACTGATGACATTAAAGCAGTTTTACGGACTTTCGTAAAAAAGTACAACAGATCGTGGATGCGCATTGTGCAGGAGTCCTATACTAGGACGAAACGGCCGTTCAGTGCTTTCCGATTTTCAATGATGGTCTAAAATCGATCGGCTCATAATCCCAATTAAAACTCAACAATCTCCACAACCATGTACTGATAGATATTAATAAAGTCTACTGGGACGATAATATACATAGTTCCCTCAGATTTACACTGGTAAATATTTTCAGTAAACAAATCAACTACTTATAAGTTGAAAAGTAGTTTAATAAATTATTCATATCTATTTGGCTTGGGTTTGCTCAAATAAGTAACGTTACAGGGAAAGCATGATAACATTTTTATTTACTTACAAAATAAATGTCTGAAAAGGCTAATAACGCAATTCCAGTAGTCAATATACATATATGCATATGGAACTTACTCAATGCATTCGACAAGGTGGAAGAGTTTACAATGACCTTCACATTTAACAAAATCTCTGTTAAATTGTTTACATTGCAAAACAATGGCTAATTCCATCAATAACTGCTTAAACGGTCCATACAAATGATGTAATGGGTTACAATTACTATTAACAAAGGTAATAGTAGTAGTATTCCTATTGTCAGCTAAACAATCCAATGCTTTATTCAAATTTGAAATAAACTTCTCCACTGCTCTACTCTATTTAAGTAAATAAACATATAAACATAATTAAACAACATTTGTCAAATGTCAAATACAACGATATTAAGAAATTTTATTGAAATTTTCGGAAAGCAATGAAGTTTAATAAATGTTAGGTGATTTCTTTGTATTTTTTTGTAAGCTTAATGGACCTGGGATTAAAATGTGCATGACTTTATTACGTGTATATTTAATTAGAAATCAAAAGAACTTTACCAGACTGATCATATATAAACTCACATTAATGCTTTTCGTTAAATCTACTCAGACAGATTTGTCGAAATTGGTTTGAGTTGTATTTAACAACAATAATTCAATAACTTACTGTGTGAACGAATATTTACCAAATTATGGGCTTGAGCATTTATAATCCTGCTTAAAATTTAAATACATTATGAACACGATTGGAAAAGATCAATTTCATATGTAAACCGAAATCCAATCAATTAGGCTATCACTTGTCAAATCAGAGGTAATTTAGTGAAGCTTGTTTAAGTTTATGGATTGTATTCACTAAAGATAACTATTGAAAACCAAAGAATACTAAATATTTTAATTTCCTTAAATATGTTACTGAAGTTCTGATGAACAGTTGCAAGTGATAAACTTCACACATGGCGAGTGGAACAGTTGTCACTAATATCATTGGACAATAGTCGCGCTACATCTCAAGTTGGTCGAAGTTAAAACTGTACCATTAGACCCTGACCTACAAATTCTAAAGGTTAGGTGTTCGCTGCAATGCCTGAAGTCCCTCTATTTCTTACTTGAATGAGTCGCGAGTTAACATTGCTAAAGAGTCCCACACAAAGGTGAAATGGCCATCCAAAGCTCACTGGTTTTCAAGTGTACCCTAACTGAGATCAAACTGTGAATAATACAACCTACAAATTAAGCTAACTACATACAATATTTATAACTTTAGATGTTCGAAATGTATAAAACGTTTGGCTAGAGGATAATAGGAAATCTGATTAATTTAAATAAAACAAAACACATAAACCACTTTTGGTGATAGTAATAAAATCAAAAAATGAATGCCATATTAATAAAAATTACTCGAATATCTTCAAAACAAATTTATATCACGTGTGAAACCACTGCAAAAATGAAGAACTTTAGACAGTTGTTTTGTTCCATACTTCCTGAACCCATAAGAAATGTGCCTCGAATTGATCAAATACATGATCGATTTAGAGAAATTGGGGTCTGACAACAAGGACTTTAATTTAAGAACTTTCAGCTGGATTTCAACGCTTAACATTTTTGTATTCAGTCGATTTGCAATGGAGAATGGTTATTATCAAATGTAGCTAGTAACACTATATGTACGTTACTTAAGAATATGTTATCAAACAGTCAAATGGTCAGTTCAATATATATATATATATATATATATATATATATATATATATATATATATATATATATATATATAATCTGATAAACCAGTTTGGCACTTCTAAATAAATGACAATGTAAGCATACATTCTATGAAGATAAGATTGTCACTTTAATTAAAGTAACCTATCCACGCACACATACATTACATGACTAAGGTGAAAGGAGGAATGAAATTAAGTAAACTTCGGGTATCAGTTATAAGGTATATATTTACGTATACATGAATTATCAAGAAGAATGAAAAAATAACATAACTAATACAATCTAAATAATGGAAAATGTCCCGTTATGCCTTTCTGTTGTTAAAGGATGATAAGCTATCAGAGTATAATTTCAAAAACTTAGATACAAAAATAATTATGTTTGATGCTTGGAGGCAATCAGTAGAAAACCTTGAACGTCAGTTTCGTATTAGTCGGTACTTGTCAGTATGTTGTAACTTTAATCCTGATCGACAGAATCTGATTAACACTGAGGACCAGGCAAACATGTTGCTTATCAGAACTCAGAGAACAGTAAATTTCCCAATTCTACAGAAGTTTGGTTTATAACCGAATCACTAATTAGCAACGTCTCACAAAGTTGAAGTGGTTTACGTGGTTTTGAATTCAGTTCCCTGAATATTGAAGGTCTGCTGTAAAGACGAGTACCAACTAGGACAAAATTCATTCGCACAGTTTCCCATTGACTCGCTATAACCACATTACATCTCAATAAAATGTAAGCGATGTCAGATCACTTACACTAGTAGCCACTACAAACTCACAATAAAAAAAGATAAGGACTTATTAAATTTTAGTTAATCTATACAACTCTCAGCTTCATTCAACTAAGTACTTGCATAATGCGGTAACTGAATATATGAATGGAACCAAGTTACAGATATTAAATCGTTAATGCTTTCCGAACATTTCTAGCATGTAATGGAACCAATAAGTCAGTAAAATTTAGACTACACACATGGTACTAAATAAATAATATAAACCAGTTGGTAAGATTAGGTATGCTTTCCATAAAGGTAGTGTAGAAGAGTTATACACACATGAGCCATACAGAATAACGCAGTTATTTAATATTATTATTTAAACACATAAATATCGGTACAAGGAAGCATCAGATATATCTGCACCGCACAAATCTCATTCGATTTGTGTGAGGGCTGTGATACTGCCCAGGTGCCCAGACTGAAGCAGGCGGTTTACTTAAGGGGCCACACCCAGAGCCTTTGACATAAAGGTCTGATCCACAAGGCAGTGGAGCATCGTGAGGAGATGCATTCCCATGGTAGCCGGTGACCAATAATTGATTTATACGCCATTTGTTCCCTCAGGATACTGGAGCCCATGTGTACCATTAGTTTGGAATTAGGGTTTTCCAGCACCCCTAAGTGGACTCGCCGTGTCCACCGACCCGGTGAAAGCACCGGGCATTCGCTTTTCGTCCTCTCAACTTCGTAAACAACGTCCCCGCCACGAGAAGGCAGTGAGTAGGACTTCCCTGGCAGAGCCTATATATATACGCGTGGCCATGTGAGAGCTTTAGAGAGGGAGAGTGTCCCCTCCCACTCTCGGCCGTACCAGGGCATTTGGGGGCCAGAATAACGCAGTAACAGTTTAAGAAAAGGTTATGAACTTTTGAGATATGAATTAGAGAATAATGTAATTGACAAGTGATGAAAAAAGTGTATCAAAATTTTAGGGATTCTGGTTAGAAGTTTTCATATTCTCAATTCTTATAATTATACCAAACATAAAAAAGTAATCAGCTTATAGTTTGTAAAGTTAAGTTACAAATTTGATTACATCCTAACAAATAGATGTGATGCGCGTGCGTTTATTATCAGAACAGAAACAAAAAAATATACTGTTTATGTGCATTAAATGAGAATGAATAACTGTTGGTTGCTTCTGATACAGGTTGAATACTTCAAGCAACTTAGTGAACCTGCAGCTATGAGCCAGTCAACATTCATCAACATGATATATCTATTATCTTGTGTAAACTGATGTTTATGAACAGATTCAAAATGATACAACCCGTGTTAAGGTCAGAGATGCCTCACATGAACGATTTCCAGTTTCTATACTTTTATAAAATCATGCTAATAAATAACAAACAATTTTCAAATTATTCAGAATCAACTTCACTTAGAAACCTAATGGTTATCGTCTTCCCATTGTACATATGACCAATAAATCTCAACTAGTTCGAAATTCAATAGTTACATCTTCAATTCGACTTAGAATTCTGGGATAGCCACACCAATTAATAACAACATAGAAGATCAATGCCTTTCAAGTAACCAACTAACTTCAATATCACATACACAAATATATGCGCATCAATATATAGTTTATAAACAATAAATCAGATATTGTTCTACATATATATCAACAAAACACGTAACATCAACCAATATCTTCCAACACACAATTCAATAACCTAATACAGATTCAACTCTACAGTGCATTGAAAGGAAGTTATCTAATCATGGGACGATTTTGTCGATAAACAAATTCACATTTAACTGAATTCCCCATTGTGTTTCGCACTACATCTAACACTATTATTCAATCAGTTACTATTCACAGTATTACTTCCTATCACATACTTACGGACTACATAGAACACTATTGTTTATATTAAAAAAGAAAACTGGCACAATTCATATTATTGAAATTATTGTGTCAATTTCAATTAACTAGTAACTAGAATAATATTCACTAACAATTTCATTTCAGACTATAAATTTCACTTGATTACCATCTTCATCCCCTAAGTCGGCATACCGATATTTTGATATTGAAGTGTCAATATGACATAGCTTGAATTGGTTGCAATCACATTTCTAAGGAATACCCACCCAATAAATCAACGAAAACAATGCTTGCAAGTGCTCAGTTTTCACATTTTACTCAACACTGACCAACACCACTATTAATCTTCCATCATATTCAAACGTGTTTTCCGAAATTTATTAATCACTTCAATAAAACGAAATAAATGGAGAAGGATTGGTAATCATTCGAACTATTTATGGAAATCCGCTGTTATATAAAACAAAACAAACATCATTTATTATTTAAGTAGTCAGTTTTAAAAATACGAAAAAAAATCAACTATGCTTAATATTAGTAGTAGTCATGATCTAATCTAGTCATGATCTATAATGAAGCTTAATGAACAGATCCTAATTCCATAGGTTCATTAATGACTTATCAAACTCATATCTAACAACCATCTATGTCTCACACGAATGAAATTAGTTGCTGTCTGGACTTGTAGTTTATTGGGCGTTTGTGTCTGAGGTGAAAGATATTGTGTTCGATTTCAGTCTTTTACCAATACCGGGATGGAAGTACATCTAACTAACGAGTCTCAGATAGGGAAAATGCGGTTCGTGCATTCCAGTGCCAGCTAAATTCGTTCGATTGCATATGACTTGTACGAAGGTCTTTATATCAAGTTTTGACAAAACGGACAGGTTAAAATATTTTCCCCTCTGTGCTATATTATGCTAATCCAATATTATAGTAATAAGACTTGACCAGATGACCGATTTTATAAAACCACTAGAATGGCTACTTTAACGATCCACAACATACAGACCAGATCAAGTTATATCAGATACCTGATTCATAATTAAAAATAGAGAACTAGAATAAAGCTAGACAATAATTTATGCTAAATAATTACAAGAAGTCACACTCATTGAGTTCTAAGTAGAAACCAGTAAGTGGAAAAGCAATTACATAATTAATAATCACTCATCTGGTTGTCAGTTTGTCCAAACTCAGTGACTATTTACACTTAGTTTCACTACCACACAACGTTAATCCACCCAGAATGCACATATACTTACAAAGGTTGATAAAATTCCAGTCCCTAATATATATATATAACATATTTAATGTATGACATGTTGTGGAAGATGTTGGCTGTAACAGAATTTCCCGACAATACTGTATAATAGGTCATAAATAGTTTTTTCAAAAGTATAAAAGGATGCATAATATGGATGAGCGGGACTATTAAACTAATTTTTAAAAATCACTTGAAAAAGAAACAAACAATGAAACGTCTAGTTAGTTTATATACTATTTATGTTCATGAAACTCTACACTGATCTTGATTGGTAATACACATTTAATGGGGGACTGACTTAGTTTAGAGAATCATTGAAATACAGGGACTCCTTAAGATTGAATATTAATAAACTATGTAGTTAAAATCCACATGTATATTTGTTACTGCAAAACTAAGGATCCGCCAAAATAAGACCTCACACCAGTCCATGAAGTCATTGACTTTTGGTTTGATCAATGTCAACAGGTGGAATATATATATATATATATATATATATATAATTTCAAAGTAGCCTGATATCTACAAGAATTGAAATATGGAAGTCAAACTCAATGACATTGGTTTATGAATTTATAGTATAATTGAAAATTTTCGATCAGTGAGCTTTGATTCTGAATGATTCTCTCTTCGGCTGATAACAGTATACAATGAACATTGTATGGAGACTATACTTAAATCTTCATTAAATTTTGTTTAAGTAACAGAGTATTCATACATCTGTTTAACAATGAACTTAAAAATAGTTTAAGTAAGGTCAGTACAAACACTACAAGCATTCTGATCCTCGAATTATTTCAATATCGGTTATTGGTTGATACTATTAAAAATGGATTTTAGATAGACACTGGAGATTATAAAATAGCACTAAATAACTAAAAACTAGGTATTTACACACTACTCCCATTTCTTTCCAAAGAAATTTGACTACACAGATAAGAATTGTATATTTAAATAAACTCAATACATGTAATTCGAAAATTTTCACCAGTACAAATCAAATGGTTATCATAAAATTTATAAGATTATATTAGGCAATCTAAGTGTAAAACAATGTTATCTCAATCAGTTATAAGTAATATCGGAACTGGAATATATTTGCTGCACTCCAAGTTGCCACTTCATATCAATGCAGAGAAATAACCAAGATGAACAGAGAACTATTTAATACGGTTGTAGTATTAGTTCTGTAGTACAAAGTCATTAATTATAGACAGCAAGATGCGAGAAACAGGAATTGATGTACAAAGTCAAAAATATGAAATATTTCTGAAACTCAGAATTTTAAGAGTGAAAGGAGTTAGTGGATCTGAGTGGATGTGACCGATTTTGGATGATGTCACTTAAAGTATCCTACAACTTTTCACGATATACACGTGGACCCTAATCAAATAATCCTCACCTACCTTCGTGTTTTAGACCAATAGTCAATAACTTCATGCATTGATGCTACATCTTAGTTATGCTCCCTAATTTTTTCGATTACTTACTAGTCAAGCTAAAATGGAGCAGTTGTTTTAGATACGTAACTCTCAAGGAGACTACACATTATCCAGCATTTTTGTTAAGAAATGATAGTTTTTATCTGGAAAGATAACCGCGATAACATTTTCTGGATTCATGCCTCCGAAGTGAATTTTATTGCTATTTGATCGGTTGTTCCCACCCTTAGTTTGCAATTTGATTATGTATCATCTCAGATTCATTGTTGGTCTCTATATACCACAAATTTGTCCCATTACAAATATAACTTCATATCTTATTTTACTTAAACTTTTGTTGAACATCTGACGTCATCCTGCCTTCCATTGTGTTGGGGATTGCTGTTAACGTGTTGTATGTCATCATCCAATGTATGAAGTTTATATTAGGTCCGATTCATATTATAAGAATCTCGTAATCGTGTGCAATTAGAAATTACAGTAGGACTATATAGTAAAACATAACAGTTATACACATTTCAATCACCTTAGTCGATGAAGATTCTCTATCTAATCTGGTGATTCAGTATGTGATTTCCTTTTTAATTACAGCTTTCAATAGTATATATGCTTCAAATTCGTGCCTATCACAGCTCATGATGAATTAAGCCACTCATTGCATAATAGTTTAAATAAAAGCTACCTTATGATTTACATCACTAACTGACTTCAGTCAGACAACCATAAAAACCAAAAACAAAATGAACAGCTGTTTCATTGTAGTATGGAACTTCCTCAACAATGTACATTCATGACTCAATCAGGGATTAAACCTAAAACCTTCAAGTTTCGATGTAAGCTCTCAATCTTTAGATTACTGAGTTGGCATCTAATGGTTTACATCTCCAACTGAGATTAATCCATTATATTACACAACCATCATCCAGTGATGCACATGATTAATATATTTTACCATCAACATAGTTGTTGTTCAGTGCTTCATAGTTTTCAATAATTGTCTAGCTAAGGTCAGTTTGTAATGTAAATTATAAAAGTCAACAATTTCCACAAACCTCCTACACTGATGAAAGTAAGCAGTATGTTTACTACAATACTGACAATCGAATTATTTTTTTTCTCGTTGAGGATTGAATTGTAAGCCGAATGTATCTTCATACTTATTCAACCGATCTTAACAATTAGCAAATCAAGTTTATTTTTTCTCCCCTAGATTACAGTTTTTAAACTAGACCAGAAATAATGATTTAGTCAAATTTCTCAACTCCTTTATAACTCTACAACCACAACTGTCTTAATATTTTCATTATGTAATACAGTCTAAACTACAAAATAATGCGATGGAAACAATTAGGATCTTTATATCGCCAAAAAATCAACAAATATATATATGTATATAATTTTATGTAGTTGAGATCATCAGTCCATTGAAGCTAGACCACCATGGAAAACCTGGAAGCACTGGACGGCCGTTTCGACCTATTGTGGGACTCCACAGCACATATAATATATATATATATATATATATATATATATATATATATATAATAATAAATTCTACAAAATTTGATTACTTACCACTAACCCAAAATGGTGACATGTTGGCTTTTTTGTATTAGAATGTATAAAATATTTATCAGAGTGTATATCATCATCCAAACAATGAGGCATTTTTATCCTATCATGCTTCTGCTGTATACCACTATTATTGTTATCATTATTATTATTATTATTTAACGAGCATTTCGACTGTACACAATTCGATATAGTACGTAATGATCTACTACGTTTTTTATGATAACTTATTAAATGAGATTTACTTACAGTAGAAACTTTTATGGTATACAAATTATTATGGTCATCACAAGTGCCAAAATTCTCATTATAATTTTTCAATAATCGATTCGATTTTCTTTTTACTGAATGTGTAATGAAATTTTGAAAACGTTTTAAAAAAGTTTTTGCTTGGTCTATAGTTCCCCGTTGTTCATCATCGTCAATATTATTACCATTCAATTGTGAAGAAACGGATAAATAAGCTAATCCAGTTGACGATGATGTTGAGGAAACTGTTGATTGTGACAACGTTTTCTTTGCATCATTAATAACATATGAAGTATTGATTGGGTCTATCGAATGGTTTATTTCGCAGTTATGACAGATACAAAAAAATCCATAATGGTCTTCGACAAATTCTACATAATTTTGATGTAGTTGTGGTTTATGATCATGATGGATTAAACATTCTGAGTTGCCATTATTATATGGAGATGATGAGATTTTATCGGCGTAATTGTTATGACTAGTAACAGATAACGACAGTATGTTATCTAAGATTGGATTGAAAATTTCGGAAGATGGTGGATAACTCTCATCTAAGCAAAACTTATGCAAATCACTGTTATTTAAGTTTGTTTCCGAAGGAGATGACAATGATGAGGAGGAGACGGTGGATGTCGACTTCAGTGTTGACAAACAAGTGAAAATCTCGGCAGAGTTATTTATTTCAGTAACAGAATGCATGGGACTTACAATAGTATATTGATAGGCAGAAAGAACAGTGTTTGATGCTAATTATACTGATTGGTCATTGTTGATTAATTTCTGATTAAATAATATAGTAGTTTAATTTATGTTTAAGCAGGTTAAAAAGTTTATCATCTAAATGAGTAATATTTGTACGATCTGATCATTTTAAGGAAGTGATTGATGATGAACGTGAGAAATCTGGGCCCCTATCAGAAGATGATTTTATGATTACTGTAGATGGAATGGAAATGCTCAATATGATGAATTTGGTTGAATTCAGCGAAAATGTGATTCCAACATTTACATTGGTAATGCCAGTGTTAACATCAACTCTCAAGTGAAGAAATAATTGGATTTCGTCTGCCATAAATATACTATTTCAGGGAAAGTATGGAACCTTACCCCGTTAAACATATCCGAAACCACTATATATATACACACACGTATGGACGAGACATTTAAATACTGTGAAGGTGACTAAATGATTCCTATTGGATTATTAAAAAAACATCTCGACACAACCTATATAATACATTTTGACAAGATAGACACACTAACCTAGGAGGAAGTATGTAGAAGGGATGGAGGGGAAACAACCTGTTTCAAACAAATGAACATGTTGAGTTTTCCAATAACATGAATAATGTGACCTTGTCATGTATTCGTTTAGTCAGATAATCTTGACAAATCTATAGGTTTCGTTGGTCAACTAAAAATCAAGCAACAAAATGATACAACATGTATTGTCTCTAAAAATTGCTTAATTGCTACATTATTTCACAACTTTATCTTAGAAGTAGATTAGTTTATTATATCAAATATATATTTCTCTATCAAATGAAACTTAAAAATAGAGAAATTGAAATAAAACATGTTAAGTGTCAACAAATGGTTTTCCACAGTGGTCTAGCTTCAATTGACTCATGATTTCAACTATACATAGAAATGTTTATTTGTTAAACGTGATAGAAAATAATACTGATGAAAATTCGAAACAATGCAAGTACATCTTTCATTCCTAAGGAATCGACGTTTCTCATTTCAGTTCCAGGTACCATATTCATAATCCTTCAATAAAGTCAAATTTACATTTATTTATATAAATGAGTGTAAAATTAACCCAAAATTCATGTATGTGGGACTGTGTATGATTGTTAGACCGATCTAGTCAAAAGTGATTGAATGAATCATTTGAAACTTGAACATGTTTCGAGTGAAAGTAAAGTATGGTTAGTAGCTAATGATATGCACATTAAATGCAGTTTAGAATAATATTACAAATCTGAAATAGTGTCAGATTAGATCATCATTGCAAAACTAGTGTTAAAGAAATTTTAGGGAAACTATGAAAAAATAAATGTAAACTTATCATTAGGACAAAAAACAGAAAAGGAAACCTCTTACAAATGTGTATGTATGTAGTAAAGACTGCAGAGGGACTATAGAACAGTTGATTAATGATAATGGGTAAACAGTTTAATGATCAGTACGGAATTATTTGTCATCGTAAGCTAATAAAAGAATAGAGCTAAGAGGTTTAGTTTAGAAATTCAGGTAGGGGGTTGTGTTAAGAGCTAGGGAGAGAGAATGCTTCGTGACCATAATGATTAGTACTTAGGTGAATAGTCTTTTAATTTTAAATCTCAAAGTCTATTTAGTTACTTTGGAAAATCCGCAAATCATGCGCAAACGCTATTTGCGTTTTAATACTGTTTGTTTTCTATCACATTTTCATTTTCACTTTAAGGATCCTTCAGGTTCATAACCATTCCCTAGTCTTGTCCTAGTTATCGGTTTTAAGCTTTTCAGTAATTAACTATTGGTAGGTTTCATTGAATCCTTAAATAACTCTTATTAATCAAGTTATTTAGCAATGCTCATAAAATTTTGTTCAAAAATCCATTGAGCCTCTATCCTAAACAGGATTGGTTCAGTTTACTTCTGTCAAAATAAACTGCCAAAATTGATGTACAATAAATATTATCAGAAGGGGTTTTGTGGAGATTTAGTATGTTTCATAGTTGAAAGTTTCAATTGACTCACGCTTTCAACTATGAAAATACTAAATCTCCACAAAACCCCTTCTGATAATAATAATAATAATATGCTCACTAGTGACTGACTTCGAGAAGTAAGTTCAGAAGTTCTAGTGAGAAGCAGTGACCAGTGGAGTTTAAACCACGTCTGTTGTGAGATATCAACTCACTGAAGACAATTGGTGAACGGTTGCTCAACTTCGTGGATCAGTTGAAGTTAGACATTAACAACGTTAGATGCCAGCTCAGTGGTCTATCGGTCAAGTGCTCTGGCGAGAGACTGATAGGTCCTGGGTTCGAATCTCTCGAGTTTGGGATCGTGGATGCGCACTTCTTAGGAGTGCCATAGTAGGATGAAACGGCCGTCCAGTGCTTCCAGGTTTTCTATGGTGGTCTAGCTTCAACTGACTCACGCTTTCAACTAGAAAAGTACATTAAATAGGCGATAAGCTTAGAATTATTTCGAACTTGTAGAGCTTTAGTTATATTGAAATCAATTTCTGTCACACATTAACCTTAATTAGAAAGTCACTACAAAGAGAGATTATTAGACTGTAGTTTCATTCTGCTTTACGACTTCTATGCAATAAATTTACAATTCTACTTAGTAAATGAGGTTTATGCTTCGCGAAAATCACCATACTATTCGACCGATAAATTAGGATCCAATGTTTTACCTTAACTAACTTTATATTATTTACAATACAACGTGATATTCGTTAAATATTATGGACAGATATTAGTCTCCCGGCTTAAGTGACTTCAAATGTTACGGTTCACAAATGCAACTTCAAGACATATCTGTCGTAAAATGAATCATTTGAACGAGTTCTAAAGATTCTATATTAGTAACAACAATAATCTTTTTATTGAATATTAGACGAGAATTTATCGATGCACTTATAACTACATACCCGTTGAACAATTTATTGGTTATCAAGACTCATTAGTTCAGAGAATAAAGTAATGGGTTCCAGTATAAACTTAAACACTGAAATTCAGGTACATCTACCTGGAGAGTGTCAAATAGGAATAAATATGCACCTTCCATTTTAATATTACCTACGATCCCAACTTTACTGAAATATGTATGTATACTGACAGTTTTCTTATCGATAATAATATGAAAATAGATCATCTCTAAACCAATGACCAATTGATGACTTCTCTTGATTTGTATATGTCCGTTTATTTGTAAATTAATCCTTAAATATCTGAATGAGTAATTCAAACATAACCATCGTACAAGTTCATACATGAAAATTTAAGATCAGTAATAGAATCAAAATTTAACCTTAACATTTTTAGGTTCATAGTTTATATCAGTTAAAATAAAGATTCAAAACTATTCCAATGTAGAACTTAATATCCAGTTTCAATGAGTTTTAGTCAATGTAATGTATAGAAAAATAGAAATCAACACAAGGACTAAGTGTATGCATGGAAGAATATTTAAATAACGAATCATAAATTATTCAAAATTTATTTATTAAAAAATAAAAGAAGAATTCTGTTGTGACATGGGGTGTCCGTGATCTGATACTGATACATGGTATTTTACGCGCTAACCTCCAACTGAATACTTGAGCGAGAAAGTGTATTGGGCTACTGAATAAAATGCACAAATACTCATTCATATATATACACCAGTCTATCATTAAGAAATTAACCTATTGATTCCAATCAAATGCACTTGACCTTTAGTTTACTTCTGACTGTTATCGATTGACCTTTGTTACTTCTGATTGGCTGTCCATATCAAATTCACTTGTGATGCTGTCACATAGATTTTGAGCTATTTAGTACAAGGTCTTTAATTGCTAGTTTCTATCATCTTAAAGGTGTTATCCAAGACACAATTGAACTTAATTCATTTTTGTATTGTTTGTTTGAATAATCCCATTGATATTTAGGACTGCAATTGATCAGTCTCTTATTGGCATATATACATCGTGCGCGGATTGCTTCGATATTGCCTTGATTCACAAGCACTATGAGTAAAGACGGATAGTGGCTAGCAGTGGAATCCAGCTGAAGCACTGAAGTCAAACACTGAAGTAACAGCAAACATGCTTCACCTTTATTATTATTATTATTATTATTATTATTATTATTATTATTATTATTATTATTGGCTATTCAAGAAAATTCTATTCAAGAAGATTTGGGAGGAAGAACAAGTGACACAGACAAACTGGAAAGAAAGATAACTTATCAAGATACCAAAGAAAAAGGGTCTGAGAATATGTGAGAGTTACAGAGGCGTTACTTTGTTGTCAGTTCCAGGAAAAGTTCAACAGAGTTTTTCTGAACCGCATGAAAGACACAGTAGACGTCCGACTTCGAGATCAACAGGCTGGATTCCGCAAGGATCGGTCGTGCACAGACCGAATCGCAACACTACGGATCATCGTTGAACAATCAGTTGACTAGAACTCGTCACTATACATCAACTTCATCGACTGTGAGAAGGCGTTTGACAGTGTGGACAGAACATTATGGAAACTTCTTCGACACTATGGAGTCCCTGAGAATATTGTCAACATTATCCGGAACCAATACGATGGACTACAGTGCAAAGTCGTGCATGGAGGACAGCTGACAGATGCATTTACAGTAAGGACCAGAGTCACACAAGGATGTCTACTCTCCTCCTTCCTCTTTTTTCTGCTGGTTGACTGGATTATGAAAACCTCGACATCTGACGGGAAGCACGGAATACAATGGACAGCTGAAAATCAGTTGAACGATTTGGACTTCGCAGATGACCCAGCCCTCCTATCTCATACACACGAACAAATACAGGCGAAGACAGCAAATGTAGCAACAGTCTCCGCATCAATAGGCCACAACATACACAAAGGAAAAGCAAGATTCTCAAATGCAGCATGGAGAACACCAAGTCAAGCACACTTGATGGCGAAACTCTGGAAGATGTGGAAACATTCACGTACCTGGGAAGCATCATTGATAAACAAGGAGGATCCGATGCAGACGTAAAAGCGAGGATCGTCAAAGCAACAATAGCATTTCTAAAATTGAAGAACATATGGGAGTCCAAACAACTGTCAACTAATTTCAAAGTGAGAATCTCCGATACAAACGTCAAGACAGTCCTACTGTATGATGCTGAAACGTGGAGAACTAGTACAACCATCATCAAGAAGGTACGAGCATTTATAAACAATTGTTTACGCAAAATACTCAACATTCACTAGCCGGATATCATCAGCAACAGCCTTCTGTGGAAGAGGACAAACCAGATTCCAGCTGAAGAGGAAATTAGGAAAACATGTTGAAAGTGAATCGGACATATATTAAGGAAATCATCATTCTGCATCGCGAGACAATCCCTATCCTGGAATCCGGAAGGGAAACGGAATAGAGGAAGGTCAAGGAACACGTGCCGGGAAATAGAAGCAGATATGAAAAGGATGAATGTTAACTGGAAAAGATTGCCCAGGACAGGGTTGTATGAAGAATGATGGTGTGCGGCCTATGCTCCTCCACGAGGGGTAACAGGCGTAAGTAAGTAAGTCTTGATACCATAACTTTACATTTCATGGTAAAGTTTAACTTTATTTTTAAGTGAAAGAATCACTTTTATTTATTAATATAGTTCTGTTGTAAGTCATTTTAGTAAGTCTGACACTGTCCTTTATATTGGTCAATAATCAATAAATTTGACACACATATTCATGTAAACGAATCACAATCATCAAACAATATATAGATGAATATATTTCGTCTAGTTCATTTTAAATTTCTATGTATCCATAATACACTTAAACAGCAAGATCAACTTCACTTATATTACTACACATGGAG